GGTCGGCCACCGCCCCTCGGGCCGCTGTCCCGGATCGCAGTGCCGTCCTTGTCAGAGGAGCTCCGCTGAAAAACTAGGGTGTGAATGCCGCCCCTCTGGCGGTGCGGGCCGAGGAAGCTCTAGCCCTGCCACCCGGCAGCCACCCTTGTCCCCGGGAGGCCGCGGCCCCAGTGCCAAACCGCTCCGTGCTTCGGGAAGATAAAGGTAGTACATCAGAAAGTGGCGGCAGTCGTCCTGCAGAGGAGTAATTTTTAATAGTGACTGAATTACACACACACACTCTAAAAGGCATTTGTGAATTAAACTTCGTTGCCGCTGTGAATGCGACTGGAGGGTGCCTAGCAAGGCTGAAGGTGGCTTTTTGTTCCCTTTTGCTCACTTCATTTTGCTTGTCCTTTAGGCTGTTTTTATCTTTAAGCCTTAACTCTTGTTAAGGTACGTTTGTCTTGTTTTTAACCTTTCCACAGCAAAGTAGAGAGCATACTTTGACTCTAGGTAACTCCAAATTAAGCTCCAAAGGAATGTCAATGAATTACAGTGTAGTATTTTCAGTCAGGAGCACCAGATTTTTTATTTTTTTGTCTTTATTTGAGGCTGATGACTTTTTTTGGGAAGGGAAAGAAATCTGAATAAAAATTGTACATTTGTAAATGCCTTGTTTGGGACCTGACTGTTCTTCTGAAAACTAAGCAGGTAATGGAAAATCAGGGTAGAAATATCACATATTTTTTTCTAGCCTCTGGAAACTATTTGCTGTCAACAGCTTTTAGACAACTTTGTGTTTTAATATGACTTTTTTTTTTTCTTTTTCTTTTTTTCCTCTCCAAAGGTAGTGAAAAAGAAAATATCAAAATGAGTAAAAAGCCTCCAAATCGTCCTGGAATCACATTTGAGATTGGTGCTCGTTTGGAGGCACTGGACTATCTACAAAAATGGTATGGAAGACATTGTATTTGTTAAGAGCATAATTTTTTTGTGTATTATGTAAAACTTAGTGTGCCTATGAATTGACTGTTTCCCATGTGAGCTTTATGAATTTCCATGGTCTGTTAAAACTATTAGGTTTTAGGAATATATGCTCTCAAACTAAACTTCTCTCAGTGTTTGTTTGTTTGCTTTTAGTTGCAAATGCAGCTGTAGTAAGCAAAGAACATTTCCAGAGTGGTGTGGAAGGTCATGTATGAGATGATTGATGTGTTAATGTGGCAAACTTCTCTGACTAAAGACTTCTTTTGTTTTAGTTTGAAGGCATGCAAGCAAATTTCTTTTGTGTTCAGTTATCAGTTTTTGTAGGTTCACAAAATTGATCTTAAGATCCTTAGTTGGAGCTCATGGAATAGGTAAGTATGACTGTATTTGTATCAGAGTTGGAGGAATCAAGTGCTTAAAACTGTGACTCTGAACCACCCAGAGTGAAAAGTATCAAATGGAAATATGTGGGCCCAAGGACCAGGATACAAAGCATGTGTATTGTGAAAGGAGTTTTCCTTTTGAATTGTTAGTCAACATTTTATTAATGCAAGCCACCTCATTCCTTGATGGATGGTGCCCATGCTATTTCAGTTTGAAAAATCCCTCGTTTTGTTAAAGTAGATGATACAAGAAGTTGATGCTTCTACCCAGAAGTGTTTTCTTAGCTGCTTTCTAGTTAATTAGGGCTGGAAAATGTAGAAGCTTGTACCTGCCTTTCTATTGCATTCCTGGAGACTAAACACTCATGTAAATATCTGATCTTGCTAACTCCCAAGTTATGTTATATACAGAGAACTCTATTATTCACAGGTTTACTCCAGCAGTTATATGCTCTGTATAAAAAATTGAGTTAACTTCTTCTGTGTGGTACTTTGATTTTATTTGTAGCTCAGATTTTTTAATAAATGGTTTTTAAGGGAAAATACAGTTCTTGTTCTGATCTGTTTCTGTAGAGTGAGTTTTCAGCATCCTGATACTCTCAGCTGAATACCAAGGTAATTAAACTGTCTGAATAGTGCTGTAAAGCCAAAATAATTTTAATAGAACTTTTTATAGCATCTTTTGTGACTGGAGATAGAATCATAGACTCATAGAATGTCTTTGGTTGGAAGGCACCCCTAAAGGTCATCTAGTCCAACCCCCCTACAATAAGCAGAGACAATTGGTTAATGTAACTAGATAACAAAAGTTAATATGTAGAAATAGCTTCAGCTTAATCATATTAAAAAAATCACTAAAGAACCAGGGTATAGTTTGTATCAGATCTGTTCAGCCTTTTCACGGGGAAGGGTCACCTGTCAGTTCTGGAGTGACTGTCTAGGTTTGGCCTTGTCAGGTGTGGGCCCTGTTGTGAGCTCTGCAGTTGATTTACTTGATATTTTCAGGCAGAACAGAATTGATTCTGAACGTTCTAGGAATCGATTCATCATCTGGACCACCAGTAGAGCAGGTCGAGTTTATGTGCATGTAAAGTTCTGTGGTGCCATATGCAGGAGCAGAAAGAATTTTTCAGTTACAGCGGCACTGAAAACAGGACTGTTTCAAATGAAATCATATTCATGCACATAACCAAAGGGCTTGTTACAAAAAGCCTAGTTTTGTGTTATTATTAGGGTGACAGAGGCCAGAATGATATTCCATGTGGTTATTTTTTTCTTAGCTTTCTGTTGCATAAGGGGGTGGTGGATGTTTTTTTAATTCTTTCTATATATAAGCTTTATGCATCCCCCTGATCTGTATGCAGAAATATGTACTTCAAAGGAAAGTAGCTGAACTTACATTAAATCTTTTTTAGGTTTTTACAAAGCCAAAATTGAAAAGCAGAAGTATTGCTTAGCTCAGTCTTTCTACAAGAGACACATTGAGAATACTTACTGAAAATCCTTGGAAAGGGTTTTAATCTTTTCTCTCAATTTTTCTGAAGCCCGCTGTCATTTAAAGATACAGTGTTTGTGATCCTTTAAAATGTTAATCAACAGAGGCTTCTAGAGGATGGGAAAAACTCAAGTATGTTTTCGCTTTCTGACTTCTGCAGGTCTTAAATTTTCATCTATGTAGTAGTTCCTGATTTCATCTCATGGAATCTGGTGTTCTGTTTGAATTATGTAAACTTTGGAGAGGGTATTGTGTACCTTGACTCTATTGCTTAAAACCCTCCTACTTTTAAATGAGAAGGTTTTGGCAGACAGTGTTTGGGTCACTGCTGTCATTTGGCTTATATGGTCACTGAGTAGAAGAAGGCCCGGTCAAACTGATCAGCAGAGACAGGCTGTCAGTGAGCATGTTTCTTTTCACTTTGTTGTGGAGGTAGCTGCAATTGCTTCTTTATCAAGTGCAACAGTACACTCCTGTGGAGGTCACCTTAACTAATGAATTTGTACAACTTGCTAAATTTCAACTCACTAAAGCAAACTGAAATGCAGGTCTAATCCATGTGATTGTCTGTCAGCAGAGAGTAAATGAGATGGGATTGACCGATAATAGAAATTTTTTTAATGGATATGAGATGATCAGGGACCTGGAGTGTACAATCTGTGAGGAGAGGGTGAGGAAACTGGACTTTTTTAGCTTGGAGGGGGCTTCAGGAAACCCACTGGCAGCTTTCCAGTACCTACAGGGATGTCATGAAGAAGACTTAGGCAAACTTTCCAAAGTAATGCACAACTGAAGGACAAGAGATACAAGCACCAGTTGAAATGTGGGGTTTCTGCTAGGTACATGAAGAATCTTCTTCCCACGGGGCAGTCAAAGAGTGGATCAAGTTGCCCAAAGATTTTGTGGAGTCTCCTACATAGGAGAATTTCAAGACTGGACTGGATAAAACTCTGGAAACCCTGATCTGATGCCGTAACTGACCCTGCTTTGAGTGGGAGGATAGACTAGTGGGTTTCTGAGGTCCCTTCCAACTTGGGATGTCCTGTGGTCTCACTTAAGCTGTTAGCTCCCACAAGTAGGACACAGTTTGTTCAAACCTAATGTATTTAAAGATGCATCTCTTCCATTTTGTTTTTGTGGCTCTAGCTCTCTGCTGGTTGTTCCATAAGTGCTAAATGCTGTGTTTTACAAAAACAACCCTGTTATTTATCTGGGACCATAGTCTGTTCATCTACTTGATCTGAGCTATTAAGTTAGTTAATGAAGGAAGTACAGCTACGTGGTCCTTGTTGCAGTTCTGGAATGGAAGCTGCTCACTAAAATAGGTTAGTTATCAGAACAACAGCACTTTGACTTGGTATATTTGATTATCTGGATGGATTTTTTTTATTTTTTTTTTCCCAGTACAGAGGAAGCTTTTTCCATGTAAGTCTTTGGTAGATCTGAATTGGTACAGTTCTGGTGTGAATTTCAGTTGACAGGGTTACCTGGCAGAGAGGTATTTAAATGGACTGTGAAGATTGCTTTATTTTGATATAATACAACGTATATATAATAAAAGGTAAGAGTTAGAAATAGATGTTTGTAGAATTTAGATACTAGAAGCCTATTTGTGCAGAATTCAGAATGGAGAGTATTTGGTTTTATATCCTCTACAAGGTAAAAAACTTTACACTATTACTGTGAAGGCAGGAAGTTTGTGTCTACTTCCAGACTTTGTAGGTGCAAACTTGGGCAAATTCACTGAAGTTTTTGAATCCTTTTTATAGTTTGAAATAACTGTTTTCCCATGTCATAGAGCAAGTCAACACTTTGAAAGGGTCAAAAGGAAGATGATAATATAAAAATAAAAAATACTCCCATGTGGTCATATAATATGTGTTGAGTGTGTTGGAGAAAATGGGTCTGTTTTTGGGGGGGGGGTTTGGTCTATTTTACACTGAAAAGACATAAAAACTGAACATTTTCCATTAATTTTTCCTTAATCAACACTGGAACGTTATTGTTGCCTGACCAGTGTTTCTTAGATTTGCAGCTTTATGAAAACATTGCTTAATTCTTATGGGTTGAAATCACTGGAACCTGAGAATGAAAAGCAAGAAATATGTAAACTGGGCAGATACCATCAAGTAACAACCGTTTTCCTGTTCTCTCTTTAAAAACAAGAACAACCTGAAATTTGGGTGAGACTTTATTTGGCATTAATAAATACTATTTCCAGCATACTGTTAAGAGAACACAGTGAAAGCTTACAGGTTATTGTTTCTTCCCCCGAAATGAGATCTTTCATTAATGAACTGGAATCTGATGGTCTGGGATTTTTTGTTTGTTTGTTTTTTCTTTTTTTCTGTGAGAAGTGAAGACTTTTCATCTTTTTTTTTTTTTTCTTTTTTTTAACTGTATTTTTCTGGTTTGTACTGAACAAAAGTACTGACTAGAAGGTTGTTTGGGCCTCAGACATCATTACACTTTGGTATTGTCAAGAGCGATGTTTGTGTTTGCCTTTGTAGTAGTTCGTAGTGCTTTGTATATATGTGGAAGAGGGAAATTCTACATAAAATTTCTCATGAATGAGTTGTAACCATCTTCATATTCATCTTTCTACAGAATAAATATAAACATTGCTTTTTGGCATAGTAAAAGCTTTCCTGCATATAGTGTTACTGGAATTGTTTAAGCAGGCTGATTAAAAAAACTGTTGCCATTTTATCTTTTATTAGCAGGAAATGTATACTTGCCTTTGAAATATTTGTATAATTTTGCAATTTGTAAAGTTGATTATTTTTAGTAAAAACTGCACAAAATATAACAGCAGAAAAATATTTCTGTGCAGTGTAAAATTTGAAATAGTAGATTCTGCAATAGGTATGGTCTGCTCTGTTCCACTGTGGGATCAGGGTTGTGAAATACTACGATTTATCCATGTTTGTGGCACATTGTGTGGCTAAATTTAGTGCATATTGTGGGTAATAGCTTGTTGCTAAATCCATACAAAGTTATTTTTCTGTTGCCTAATAACCAATCTTATATAGCTGGGTGGTTCAGAGATCTTCTGAATCATCCATCCCAGAGGATTGGTGTTGAATGCAGGTTTTGGCTCTATTCATCTTGAAACCGCTGTCTTTACATTGAAGAAACATAAATTGTTGGAATATAGGCATTATGGGATGATACGAGTATTATAAGATTTAACTGTGCAAAACTGGTATCATGACTTTGATTCATAGCTGATAATGACATTTTAAAAAGATTTTAATAGCAGAAACGGTATTTATCAAAGAGAAATTAATCAAGGAATACTGGTTACTGCATTTCCACTGTTAAGGGATCCCTAATAAGACTTAGTGTTTTGTGTATCTTCTTTTAGTAACTGATGTTAGCTTTGCTCTTATTTTTCTCTTGGTTTGCTGAATATTCCTTAAAACTTAGTTCATTTTTATATATTTGTTTCTGAACTATGCTCTGTATTTTACTTTCTGCTCTTGTTCAGTTTTTCTCTTTCCAGGACAGTGTGCTATGTTTTGCCAGTCTATCCTTTCTGTTGTCTTCTTCTCACAGTGCTTGGAATGGTGACTGCTGATGACCAGTGAAAGCTACTGGCCATAGCAACAATGAAAAGGGAACTGCAGGGGAACTGCTGTAGTGTAGTGCCATGATGGGAGCAGAGTAATCACATTGTAGATGTGTAGGAAAGGGAGAATTCAGTCTTCTGGCTGATGGTCCTTGAATTTTGTGGAATAATCATAGTTTTGCATCACCATCTGGCTGGCATTTGATAAACCTGGAATTCCCAACTGTCATGAGAAAGAGAACCATCATTTTTGTCTTTTCACTACTGCAGCTTCCGTGCTTTGTGCACAAACTACCATTTTTGATTGCTACAAAGTGCTCTTCTTGTCCTCTTGCATTCCCCTTCCTCTCCCATAAATGCTTTCTGTGGAATCCTTTACTTTGATTGGGAAGTCTTTTAGGTACCATTGTTACTGTATGTTTGCTTTAATAACAGTAACCTTACTTTTCTGCTTTGCTACTCTTCCTGCTTTTTCTGGGCTTGGTGCCTAGTTCTAAGTCTGAAATTAAAAGACTTGGAAAAATGAAAAAACTAAAAAGAAATTTTATAATAAAAATTCCTAAACTCAGCAGCTTATCGACTTAAGAAGAAACCCTTGTCAGAGGAAGGGCTCAGGAAAACCATCTTTGGCTGATGTGTTTTCTTGAAGCCTTGTTCAAAATTAAACCAGAATGCTGCTGATGAGATTCAAGTTTTGACCTACTAGATTTGCTTTCTGTTTTGTTACAATATATAATCAGCTTCCCTGTTACTTCTTGATCGTGTTGCTCTTTTGAAAGAAATCCCATTGAGTTCTTCTATGTTGGAAAAGATACTGTTAGTAGGATGGCAAAAAAGAGTTTGCAGTTTGAGACTAAGATACTGATTTTTTTGAAGTTCAGTGAGAAGTTGGGAACTTAAAAGTGTCTATGAAAACACTTTGCATTTCTGAAATACATGGATGAGAGACATGCAACAAGAGGTTGGACCATGTATTCTGATGTGAGGGTGAAATGTGTCTGAAGTAATTGGCAGTGGTAACTTAAATAAGTGTTTTACTCATTCAGCTGCTGCTGAGCACTTCCTCATGGAAGGGGTGATCAGACATTGAAGTGGGCTGCCCAGGGAAGTGGTGGAGTCACCATCCCCGGAGGTATTTAAAGAAAGACTGGATGTGGCACTTAGTGCCATGGTCTGGCCAATGTGGTGGTGTTTGTCATAGGTCGGTCTTAATCTCAGAGTTCTTTTCCAGCTTCAGTGATTCTGTGATTTAGATGTTGGGAAGCTGAGTGTGTCACTGCAGCTGGAGAAGTAGGATTGGAGAAATGAAGGAACAATTTGAGAGTGACACCTTTTGCTTTAATGCCCTGTTCTAGTCACCAGGAAAGAAGGAAAGCCTGTACTTCCTGAGAACTTGTGTTCTAATCAGAATGTAGTGTTAAAGACTCCTTTATCTTTATCCTTTATATTTTGGGGAGAAAGTACTCAAAATGGAAAATGTTGACAGTGTTCCTGTGTATGTCAGTTGCCTTTCTAGCTGATGGGATTTGCAATAAGACTAGAAATCGATTGCTCAAGCTCAGCTTTCTTATTGTTTCTCCACAGTAGCACTTTGTTAGAAAAGCAGGTTTCTTTTTAATGAAAGTGAAAAACAGCTGTCCTTGTGCTGTGGTCTTCCTTTGCAATACATGTTGTTTTTTTAACGTTGGACCACTCCTAATATAAACTCTGGAGAAAAATTGATAATCCAAGTAACTTTTTTTTTAGGAGATTCATTGCATTTTTGTATGTTTCAATACTTTTGTAAAGTGCAGAAGGAACTGAATTCTACCTCATTCCAATTTTCTTTGCATTTCATACAGTGCAAATACTAGGATCCAGTACTTTTGGTGGAGGAAGCAGTGAGAAAACCAGTTTGTGCCTTGCTCCCCTATTACAATTTTGTGAAATACATCACTTCAGCGAAACAGAAGTAGCAAGACTGAATAGTAATAATAAATTTGCTGTTCTTCCATACATATGTCATTTCAGCCTTGATGGTTCCTAAACTACACGTATACTGCCCCTAAAATTAGATGCTAGAAACGATTTGGTTACAGCTCAGTCCTGATTAATTCTACTGAGTACATACAGTGTTTACTGAGAGTAAAATCCATGCGTTAATTAAGGCTGACATAATTACTTGAGTGAATGTGGAGTTAGAGAGTTCACTGCCAAAAAATAGTTTGTATGAATCAAATTTAATGATGGTGAAATCATGTAACCTTGTCTATAAATTAGTTAGCAGCCTAGATTGAGTAAGAATGTTCTGTTGACTTCTGGGTTTGATGAGTCGCTTGCACTTGTCTGGAATCAGTAGAAGAGTTTGATAAAACATTTCATATAACTGAATAAATTAATATACTCCTAAAACTATTTTTTATCTTTCCATCACTATGCAACACTTGGAGGATTTTGCTTTAGACACACAGGTTTTCAAACTGATAAGCACAAACTTCCAACAGCAATTGCAGGCTGCCTTGGTCTGGGAGCTGAGGGTTAAATTTGTCTGTAATAATCTGACTAGGATAATAATCATGACATATCACTGCTGTATGTAGATTACTCTTAAACTAAATGTTATCCCATTATCAATTTAGTAACTTAATCTTTTCAAGGTTTGGAAACTTCTCAGTACGAGGTGTTAATACAACTTCCTGAATGGTCGTTTAAGCAGTGTTGTAGACAAAACCCATAAAACCTTGAAGTTCATGTTGATGTTTATCATTGAAGGTATCCATCTCGTATTGAGAAGATAGATTATGAAGAGGGGAAGATGTTGGTCCATTTTGAACGTTGGAGTCATCGCTATGATGAGTGGATTTACTGGGACAGCAACAGGTTGCGGCCCTTGGAGCGACCAGCGTTAAGGAAAGAAGGGTTGAAAGATGATGAAGAATTTGTTGTAAGTGGCACATTAGTTTTGTCTTTGGCTTTTTCTACTTATTTTCCAACATTATGTCTCTCTAGCTGATGATGTTTAGTACCTTTTAGGAAATAAATATAGATTATTAAAATATTAATGACTGAATTTGTATATAATAGGATTTTAAGCCTGGAGAAGAAGTCCTAGCTCGTTGGACAGACTGTCGATATTACCCTGCAAAGATTGAAGCAATTAATAAAGAGGGTATGTATTCATGTGTGGTCCCTCGGTAAGGGCTGTTTGCATATGCTGTGCTGTAGCTGTAGTCCACTTAAAAATGTGCACATGTATAAAGTTTTCTTCACTGCCTCAAGATTAAGTGAAAATGTTTCTATTATGTGTGTTACTAAGAGGTTTGTCTTTTATCTGTGTGAAATTAGAGAATCTGAATTTCTCCTAGAAGAGAAAATGCTTAATGTTTCCTCAGGGGTGAGAAGAATATCCATGCAGTGTTATGTGTATTTTATGCTATTGTTGATTTGGCCTAGCAATATATTTAAATTTTCATAATTGTTTTAGGAATGGTAGGTTTCTTCTGTTTATTGAAGAAAAACAGTGGAAATGGGTAAAGAAAGGAACACCTTAGATGCAGTATTTCTAATGAACATAAGTAGAAGTTGAAGTTTTTGCTGTAATTTAAAGCAAATGAGGATTTAATTGTGAATGGAATTATTTTCCTTTTGTGGCAACTTAAATATTAGGCAATGCTTTAAATGAATTATGAGTAAGAATGGCACAAGAGCTTAAACATTCTTGAAGTTGTCCAGGTGAACAAAAAACAACAATATAAAAGCTGGGTTTCATTGAAGCAATAATTTATTTTAAGAAAAAAGTTCTTGATCCTAACTGTAGGTAAAACCTAGTTACTTTGGTCATACAGCTTACAAAATATTTTGCTAAAGCTTTCATAGTAACAAGGTGTGTTTGTTTGTTAGCTACTCAGAGTGATTGCATCAATCCTTTTCTAGGAACATTCACAGTGCAGTTCTATGATGGTGTTATTCGATGTCTTAAGAGGATGCATATCAAATCTATGCCAGAGGATGCAAAAGGGCAGGTAAGAATACTTTAGCTGTCATTTTGTTAGGATTTATTTAGATAGTAAAAATATAATCAAGTGCAACTAGTTTTAGATTACAGTCTTTATTCCAGGTCCTGCATTTCCTTGTGCCTTCCCACTTTTATGGATAATGCCCAGAGTGCTGCTCAAGCAGTCTTGCCTCTACCTGAAATGTCCAGCTGCCATGCACTCCACTGCTGACTAACCTATCCCAGAGTTTTGTCTTGCAAAGTTTACAAAACATGGGATATCCAGAGACTTTTTCATCTGGTGTCCTTTCAGAAAAAAAGATTTAGCTTGCCAGTAGTCTGTCCTGCAGACTTGATTTTTTTTCTTTCCCATCTTTGTTTGCTACTGTGGTAGCTTTTTGCTTACATCTTATTAATACAACTGTTCCGTGGGAGATTTCTCCCCATATCAGAACTTTTGAGGATTCAGACAGTTTTTTTTTATTTTTTCCTCATAATTTTCAGTTGCTGTTGAAGAGATGCTGAGTAGAAGTTGAGGGAGGGTGTGGAGTATGTAATTCAATCACTAGGCATATCTTTACTTGAAAAACAACACTGAAAACTTGTTACATGCTTTCAGTGGAAATGCCTTGCATTTATCCTGCATGGTAACTGCATTCTCATAGTTAATGAGAAATTACTCCTCTGATACTTTTTGAGAGTTAGGTTGCTGTTGAAGAGATGCTGAGTAGAAGTTGAGGGAGGGTGTGGAGTATGTAATTCAATCACTAGGCATATCTTTACTTGAAAAACAACACTGAAAACTTGTTACATGCTTTCAGTGGAAATGCCTTGCATTTATCCTGCATGGTAACTGCATTCTCATAGTTAATGAGAAATTACTCCTCTGATACTTTTTGAGAGTTAGGGATAAGAAATGTGAAAAAACTGCTTGCTTTTTGCATCGTGTTTTCTTCAGAATTACTCCTTCTAACTTGGCAAACAAAATTTCATAACTGTTGTAACCATCCATATTGCAACAAGGGTAAATGGCTAAGCAACATGGCTTGAAAACATTTCCATGTCCTGGCCTCCAAGTTACAGGTGGCTATGTACTAGGGTTGATTGTCTATGCAAAGAACATTGGAACTTTGTGCAGGCAACACTGCACTATTTAAACTATGTTTCCTTAAAGATATGAAACTGAAATCCATAGTCACTGTAACACTAGCTTCTTGCTGCAGTCTCACAGTAACTTAGTTGAATCAGTATACAATATTTCAGACAATGCTTGCAGCTTGACAGTAAGTTAGGAAGCTGGAGTGTTTCATTTTACTTCTTAAAAAGGAAAACTTGGGTAATGTGGTTGTGACTGAACTGAAATAGCTTTTCTGTGACAATGTAAAGAAGTTCCTTACTCTGTCCTGTACTTTTCTAGGGAACTATGTTGTGTCTAATCTTGAGTTACTACTGTCAGGCCACAGACATTTTCAGATTTAAGAAATAGTAATTCCATTTCTTAGCAACCACTTTAATGTCCAGACATGCTTGGTGGCAGTCCAGCTCTTATTTCTAATTTTTCTCAGTAGTCGAGAGTTATGGTATCAGTCTCAGGCATCTCAGGGACTGAACGTAGGTGGCTTCACTGAACTCTTGAGTAAAGAATAAGGGGATAAAATTTACCCTTTCTGAGATAGATTTAGATTTTTTAAGTTGTCTCACAGCAAGGACAGCAGTTACTCTTTCTTACAACGTTAATTGATACTAGTCTTAGCATTTTGTTTAGCAAAATTAAAGAGAGAAGCATGGAGTTCTGTAGCTTCCAGAAGTAAAGATGCTATTCTTCTGCAACATCTACATCAATATGTTATGGTAAAATATTTGCTTTTCAAAATAGTTTTTTGATATTTAAGAAGAAAAATGTGATTTTTTTGTTTGATAATCAGTTATCTGAACCTGAGCTATGCCTGAGCCTGGACTTCAAATGGGTGTTTCTGTTTTTTTGCATAATTTATTTTATAGGAAGACATTTACTAAAAATTATGTAAATCTTGAAAAATGCCAAGAATATAACTTGAAAAACAGTGGAGCTGGCAGATCCAAAACTTCATACTTTATTTAAACCTATATCTTGTTTCTTTGTCCATTTTTAAAAAAAACCAACAAACAACAACAAAAAAGCCCAACAATTTCAAGAGATGAGTTTAAGCTTAAGGTACTTTAAGTTCTTGGGATTTAGCAAAATTTACCAAAAGTAAGATTGAGATCTGTTTGAAGGTGTGTGCTAAGCATACAGAATTTGAATTGCATGGAGGGGAGGGGAAGAGAGAAACTAGTTAATTCTATGATTTGAGCTTAGTGTGTTGTAAAGGAAGAGACTGTAAACCTTGTAACACTCAAACTTTTTTTGAGTTGCAGCAGAAGTGTGTTTTAATAAGACTCAGCTGTGAGAGTGGAAAAGCAACATTTTTAAAGAGTGGAAAATATTTGTGTGGTTCAAGGCTGTAGGTCAGGTTCCTCTGCAGATGAGCACGCATGAATGGAAACCACACAGAAATGTTGCTAATGTAGTACAGAGAGAAAATTAAAAAAAATAAAAGATGGGGTTATTGAGATTGCCCTTGTGAGAGCACATATGAAGTATTTGGATAACTTACTTTTTCTGTTTCATGTTTTTTGTTTTATCTTCGATATAATTAGGCGCGCGAGAGGGAGCAGATAGCGCCGGAGCTGAGATTAGTGACGGAAATCGAACCAAAAGAAGTGAGTTTTGAGGAGGGTTTTGAAGGAGAGGGAGGGGACATGGCACACAGGAAGAGGAAGCTGAGGAAAAAAAGCATGGATTTGCAATTGGAACAGAGGAAGAAGATGATGAGGAGACAATGTGAGCCCAGATATAGGTGGGGCAGACTGTTTAGAATTGAAAGGTGAGGTTAAGGAATTCAGGCTCAATGTGGGATCAAGCCAGTCAGTAGATTGGTGATATTTTATGTATGTGGATGTATGAATGTATGGGAGTTGGGAGTTGTGGTGTGTCAGGAGAGGAAGAACAGCTGAATCTTTAGTACTGCAGAAACCCAAAAAGATGGTGTTTGTAGGCAGGTGAAGGGAAAATGCTGTGTATGTGAATTCTGCCATTGACACAAGGATTGGGTTTTAGGAATTATGCTGGTTTTGCTTTCTCACTGTTGCAGGTTTAAGGTTATGCAAAGGAATATTTTAAAATATAAGTGTTTTAGCCAATTGATGAGAAAGGCTGTTGGGTAATTTCAAGTAAGGTATTTCTTGATTGTGTAATTTTCTGTGCTTTGATTTAGTAAATCTAATTAGCATAATTACAGTTTTCCTCAGTAGTGATAAAGTAATGTTTTGTCTTCTAACTACGTTGTCCCATTACTTCTCTCCTGTCAGTTTTCTCAGCCTACTTGAAGGATGTATTTTATATTTTAGTAAGAAAAAACATACTTTTTTTTTTTTAAGCTATATATGTAAATGAGACACTTGCACTGGAGTGGGGATACTGTTAAGAAGTGGGAAATCAGACAGTACAGAGTAAGTGATGCAGAGTTACAAAACACAGCCAATAGAGGGACATGAGGGAGAATCTGGGAAAGCTTTGGAGGATTTTGCTTTAACTGTATTAATTTGTAATGTTTTCATATTTGGTGAAAAAGGCACAAATGCATTGAAGGGAGTTCCTGTGCTCATCAAAAGAGACAGTCACATTAGGATCTTAGATGCTAAGTAGTGCTCACATGTGAAGAGCTGTGAAGCTGAACACAGGAGTTGAAGGTTAAAAAGCAAGAAATACCTTGGTCATTTTCGTGCCTATGTATTTACTCTGTAAACAAAGCAAAAATGAACCCACAGAGTTTCTGGCCAATTCAGAATCACAAATTGTTGAGGTTGGAAGTGACTGCTTGAGATAATCTTATCCTCCCCCTCGCTCAAGGTTATCTTCACTGAGTTTAAGTTTACATGTAAATCTAGGGGAAAAGTATAACTGTCACCATAATTAATGTGTCTGCTCTGGCTTCTGAATGTTTAGTCTTTGATTGCTTCATTGTTATATGTGTCCTGCTACTCTTTGTAAGCTTCATGTCTTGAAGGAAAATATCCAAACAATGAAATAAAATGCAAACAAAAAAGCCCTTCTTTTTGCACCAGAACAGCTACCATTAGAACAGGATACTTAGTTCAATGTGGCCCTTGAAGCTCAGTATCTCTGCAAAGCTTCTGATTTCTGGGTGCTTAGCTTGATTAAAAGTTAAAATGCTGTTTAGAAGCTGTTTTGCTGCAGGCTGCCCTTCCTTTGTTTCCCACTTTTATCATAAGATCCAAGCTCCAGCCATGTTACTGATCCTCTTCATCCCTTGGCCAGGGTACAGTGTAAGACTTCTACTCTCAGGTCTCCTAACTCCTCACCAGCACAAATAGCTCCAATCCTTTTTTTGTCCTGCTGGATGGGCAAGGCTCTGGATGGACTGGAGCTAATGTGTGTGCTCGTTTTGGCTGGCCAAAAATGAGGTATGTGTGTTTTTGATTGACTATGCAGCTGGCAGTTAGACACGCTCTTTGTGGCTGGCATATCACCAAATGGCCTTGGTAGTTGCCTGTTGTGAAAGCATAGCCAAAGCACTTCCAAACTGCTCTGCTGCTAGCTTGACAGTGTATGCAACTTGTACTGACAGTTTGGACAGGGGACACTTAATTTTGGAGGAGTCAAAGCTCTTGGTGCTCCTAAGTGGATATCTTGATGCAATTTAGAAGCATAATCTAGGTAAAACAGTGGTTTAACAATATTGAGCTTTGGAAAAGAAAAGGCATAATAAAATGAAAAGTAACACTTTGTATTTTGTGTTATGTTTTTCTTGTACATAAAAGAAGGCAAAGAAACCTTAAACCAGTAATTTGAAAGACTTGTAATATGTAATGAGTAAGAAAAAGTTTTATTGAAACAAGATTTATGATACCAAGATACTGTAGGTACCTTGTATAATAACATAACAACAAAAGTCCAGAATACAATATAGTCTGTTTTCAGCTGGGGAAAAAAAAAATTACCTATTCATAAAGCACACATGCAAAACTAGGCAAAAAATAGTCTTTATCATACTTTGTTTAGTTATGGTAGAACAAATCTGCCAATACTTGTGTAGCCAAATCATCATGTAGTAAGTTAGTTGTAGTTCAAAACACTCATGTTTAATTCTTACTAGTGGAGGATGAATTTTGCTATTGGTTTTTGCATCACATACAGAATCCTAGAATGGTTTGAGCTAGAAGAGACCTTAAGGATTATCTAGGTCCAAACCCCCTCCATGGGCAGGAGCACTTCCCACTAGACCAGATTGTTCAAAACCCCATCCAGCCTGCCCTTGATGTCTTCAAGAGAGGGGGCATCCACAGCCTGATCTATGTACATTCTCCGTGGAAAAATTCTGTACCTTGATGTTATAGAAAATTTGAAATACTACTTGAGTTAAAAGGATCAAATTAAAAGTTTTGCAGTCAGGTTGATCCCTGACACTCAGGAGACATAAGGCAGGAGTCTGATCACTCCAAACTAGTGGAAAGAGCTTGGCTCAGCCTGGGAAGTATTTAGTTCTCCCTGATGACTTACAGGGAGGCTACACTTTGTCTACATACCAAAAAGTAGATTAATTTGAGCAGTATGTTGTGTTGTTCATGCCTTGGATGTTTCTATGTGGTCAATAAGCTATTATTAAAAAATGGCACTTTTATTACCTTAAATGTTTCCTGTGAGATTTGGTCATATTGTAGAGCACTTTATTGGAATTATCAAATGAAACTTGTAATATGTTAACACAAAGAGTGCTACCTGTAGTTACTCTAGGAAAACAGATGATGAGAGTTCTCTCTGCTTTATCAGTTTAATTCAGGAAGAACTCTGCCCAATCATGCAGCTGCCTAGACCCTTCTTGGAGTTGAATGTAGTTTTGAATAATAGTTTTATTGGAGAAAAAAGTAATTGGTGTATTTCACTGGGTAAGAAAAAAGTCAGTGTTCTTGTTTTGGGAGCTCCTGGGTTTCTAGAGCTAGGACAAATAAAATAGGTAGCATGGAATGTGTGGAGCCAGAATTCTGTATGCAGTAGTTTTTGAAGGATTTTTAATTTTGTTTTGTATCCGTGTAGCATACTGGATTATCCTTCAAGTCTATTTAGGCAATTTGGGAAATTCATTTTACCAGTCTTTGAATAGTAGTCATAAAAATAAACTGCTCTTCAACACTTCTAGATGAAGCTTCATTGGGTTTATAAGTATTTTCTATTTGAGTCTTGGGCACATTTTAATGCTTACTTACATTTTATTTTTTCCTTTTTGGAGGATTGGATAGCTTTGGTCAAAGCTGCTGCAGCAGCAGCAGCCAAGAACAAAGCAGGAAGTAAGCCTAGAACCAGTGCAAACAGCAATAAGGATAAAGAGGACAGAAAATGGCTAAAAGTTCCTTCAAAGAAGGAAGAAACTTCAACCTCTACAATCATGCAGGAAGTTCAAAAAAAGGAAGAGGAGCCTACATCTAGTGACACATTTGGTAAAAACAAATTCTATTAAATATAAAATATGTTCTTCTGAAATTTAGAAGTAGAATTCCTGGGGTTAATTATACAATTAAGTAATAAGTTGTTATTTGTAGAGGAAAATGTCTTGTTTGCTATTATGATAACATTATGATATGTTAAACTTTTTAGTTCAGGGATACTTTTTAAAATCAGATAAATCTACTTCAGTTAGTATTTAATCCTTGTGCAAAACTTCTAACTAGCTCTAATAAGCAGAACGTTGTGGATTTTTTTAATGGGTTCATGGTATGCTTTGGTTCATAATCCTACATCTTCTATTACCTGTGACATAATTCCTGATCCCAGTGTAAGGAATAAAATTCCAGTATGGATGATAAATTTATCCGTATTCAGGGCTGCTTGAAACAATTTCTGGGTTGATAAGGATTTGGTAATTTGAATAGTCTTTAATACTGCATTTCTCATAATATTGAGTAAAAATTACAAGTATCAAGGTAATTTGAATTTAATGCCTCAATGTATGATTCTAAATCTTCAGAATGCATAACTTTAATTTTTAATGTGATTTTAAATTTTATTTGCTTCCCTATTCTAATAGCAGTTCTGAAGGACTGAAGTATTTTGCATGTTGTTACATATTTATGAAATGTGAATTTATTAGATTTCTCTTCTGTTTGCAAGTAGGATTTCCTGTAGTGGATGTTCCAAAGATGACCTTTGTGCAGGCAGAGAGCACGTTGTCCCACAAGAGGAAAAGCAATCTAGGCAACTCATTTCAGGCAAAGAGAGCTCGTCTTAACAAGATCACTGGTAAAATACTTCTTTCTGACTACTTTTTTCTTTTTTAACATTTACATACTTACATACAAGGTACTAAAATAGATGGGTAAAAGCACATTCATGAGGCAGATTTCCACTACAGTCTTTTTACTTGTTTGGAATTCTAAAGGAATCTATAATTTGTAATAAAATTTGTCTTGTTCATAATTTCAGTGAATGGTTGCAGACTTGACTTGGTCTTTTTTCTTTTCTGGGAAGGTAACTGTCCTTAACTGATTAATTTTTTGAGAATGTTTTAACTCCAGCTGCACAGTTTTTCTCTATTATTGGGTAAATTTGGGATTTATACAAGTTGATTATGAGTTACATGCTATTTGTCTAAAGTAAAACTGTTCCTGAAAAGAGTTTACAGTAGGTAATTGGACCGTTTACAAGCCTGGCTACAAATTGAAGCGTTTTTTTCAGTGTCTAAGACATTAGTTCCCTGTTTATTACTCAAAGGTACAAATGGAAAACAAGTACACAGCTATAGAATGCATTTTATACAAGAGGGAATTTAGTAATAGATAATTAGTCTTATCTTTAAAATTTGAAAAATTAATTTTATTCCAAAATTTAATATAAATTTACTTAACTGTGACTCTTGGACAGAGAGTAAGAAATGCATTCCACTTATTCTTCTAGTAAATAATACTTTGTGTGAACTCTGACAGTTTTCTATACTACAGGTGACAGGGATTTGTCTTTGGTATTTTATAGTAGATAAGGTTAATGTGATAAGTCTTTCTTGTTGCTTTATGGTAAAAATAAGCTGATGTATTAAACTGCATGATGTTTTTGCAGACTTGTTTTGGCTGTTCCAATCTTTCACAGGTCAGCAGTTGAAGATGTTTAGTCAGTTTCCATTTGAGTGTGGTTCCGTTCGAGTCAGTCCTTCAATCTAAAGGAGAAAAAACTTGAGATGGGCCAGTATAGAACATAATATGAAGGAAGAAAGCTTTAGAAAAACCCATCTTCTGCTTCCAGAATTGTATTTCCTGGAAGAAAGCTTCTTATTTGGTACCAGGTTTAGTTAACAGGTGTCTGATTTAGCAGCCTCATTTCTACTCTCCTTTGCCCATACTACCATGAACAGAAGTAGAAGATAATGTACTACAGGTAGTGATGTAAGTTTATAGAGCCCTGTTAGTTTTTTTCCCAGTTAGTAGGAAAAGATACCAAAACCAGCTGAAAAACCTGTAGCTCTAGAAACTGTATTTTTCTGGCTTTATGGATAGATACTCCTTTCCTAAGGAGTTTTGTGAGAGTACTAGCAGTGGGATACGCTCATACACACTGAATGAAGTAATCAGAAAAATCATGTTGCAGACACTGAGTTTTATAATTCTCTAAAAGCAATATCTCTCTCTCCAAGAAAGCATGCACTTCACTAGGAAAGAATATATTACCATTCAATGGAAGTGAATTAATCCTTTAATTAAAAGATGAGATCTGTCATCCTTCGTAGATACTTTGTGTGACTGGTCTCAATAAACTTTTGCAACTCATAGCATAGTAGGCATATAACAGAGTATTTTGAAAATGTAATTTCTGATGATCAAATTTTCTTTTGCTACAGGCTTATTTCTTATGCTTGAAATACTTATAAATTGTTTGTGTCTCTGGCATGAGGTTTTAGATACAGAGGAAGGCTGGGAATCATGCTGGTGTGCCCATCAGAATGGCTACAAAAGAATCATAAAGCATTGTAGCTGTTAGGAAAAATTCATATACCAAATGTCTTATGGCTGTTTGGAGAAATAAAGCAAACAATGTGGTTGTAGGAGGCTGTCTAAAAGGAACTGTTTTCTGATTTTTAATTCATCATTCAGTGTTTGTTGCAGAACTGTCTTGTCTGCCAAAAGGGCCACTGCTGTATCTGGTGTTCTTTGCTCACCACTGACCAAAATAAAGTTGCTTTCTTTGCCCCTTTTTCTTCTGCCTCTGCCACCAGCAGAAATTATATTTCCCAAAGGTGAAGGATGGCTCTTACTAAACATGCATTAACATCTTCTTCCAATTAGTTTTTGCCTCTTTTGGAATGCTTGCTTCCACATTTTCTGCTGCACTGTTGATACCTAAAAGAACATATAACATCAGCAGCAAACTTACTGAGCAAACACTTGTGGTTCACTGTGCCACCCCATGCTCTTTATTTGTCACATGCTGTTACTAACAGGGGATGGTGAACCTGTAGTCCTGCTGCTGCAGTAGCCTGTGGAGTTGTTTTGCCTTTCTGCAGATGTGGTTATTGGTTAGAAAGATACTTAATGGGGTAGAGAAGAAGGAAATAAGAAGTGTCATACTCTCAAGTCTGACAGAATCTAGATGTTTTTAATGGCTTTACTTTCTGAGCACTGAGCATCTAGTTAGAAATAGAAATCATAGAATGGTTTGGATTGGAAGGCACATCTAGTCCAACTCCCCTGCCATGGGCAGGGACATTATCTGCTGTATCAGGTTGCTCCAGGTCCTGTCCAGCTTAACCTTGAACATTGCCAGTGATGGTGCATCCACAGCTTTTCTGAGCAACCTTGTGACTTGTAGAACCACAAAAGTTGCCTTCTAGATTGTAGCTGGTAGCTTAGTGTCTAAAACTACTTAATTACATTTTGGAAATTACTTTATGCTTATCATTGTAGATGTGTTGTTAATATGAACCCTGGTAATTTTACAACTTAATTGAAACAGGAAAATTTGAGTGACAAAGTTTTATTTAGGACCATGAAACTTAAATCTTTCAGGAAGCCTAGTGCAGAATAAAAATGTTGCCTGATAATTTTATTTATATTAATGCAACAGGCCTAAGTAAGTTTCTGCTTTTTAGTTAACCTGTTTAGCTGTAAAATCAATCCGTTTGCACCTCTTCTTATGGACATAGTGTTCTTAAATACTTTATTTAAAACATAACTACTTTCCAGTAAACTGAAGCATAACTTAATCTACCATGAAGAGTAAATGAAAAAAAAACTAGTATTTGTTGTGCAATTCTGAAATGTGATAACTCTAGCAAAATATCACAGGTTTTTTTTCTGTGTGTTTGTTTTTTTTTAATGTCCTAAAAGGTTCCTGAGAGCCCAGGCTTTGCTGATTTATAGTAGCTTGGGCACTGTGCACTGTAGATTAATATTATGCATATCTAATTTTTCATGGAACACAACAGGAATTTCCTGTGGATCTGTCAGGTCAAGTTATTATGAAGATGTAAACTCTCCACCCCCAATATTGACATGCCCAGAGATTATAATAGTAACTTTTAATCAGATTTGTGTTTTTCAGGTTTTATCAGTTCTTCTTTGTCTTCTGGCATTGAAATTTTTCTTTCTCTGCATACCTGAAGTTCTTGTGTGAAGCTGAACTGAAGCTATTTCTATAGACTTGGCAAAAAAAAGTTCCTCATTGCCTTTTCTTTTACACATATTTTTTTTTAGTAGTGATATTGTGTATGAGCTCATGAAAGAGCCAACATATTCTGGTGTATTTGCTCTCAGGATGGTCTTGTTTTTGAGGTAGCTTGGGAGCTCTGCTCCTGGGACTATTCATTTGGAAATTAAATCCCTTGTTGTGTCTAAGAAAGGTTGGCATGTGTTAGAGTTAAGAAGTAGTAGTGCAAATTCTGATGGGAATTCCTTAAACAACTGAGAAGGAGAGTGAAAGAGGTTTATAAAGAATTTTGATGTCTCAGAATTTAGTGAAATGCCACAGCCTTTATTTTAAAGCCCAAAAGCTTTAAAAGGATGGTGAGGGATTATTTTAGAACTGATAATTTGATTTTTTTTTCTTGTTAGCAGAAGCGCCAGGGAAGTACCTCTCAGGAAAGGGCACCATCATGGGATGATCCTTTAACTTTTTGTTTCTTCTAACTTAAAGTATTCAGCTTTGTGTGGAGCAGTTTCAAAGAGAATGATGTTGCAGATATAAGCAATTCATATTTCTTACCTCACTGTTTTGATTTGTTTCCCACAAATTCATGTTGCAATCTGCTTCTAAGTAAAAATCTGCAATTTTTCTCCTAAGGTTTATTGGCATCCAAAGCTGTTGTTGCGGATGGTGCTGAAAAAAAGGAAGGCAGCAAAGAAACAGCTCCAGTCCTGGAGCAGGTATGAAATGGTAGAGTTTGATTCTTTTGCAAGGTTCCCACTGGAGTGTGCCATGGAGATGTAGTACCTACAACATTAAGATTTGCCCCTTCAGATATAATAGGGAACTGAAAATTGATCTTATGTTTACATTTCTGGCAGAGCCAGAAGTATGGAATTGAATTGTCTCTAAACACAGTGTTGACTTGAATTTTCAATAATGAGGTTTTGTGCTAGAAAAGTAACAGAAAACAAAGTCTCCGTGCAACAAATGTGAGGAGACCAGTGTCCCAAGGTCCAGTTTTACAGCTGGAACTATGACCAGGTTAGGAAAATGCCCTTACACAAATTTAGTTTGTGTTTGAAACAGGGTTTTTGACATCAAATAGAACTTCTTATAAGAAGTTTCTTTTATATTGTAAGAATTTGGTGTTGTAGGCTTGTATGTGTTTTATGAACTGCTCAATGAGCCATAAATTTTGCAAGGGTGTGTATTTTAATAAATACAAAAAAGAAACTTTTAAATAATGTTAAGGGTCTGATTTTTAAACCCGCATATTTGCAGGACCTGAAGGCTGCCATTTGATCTTTGGCTTATTCCACTGTGCTCAGGCATTGCTTGACTTTGTTGTGCATTGTCTTGCATATTGAAAGGGCTGAATGCCTAAGCATGGTAAAGCAAGCTAAGGATGAACAGTAGTCTTGATTCAGGACATCTTTGTTTTCCAGTTATTTAAATCAGAGCCTTAATGTAGTTTTAATACAGCTTTTTTGTATTCATTTTCATTCTTTTACAACAACAACATTTGAACAGAATAGGCTTGCTACCCGCAATTCTTATAAGAGCACTTCTGTTCTTAAGCCCCGGCACACTCTATGAACAGTCCCTACCCCAGACTTTATTTGATATTTTGGTTCTACTGGTTCCTTAGAGCTGATATATAATTGCATTTCTGTGTCTTTTTTTTTTTTTTCCATTGACACTGCATTGGATGTGAGTCTTGTCAATGGACCATGACTTTGTTTTTAATGCTGTCACCCTAACGGCGAACTGAGCCCCTACGGTGTCAGTGCATTGACCAATATTTTGCATAAAGGTTTACAATATCTTGACATGACCTTCCATTTCTCAATTTTTTTGCATATTAAAGATGCTATGATTTTCTTGCTACTGTGTGTGATATTTTCAATGTGCAAAAAACTGTGAAATGGCTTACAGCATGTTGTTTTTTGGAGGAATCATTACAATGTAAATCTTACCTTGCAGAATCCCATTATGGTGAATGGGACTTTGTGGTTTACATAGACTGTGTATGCAACAGTATAAACTGCAGTGCATATTTACAAAAGACTTGTTACTTAGACTTGATAACTCGGCTATTTCTGTTTTATTGATTAGATATTTAAAAAAAAAAAAAAAAGATGTCTCTGTCATTGTTTACATGTTAATGGTCTGGAAAACCTCATTTCTTTGGAAATACTAGCTAAGCTCTTTTAAAGAGGCATCTAAAATCCTAAATTGTCCTGTCCCTTCACTTCTAACTAAAAACAGAAACCTCACAAACATGCATATTCTGAACTGTGGGGAGGAATATTTTTGAGCTTATAGCTTTTTTCACTTAGTTTCTGCTCAAATTCAAATGGCCGAGTTATAAACCTCCCCAAAAGGTCTTAGCAAAGCTGACATTCCTTAAAGGTTTTGTCTGCTACTGCTATCAAATTAAATGGGTAAAAATATCTTGTAGGGTTTTTTCAGTAATGTAATGCAGAACATGGTAGAAGTATTCAGGCCAATAGCTGAAAACTGACTTTGTTGATGAAGTTTATTTATATTTATCTATTTTTAGTTTACAGTTGTCTTAAACCCAAAACTTCAGATGATTAGTTGCAGATACAGTAGTTTATCTAACTGTATTAGGGTATGTCATGTTATACTTTCTTTTGACCAAGACCTGATTAGATCAATAACATTCATTCATTAAGGTTTTTTAATGTTAATTTGTCCTGTTAAGAGGTTAAGCACCTTATCAAAATATTAATTTAATTTTTTTAATCTTGTTTAAATAACTTTGTAATTTGAAAGTAATGGATGCTGTAGTAATGTCTTTCACATCTGTGAAGATGAACAATAAAATTGTTTATTTACAAGTTACGACTCTAATTACTTTCTGGTAATACCTCTCATAACCAGCATAGGTTTACTCCACAGTTCATGGAATATTTTACTCAAATGAATAAACTGCACTTAGTATATGTTTAATTGAGTTATTCAAGGTAGAACTGATGTCTACTGAATGGGGATGTTTTGCACCGGATCTTTACGTGATATTTCCAGCAAGCTATTAATGTAGCATTCAGAGGTGGCCTTTTACAAACGTAGAATCTGCACTTGTGGTTTTTTGTTCTGCTTTTTATTTTTTCCATGGGAATATTGAAAGTTCCAGTGGAAAATAAACCGGTGTTTTATAAAAAAGCACAATAATACCCTCAAATCATCAGAGATGTGATGTTTTTAGTTTGGATAATGTGGTGCACAGACTCTGGAAATATCTTTAAACTTTTTTAATTGTGGTTTTATTAGATGGTAGTATGTTGTGTGATGTAACTGGGACAAGAAAAGGGACAGGTTTAAGAAATTATGCTCAGATATTGTAGTGTGCCATTACTGGGCAAGTTGTAACACATGCATAGTTTACTCAGTAAAGGAAGAACTTCCAGTTAAATACCTAAAATGCTAATGTCTGTCAGTGCATGCAAGTTGTCAAAAAATAATAGTTTAGTGTGTGTGTTAAGAAGGATGAAAACTGATGGCATTGAGAAGCTGCATTATATGTTGGTTTTTGGGGTTTTTTTTTTCAAAAACTGGTTTAACTCTTTATCTGCTCATTTTCCCCTAACAGTTAGCAATCTGTTTAACCCTGTGGTGCTAGAAGTTGTGATTTCTTCATGTGTTTGCACAAACATATGATGTGGTGAAATCCAGACTCCCAGCACTGAAAAGGGTTTTGTGAGAGTGTTCAGTATTTGGAAACCTTTTGTTGTTTTCAGACATTCCTTAAAGGAGCATTATCAACTTTTTCAGGTTCTCCCCTAAAAATGAAATTTGTCTTAAACAAATCACTTCCTGATGAAGTGGGTTTTATTGTGGGTTTTTTTTTGCTATTGTTAGGGAAATTACTATGGAGGGAAAATCTTGGCAACTTTTTTTTGAATTGCAGTCTGCTGAGCAAGGATTGCTTGATTGTAGCAGTGTAAACACCTGTCAGAGTTCAAGGAGTGTCTGAATGATGCTCTTAGTCATATGGTTTAGTTTTGGGTCATCCTGGAAGGACCAGGGAGTTGGACTCAATGATCCTGATTGTAGACTGTAGATCAGTGCATGTATTCTAGCTTTATCAAGTGTTCTCCAAGTTACACTTTGGGGCAGCACTGACAGTCTTTGTCTACTAAATATGAAGAGACAGAAACTAAAAAGACACTGGTGAATTTTTAAAATGGGGATAGAGAAAAAATGTTATGTTTTCAGGTTTTTTGCAGGTATTTCAAGTAGGAAGAAATGAAGATGTGCTGAATTCTGAAAATAATTGATAGTGCTCCTTTAAAAGAAAGAGTTTAATCTGATGCATTTTAAATAATTTTTATTTGTACTGAAAGTAATGTTGCCTTAAAATGTGTTTTGAATACTGAAGTTGCTTTTAAAAAGATCAAAATAGATTGCAAGAACTACAGCGAAGAAACTGAAATAAAAGTATCAATTTTTTATTATTTATTCAGGAGATTTCACCTAAACCACAAAGTCAGAAAAAAAATGAAGCTGATATTAGCAGTTCTGCCAACATTCAGAAACCTGCACTGTTATCCTCAACTTTGTCTTCAGGAAAGGCTCGCAGCAAGAAATGCAAACAAGAATCTGGAGATTCTTCTGGGTGTATAAAGCCCCCTAAATCACCACTTTCCCCAGAATTAATACAAGTCGAGGATTTGACGCTGGTCTCTCAGCTTCCTTCTTCTGTGATAAATAAAACTAGTGAGCACAGACATTTTAAAAAAAATATAATTACTTATAAGAGATATGCAGATGTTTTTTTTTTTTTTTTTTTTTTTTTTTTTTTCTTTGTAAATGGCTATTGCTTCTAAAAATGAAACTGCTTTAAATAAAAGGTCCAAGTGGGAGAATTAGAGGTAGTTCAGTGTTTTAAAAGCCAACTTACATAATAAGGCATTATTCTACCAGATATAATATTTTAAAATAATACATTTATATAGCTTTTTTATTTAGCTTTTAATTGTTGGCTTTCCCTCCAGCTTAAATCTCCACATTAATATTAACAGTGATACTGGAAAAATCAAACCTCTCCTCTGACAGGGCCTGATTCATGAAAAAAAAAAAAAAAGACACACACCTTTGTTGTGAACCTTTCCCTCTCTGGGAAATTGTGCCTTCAGCAGGCTGATATGCTGTACTTGTTGGATGTCGCATTCCTCACCTTATGGGATATTTCCTCTAAATGTGATGTGAAAGAGAAGATGGGTTCAAGGTCTGTGGTGGGGAAAAATAAAAAAATCTGATTTCTTTGTCTCAGAATGATACCCCTTAGGTCTTCAGCTTCTTAATATTGGTTATCAGAAGAACAAGGAAAGGTTTATGCTGGATCCTTGAATATGCTGTTGTTTGTTAATATTAAAATATTAGAAAGGTTTTTAGCCCTGCTTAGGGTCAGGCTGTTTGTTGCCTGAAGAACATTAAATGATGAGGCCAACAGTTAAAATAAATGTGGGCTCCAGTACATCAAAAGCTTTATTTTTGCTTCACTTTTAGGATAGTGAGTGAGGATGAAAGATACCTGCATCATGTGTTCCCCTTACCCTTAACTTGATGATTTTCCTTAGGAGAGAAGGGGTTTTGAAATCTTTTCTCACATATAACTTTAAATAAATGGGAAAAGGAGGGGTGCACATTCAGCCATCTATTTATTCAGAATATATTGGTGTGAATTGTATCTTATCCCCACAGAGTATTAGTGTTCATCTATTTTGTAATACACCTTCCCTCCCCACCCCTAAAGTAATGGTAAGTAGTTTCCCTTGAGCATGTTTGTATTTTGGGTAAAGACTTCTTTGTAGCATGATTTTAAAAATCAGCTAATTTGAAAATAGGTAACTTAATAGATTACACCTTGTTAGGACTGTCTTTTATATTTTACTCCCAAGTCTTTACCACCTCTAATGGAAATATAATTTTGCTGTGTCTTTACTTTTCAACCTGTACATCTTTGTGTGTATCTAAAAACTGCTTCAGAAAAGGAGAAAACAGTGATTTACAGTGTAATAATGACTTCTGTGTTTTTCTAACACAAAGTTTGTGACACTGGGTAAAATTGGAGAGGTGTAGTGGAGTATGGTGTTGTTTTGTGTTGGTTTTTTTTTTAATGAATCAGGCCTATATTAACCTATATCAATCCCCCTATTCCTCTTTTTTTTTTTTTTTTTTTAATGAATCAGGCCTATATTAACCTATATCAATCCCCCTATTCCTCTTTTTTTTTTTTTTTTTTTAATGAATCAGGCCTATATTAACCTATATCAATCCCCCTATTCCTCTTTTTTTTTTTTTTTTTTTAATGAATCAGGCCTATATTAACCTATATCAATCCCCCTATTCCTCTTTTTTTTTTTTTTTTTTTAATGAATCAGGCCTATATTAACCTATATCAACCCCCCTATTCCCCTTTTTTTTTTTTTTTTTTAAGCATGAGGTTCTTGAGGCTTCTTACTGTGCCATGCATTGGCAGTGTGCATTTGGAATATAGGTGGGGTATTGATATAAGGTTAGCAGAAGATGGGATGTAGGATCTAAAATTATCCAGTGCTTTTGATTACTTAAGTTGTATGTTACCACCATCTGTGATTTTTTTACATCTTTTAACTGTGATAACTTGTTCTGTTGACTGTTAAATCCTACTGCCCCCTTCCATTATAAGTAGCCTACACTCACGGGTTATATGGGGGGGTTGCTTATTGTAAATACACTGTTTGCCTAAAACAACAGCTTTTGTCTGTGGGGAAGCAGATGCCCTAATAATGTATAATAATCAAAAAGCAGAATCATGTCTTGACCATAAGTCTTTTTGCTTCTGGTAGTCACAGTTTTTAATTACTTTTATTAATTCTATTGTGATTGCCAGCTTTGCAAATAAGAGCTGTTGAAAGCACTTCCAATCTTTAGATCTCAGGTACTGAGGTAAGATTATAATATATCTCTGTGCTTCATGAACATTGAAAGATCTCTTTTTAGGTCCATCACAGCCAGTGAATTCCCCTAGATCCTACAAACATAGCCAACGGAGAAGAAGATCCCAGCGTTTAGCCACTTGCTCCCTGCCTGATGATTCTGTAGAAAAAGTTTCTTCTCCCTCTTCAGTTACTGATGGAAAAGTGTTCTCCATCAGTGGTCAAAACCAACAGTCATCAAAATTGGAGGGTAATGTATCTCATCTAATAAAGACCTGCCCAAGAGAAATTGAATCATAAAAATTAGACCTTTCATGGTTTTGATCTAATGGCATATTTTGATTTGTTGTAGCTAAAGTTGTATGCTGTTCCTATTTTATGTAACGCTGCAATCCAAACTGTTTGTTGTACCTATGTATCTTTTTTAATATTACATTTTTTCTTTTATGTAGTACCTGATGTTGCTCATATGTCACTTGAGAAGCGTGGACCATGTCTCCCTCTTGATTTAAGCCGTAGTTCGGAAGTTACGGCACCATTATCCACAGAATCCACTTTCCGTAATGAATACCCCAGTAAAGACAAGGAAGATATTCAGATGATTACATATCTGTCTTCCAAAGCAGTAACTGATGGAAGAGTAGCTACAACAGCGTCAGGTAAAGAGATTCAGTCTACAATCAGTTAGGTTTATAGTTGTAGGGCCAAAACATGTTTATGTTCAGTCACACAGAAAGAGTAGATCCTTTTTTTTCTGCACTCTCTCAAACCTGCCACTCTTCCTGGGGTCCATCCACTGTATATTCTTCCTCTTCCACTGACCTTCAGCTGCGTTAGCACTAACACACTTTAAGGAGGATTTGAGAACGTGAGCTACAAAAAGCATTATTTCTTTCAAAAATACTTCATTGTTAAAACTTATAAAAATAATTTATGTTGTTTACTAACATACTAACACATACTAAATCTAGATGTGCGCATTGATCTTGTTGCTTTAGCTTTAAAACTTAGCAGCATTCTGTGAAGCAGTCAGCATTCCTCTGCCTTTGCTTCTGTTTGCAGTGGAAATTTTGTCATTTGCTTGCTACAAAATGTTACTTGACAATATTTCTGAAAACTCTAAAACTTATATGGACTTGGTTCACCCTCACGATTGGTATAGAGCCCAATACTGGGGCTCTGAGCTGCCTCTCACTTTGTAACAGTTTGCTGGCTACTGTGGTTTAAGTGAATCAATTTGATAGAGGCAATTAAGAGATTTGGGGAAGGATTTACATAGTGGCTTGCAGACCCTCAAAGTGGGTTATTTTTATCCAATGTATGGTAGGTGTCCATATGCTTTTTTCTTTCATAAATGTCTTCTTATGTGGGTGAGTATCATACCATTCTTAATTAGCTTCCAAGAATTTACTCTCACAAGGCTTTTTCATTTTTTTAAACAAGAAAATTGTTCAGTAAAGTAAGTGGAGGAAAAATCTAATTACTCTGCTGGGTAAGTTTTTGGTGAATGTTGTCGATAGTAAGGGAGGACATGACATTGAAATATCTAATTATGACACTGTAACTTAGTTGTGTTTAGGTGCAGAAACAAAAACTCCAAACTTTGCATTAAGCTGATAGTACAGCTGTAGTGCTGGATAAGTCAGTGAAGCATTTGGTTTAGTAGATAAGACCCCTTCTTGGGTGTCTGCCTACACGTGCTCCCACTGAAAGTGCAGGGTGATCTCTTCATGGACTTTGTAGCATAGCTAGCTAACCTGATGTGGCAAAGGCTGAGTAGGATTCTTGAATCAAGATTGCATAGATTAAAATAGATTATTGTAATTATATTTTCTCAAAAAAAATATATTAATCTATTAATCTCTTAAATTAATTTGGCAAAATTAGGAGCTATGAGAATTTCTAATGAGCTGCCACTTGAGCTTTTAAAAATATCACTTAATTCTCACGTGAAACCATGTGACAGCCTTCATCTGCCTTTGATACATTGCATAGCAATTGAATAGCAGATTCCTGAAAAAATTACTTCTGTAAAAGTCATTTTATCTCATGTGATTTACATAGTGGCTTGCAGACCCTCAAAGTGGGTTATTTTTATCCAATGTATGGTAGGTGTCCATATGCTTTTTTCTTTCATAAATGTCTTCTTATGTGGGTGAGTATCATACCATTCTTAATTAGCTTCCAAGAATTTACTCTCACAAGGCTTTTTCATTTTTTTAAACAAGAAAATTGTTCAGTAAAGTAAGTGGAGGAAAAATCTAATTACTCTGCTGGGTAAGTTTTTGGTGAATGTTGTCGATAGTAAGGGAGGACATGACATTGAAATATCTAATTATGACACTGTAACTTAGTTGTGTTTAGGTGCAGAAACAAAAACTCCAAACTTTGCATTAAGCTGATAGTACAGCTGTAGTGCTGGATAAGTCAGTGAAGCATTTGGTTTAGTAGATAAGACCCCTTCTTGGGTGTCTGCCTACACGTGCTCCCACTGAAAGTGCAGGGTGATCTCTTCATGGACTTTGTAGCATAGCTAGCTAACCTGATGTGGCAAAGGCTGAGTAGGATTCTTGAATCAAGATTGCATAGATTAAAATAGATTATTGTAATTATATTTTCTCAAAAAAAATATATTAATCTATTAATCTCTTAAATTAATTTGGCAAAATTAGGAGCTATGAGAATTTCTAATGAGCTGCCACTTGAGCTTTTAAAAATATCACTTAATTCTCACGTGAAACCATGTGACAGCCTTCATCTGCCTTTGATACATTGCATAGCAATTGAATAGCAGATTCCTGAAAAAATTACTTCTGTAAAAGTCATTTTATCTCATGTCTTGTGCCACCAAGAGAAGTGTTTTTACGAGGTGTGTATTTGTCCACTCATAAAACAAGACTAAAAGAAACCGCTTACAATTGCCATCTGTTAGTTGTTTATTAAAACTCAGTTACTAGGAATGCTATCTTTTCTGATGTTTTTGCAGGACCATTTAATAGGTCCTGGCCACATGGGTATTTTGTTTCCCATTTCTTCCAGGGGGCTGGCTTGGACTCCAAGACTCTGAGACTCTCAGACTCTGACACTGGGTTCTAAACCCAGCATCCATCAGTACACTTGCATTTGTTTATTTGTTGAGCTTGGTCTCGGCCACTGCTGTGTCTAATTAAAGATAAAATGCATTTCATTTATAGCCATCTTTATTTAAGACTCAAAATATTTTGAGATGTCCAAACACTTAGTGTCAGGGAAGACCATCCCCTGACAAAATTAACTGGTATTGCTGCTTGAGCCCAGAATGGGAAGATGGAAGCACTTGCAACCTATGCTGCGGAATAAAGTTTATACTGTATTTGGAGCTTAGTGGAGCTTGTTTCAACCTAAATAATTTTAAGAGTTCTAAGTTCTCAAGAAACTGATTTGCCAGCTATCTTTCTGTCTTCTGAATTTTTTGCTTTCCAGACAGACCTGTTCTTTGTTCCTAATTTTCATGTATTGCAGTTCTCCATGCAATAGAACTGTCTTGAGGTTTCATCTGACTTTTAGTCCAAATATTAGAAGTTTTCAGAAGTATGCAGCCTAGCACCCACTTGAACAGTATAAGCTTTGTGGGCTTAAAGACTAAGCAGTTTGATATCTTTAATTCAGAGATCTCAAAGTTTTGGAGCTAACTGCCTGTATCAGCTGTAACTCTCAGACACTAACCGATGTTCCTGTGTCCTTTGGGCTCATCTCAGGCTTCAGACTCTGGTCAGACTTATCCTTCTCATAGTCTTCTTGGGAGGAAAAGAAAAATGTGGCTTTTGAGTTGAGGTTTGAAACCTTTGGGATTACTTTGCACTGTTGAATAGTTTTTATTGTTCTCTGCTTTAGAAGATATCTTTTTTACTTTTGAAATAGCACAGGTTTCTCAAGTCATGTTACTTAAACACACATAATTACACTGAATTATTGCATTCTTCAGGAGAATAAATAGAATCACTTTATCATAACTTTTCTAATGGGGCTTTTTGAAACAATAACAAACTACTACATAAAGGAGAGTTTCCCAAAGCTTTTCTATCGCTATCCTGTTGATGCTTGAAATTAAGTTACTTTGCATTAAGCAGGTATATCTGCCTGCCTAAGATTTATTATATCACATTGTTTAATTTATGCATTGTGATTCTATATTGAGAACTCTGGTTTAAAATTCATACTATTCTGTAGTTTGATCTGAAGGAACTCTTTTAAATCTATGTCCTTTTACGAATTTTACACTGTTTAGATTTTATTGACACATTCTGAACAGATCTAGTGTTCTAAATTTTCACAACACTGCAACATTTACTAAGTGCACTTTAAGTTAGACCTGCTGTTTTTGTAATCACTGAAGTAGATAAATGTAGATAGTTTCAGAAATTATAGAGGTAATGGAAGTATTCAGCCTGAACCAGCCTATGCATGCTGTTGTGGAGGTCTGCTTGTCATCACCCAATATTCCACACATGTAATTAAGAATCCTTGCTTTCAGGTGTCAGACTATTTAAAATGTAGGTAACTGGCATTTTTATCACTTAGCCTTTCATAGACTTTAAATTCACAGTCAGAATACGTGCCAAGCACTGTAGTTTTCCAATTGTGACTATATGAAGGTCAGATCTTTCTGTAGTTGCAATTTTCTTTAAATTTATTATATTTTTGCTTGGTTTCTGTAATTCTGTACCGTTTGCATCAGTTGAACTGGTGTGTATTAAGTAAAGGTAATTTCAGCAAGCAATCTGGGCTTAAAAATTTCAAAGGAAAATATTGTTACATTCACTAATATAACAATATAATATTTATAATACTAACACAACAATATCATCATTAGCTGTTGTTTCCTGTTCTACCTTAGTCTAGATGACTTTGTTACTAGGTTAACTATATGGGAGAAATTTGCACTTCCACTAAAAGGAAAAAACATTGTATAATTCTACATAATGTTATTGATAACAGTCAACTACAGCAAGAGCAAGACATGACTGATGTGTGACATTTTCATAAATTGAGATCAGTCACTTAATAAACTCTTGCCAGTGTAATTGGTTACCCTGGTATCTGGAGGTATCTGGACTCTGGCAAACTAAAGCACTTGTTATTTGCAAGCTGTTTGTTTTACTCCAAACATTTATTGACAGTCAGGTTTACCTTCAGTTGAATGTCTGCCATCTTAGTTACTGACCTGAAGTTCCCAGCTGATTCTTGGAGTAGTCAGCTGAAGGCAAGCAAGAGCTTTTCACATCCTCACCCTTCCTAAAGAGATTGCTTTGTGCAGCATCTGGCATTAATCTGTAATATGTTTTAAAAGTGCATTTAGATATAAAATCCTGTGCATAGGGAATTCAAACACAAAAATGATTATGATAGAACCATTAATTATGCTGGTTATGTTATCGTTTAGGTTGTATATTAATGTGAATTAATGAGATTTCTGTTACTAGGAAAGCTGAAACATCAGAAACCACAGAATTAGAATATCATGCAGTACAAGTGATTTCACATTGGTACAACTTATTTTATTTAGCTGAACTGAAGTAAGCAGTGCCACTGAAAGCCTGTCTGTGCTCCTGTGCTTGCTTGTTCATCCTGTTTTGTGCCTGTGCTTGCACGAGGGGAGCTTCTGTCTCTTCACCATGCCAGACCAGGAGAGGTAGCACTGGAATTGTGTCGTAAAGCAGACCGAGAATTGCTGTGGTTTGCATTTGGTTTTAATCAGAGATGAGTCTTCTAGTGATAAAAATTGATTTTAGACAGTGGCATAGTTGGTAGTTTATCAAGTCTCCTCCTTAAGCATCTTTCTCCTGAGTGTTAATTGCAAACCTCCCACACTTCACTGTGTGGGAGGTGGCTGACTAGACTCCTCAACAGGAATAAAATTGCAATTAAAAGTAGCATTTTAAAAAAGGGTATGGTAGTGTTTCAAGAAATGAATTTTTTTTTTATATAGACTCGTATTTTTCTTGCGGTGTTTGTTACTTGTCCTTCAGATTGTGATTGTCTACTTTGTCTAATTTTGGGTTGCTTGTTAAGCATAGTGATTATACTGTTGAAAATTATTTTTTGCAAGCCTTAACACCTAGAATGAATTTTTATTAACAAAAGCCAAGAATTAACATTGCAGTGTATGCAGGCATAATAGTAATTTCTCTCTTTAGGTTACTACAGAATGGCAGTCTGGAGAGCTCTGTCATTGGATGGATATTTTTATGACTGGCAGATTTCAGCCCATCTTAAATGTTCCCTCAGTTATTTATTTGCTAACTGATTTCTGTGTCAGCTGTGCTTGTCTAGAAAATTATTGAGATATTGAAGTTAGTGTTGTGGCTATCAAAATCAGAGCATATTTGCATATCTGAGGTCAAGAATCATTCTGAATAATAAAGTTTAAATACAAATTCATCTAATACTGAGACTAAATGTCTCTTGAGATTGTTTGGATGGAGTGTTCTCACATTTTTCATCAAAATGGCAGTGACCTACCTAAACAAATTCTGTGCATTTGGGGGGTGCTTTTGTGCTCTTTTTTAGAAACTAGACAAGAGGTTGATAGCATGATGATGTGCAGAAGCATCATTTGTTTTCTTTTACTGAGGTGCTAAAATACACTCATTGCTCTACAGATGGCAAAGCAGTTCAGTCCTGTAACACAGACAAATGTTAATTAGGAAACCCAAAAAGGAGTAATTTGGATAGTGTTTTGTGTTGATAAGTATCCCAGAAGAATAATCCACTTGAAATACAGACAAAGGCAAGAGCCTGAGTAGCAAACTAATCTTGGAAGGATTATGGTCTTAGGTGAGATGATTGAGGTAGTGGATGTGCTCAGCCGTGGTCATGCGTCTTGTGTCTTGTATTAGAAGCCAGGATGCAGAACGGAGCAGGTGCTGCTGGCTAGATGGCATCCTATGGGGATGTCTTGATCTTGCAGCTGGGAACATCTGGCTTTCAGAAGTGTAGTGTGGTGTGGCAGGTGATGCACTACTTGCTCTTGCTGCCCTTGCAGCTTTCTCACTCTCTGGCATGTGACTTTTTTCCTGAGAAGTCTGCCTAAGAGCTGAAGTAAGTTCCACCTAACATATATGTTGTGTCATAATAGGAATTGGATCAGTCTTGACCACCAGCAAATTTTTTTCAAAATGTTTTGTTGTTGTTGTTCAGCATTTTAACAACCTGCAAGTGTTTCTTACATGCTGATCATTTTCTTGGGCTCACGTGTTCAAAGACACAGAAGGTAACTGGTGCCTCCAAGTGTTCAGAGCTGGCATTAAAAAACCTGAACCACATGATTTTCCTGAGGTGTTTTTTTGTACTGTATGTCCTTGGCATGGCTCTGAAATGTTCTCAGTGGTCTGATGAAGACTAGGCTTTCCTAATTACGTTTAAATGAAACTCACAGCTTTCACAATACTGATGAACACAGTAGTAGAGAGGTTTTTAATTATGTCAATTATGTTCTTTATAAATAACTTTTGTTCTGGTTTCATTACTTGAAAATTCCGTTGTCCTACTTGGTTATAAATATTAGCATTGTAAATTTTAATTTGAGGGGTTTTGCCCTAGTATTTCCTAGTTTACATCAGATAAAAAAAGATCCAAGTGTTTCATTGAATATTTCTGAGTAGTGCAAAGTGAAAATTGTCAGCATATGGTGCTAAATTCTGACAAATCATCACAGTATTTTATATGTAATTCAAATGTGAATTAAATACACACATGAAAGACAGTGAATGATTTCGAGATTATTAAAATCAGTGAAAAATGCAGTTAGCAGAAGTGTAAATTTTATAAATAACAAGAAAAATGTTGCACCAGAGTGTAGTTTGTGTTCAAATAATGAAATATTAACTTAAATATTGACAATGTCAGCACCTTTAACCCTTACTGTTGAAGTGGGTTTCTATTACAGCATAGTAAAAAGGAAACAAAAAGGCTTAAAAGTAGCATCACTTTAAAAAGCACAAGTAGTTTAAAAGTGAGGGCAAATTCCAAAACCAACGAAGAAGCTTTCTGTGGCATAATTGTCTTATATGTAAGACCAAGACCTAGGCATTCATGTGCAGTAATTACATGTTAAGTGTGATGATGTTTTACCAATACTTGACATTTCAGTGGCCTGACCCAGCCAGTGATCTGGCTGCAATCCTCATAGAATGCCTAGTAAATCTGTCTTCTTGTTTTCAGCACCCTCGTCCTATGTACATGCCTTGCATCTGGAAATGCCTTTAACCAATAGTCTAAAGTTACCCAAAGGGAATAGTAAAAAAAAGAGGTCTTCCACATCAGTGAGCTCTGAAGGGACAGAGACACAGTGCTCTGTGCCCATAAAGGAGAAATGTTTTGAGAGTCTGAAGGAGAAAATATTAAAGAACGTGATTGAGAAGGACAAGCATTCAGAAGTTGGTAAACTACAACACTTTTTGTTTCCAGTGCTTTAGACAATAAAAATAATTGTAAAATGACATTTAAAATAATGCTATTGTTTGTATGTTTCTTATTATTATGTGCCATTAGGACTCTTTACGGTCTAATGACTTCTAAAAGAAAGTGGGTCATCAGCCAGACGTTGCATTTATGTCATATATTCTTTTGTAATTTGCAGGTGCAGTGAGAATGGAAAGAAAAGGAAAACTGGAAGAGAGAAGTTCTTCAAATTACGGTATGTACAGAGCAATAATATTTTTAGGGGAAAAAGGAAAAAATCTCTTAATTATTCTTTTGCTGAAGAGCAAAAGTAAAAGCATAAGATGTTTCCTGGGCCTAGCTGCAATTCTTTTGTTTTTTTAGGTCTTAAAAATTGTTTATATATTTCTATATGACAAGTTTCTAGTGGAATAAAAATTTTATAAGAGAAATGAAGGTGCCCACAGCCAGGATTCAAAAGAATCCACAAGTACCTATGAGAGGCCTGAAAAACAAGGTGTTGGGTTTTGGTTTTTGTTTGTTTTTCCTTCAGCTGAATTAGTGATGCTGCCTTTCTTTCCTTCCACTGACTGATTCTGGGAGGAGGCGGTGGGCAGGGGAATACAGCTAAGTGTTACGAGCAAAACATTTGGCAATTCTTCAAAGAAAACATTAATTAAGAGGGCTTTGGATTTATTATATGTTGAAAAAAAAGTAACTAAAGTTATTAGAGATGAATTAGAATTCATAAGTGATTCTGCCTTGTTTTTCTAGGAGGTAGAAGTTCTGTTTTTATATTCCCCAAGGAGATAATAAGACTCCAATTTGTGTGCAGGAAATACTCCTTAAATACTGACTTTAAGAATTTATTTTCTGTAACAAGTTAATTTCCTTATTATTTTTATCACTGCTGATTGCTTAGAAAATTATTATGGAGTGACAATATTGTGGGATGCGTTTTGTCTGTGGAGAATTAAGAGGATGAATAGAATTTTTCCGAAACGAAGTACTTGTCCTGATCCTCATAGCCACAGTGCTGAGAAGTGAACTGCAGTGTAAAAAATGTATCATAAACTTTAGTCAGAATAATTTTTTGTGAGGATGTTGCTGTGCAGTAAAAAGTGCTGACAGCAGAAGGAGTTCTGTGATACTGAAATTTTCTGTAGGCTTAATGTATATGTTTAAGATTATGTTATCTTTTTAGTTTGGAATTTTGCAGTTTTGAAAGCTCTGTCTCTTTCCCAAACTTTTTTGTTATAAGCTATAAGAAGAATAGAAGTTATAAGCTGTGTAAATAATGTTAGTTGTTTTGTGTGCTTTGCTTTATCTTTTTCTGCTATGATTTCTCATTTGGAAGTCCTTAAAATGGTAAAGTGTTATTTTTTTGAGAGAGATTCCTTTGAACCATTGTACCATCAATTAATGAGACATGCCCAAGATATCAAGTAAATTAACAGAATTATTTTGATATGTCTAGGCCAGTGGAATACTTAATTTTGAATAACATGTTTAGGTTAAGCCAAATGAAGCTAGAAATTTGGACTGGTACTGCTGTTTTAAAATGTTTAATTTTTATTTCAGGTAAAAAGAAAGAAAAGGAGAAGGAGAAAAAAGAGAAAAAGGAGAAAGATCATAAATCAAAACAGAAAAAGAAGAAGAAAAAAAAGAAGAAATCTAAACAGCATGGTAGGTTCAATTTACATTTTTTGTATGTAAGCAAAATCACTCTTCCTGGCATTAGATACTAAAACTTGTTTCCAAACAATACAAAAGTCAAATTTTAGAAATTCCAAGGAATATGTTTTAGCCTTAAGTGTTGAAAGGACACTTAGGTTTGTGACCTCATTTTTGTATTTCTAGCCTGTCTCTATGTGATACACAGATATTTCACAGATGATATTTCTTCCTTCAAAAGATACACTTGCTCTTCTCTTCAGATTCTTAATTTGTAGCTTTGTATACACATCCTACTTACTGTCTTTGGACATTCAAGTTATTCCAGTACCCTAGTGCTAAATTTCAGTGGTTTACTGTGTAAAATGCAGCCCCTCCTAAACAATTAATCCTTAACAGCCAAGGTTGGTGTCCCTGTTGCAATAACCCTCTTATTGTCTTGACAAATGGTGATCTGTTTGTCTTATCTCACTTCCCTATTATGATGCTTTACCACATCACTCATCTTTTTCTTTTCTTTGTTGTTTCCATTCCCTAGATGGACAAAAATACTTTGTTTTTTATATATGCTTTAGGAAGCTTGGGCTTTTTTAACAAAAAAAAAAACCCTACCCTTTCCTCCTTGTTTGAGAAGTACTCCTGTAAGAGTGGGGTTAATGTTTTAGTGCCATCCATTCTGTAATTCCTTGGTGTGATTTCTGTGGAAAAAAAGCAATGTTTGGATTCTGTTCTTTTAATAAAAAGTTAACTAACCTGCTGACCAGTATATTTTCAGTTTCTTATGATTGCTGGAAACAAACCCATGCATTAAGTGGGTTTTCTGGCCACAGACTTTTAAAGATGCCTTGTGATTCTCTAGAGTGGTTATTGATTTGTCTGTCCAAAATTTGTGTAATCTAGCTTTGACATACTTCACCATCTTTATATTGGAGTGATAAGATTGTAAGCTGTAAGCTTCATAGAATCATGGAATGGTTAAGGTTGGAAGGGACCTTAAAGATCATCAGGTTCCAACCTCCCTGCCGTGAGCAGGACACCTCACGCTAGACCAGGCTGCAGAAAGCCTCATCCATCCTGGCCTTGAACACTTCCAGAGAGGGGACATCCACAACTTCCCTGGGAAACTTATTCCAGTGCCTTACTACCCTCATGGTGAAGGATTTATTCCTGGTGTCTAACCTAGATCTGTCCGCTTTGAGTTTAAAACCATTACCCCTTGTCCTATCACTGCACTCTCTAGTGAAAAGTCCCTCCCCAGCATTCCTGTAGCGCCTTCAGGTACTGGAATGTTCTATAAGATCTCCACAGAGCCTTCTCTTCTCCAGGCTGAACAACTGTAACTCTCTCAGCCTGTCTCCATAGCAGAGGTGCTCCAGATCACTTCCAACCCAAACCTTTCTGTGATCTGTGATTACATGACTTACTTGGAATAGTCTCTCCAGTTACTATTATTAATAACAGGCTTGCAGATGTGTGCCTTGAGACTGTTGCAAGTAGTGTATGATAGAGGAAGAAGTATCAAGCTAGCATCCATATAAATGTTAGTACTGCTGCATTATTGTGGGCAGAAGCTCATGGTGCTCTCTGTGGTTGTGGTGTGCTCTAACAGCCTCATCCTGCTGCCCTCTCTGGCTGAGCGGGAGCAGAGGTCCACTAATGAGAATATTGCTCTCAAGTTTACTTTTATAACAGTGATTTATTTTTATTATTTTTTTTTAATTTTAACTTTCCAGATTATTCAGATTATGAAGATAGTTCTGTTGAATTCCTGGACAGGTGCTCCTCTCCACTGACACGGTCCTCAGGGAGCTCTCTGACTCTGCGCAGCATGTTCTCAGAGAAGAATACATCATACCAGTATCCAAGAGCTATTTTGTCTGTTGACCTTAGTGGAGAAAGTAGGTTGATTGGACAGCAGCTTTTAGTTTGTTTAGTTCTTTAAGAAGTAGAGTTTTAAGGGAAGTAATTTTGTTTGTGTTTGGGATTGTAGCTTTAAATACAGCGCTTGATTTATACTTTCTTGAAAACAAAATGCTTACACACTTCAAGCTGTTTTGCGTTGTACTTGCCTTGGTTACATGTTGCTTCTCTGTTTCTGAGGCATTTTTGCAGTATTCATCAAGAAATCTGAAAAAACAGCAGTGTGTTTGGGAGCAATTTTTTGCTGTATGCAGGTTAAAATTTTTAATTACCAACTCCCTATGTATTTCTGTAAACTTCTGTCTCTGCACACACCATTTTACATATATTTATTTTTACTAGACCTTTCAGACATGGAGTTCTTAGATGATTCCTCTACAGAGAGTTTGTTACTTAGTGGTGATGAGTACAATCAGGACTTTGATTCAACCAACTTTGAAGAATCTCAGGATGAAGATGATGCTCTCAATGAAATTGTCAGATGCATTTGTGAACTGGATGAAGAAAATGGCTTTATGATTCAGGTAAAGAAATTTGGAGAGTGGGGATGTATTTTCTGTGTGAATTTCTTGCTTGTGAAGATGCCCTTTTGGTGTGTTGGAGACTGAAGTTGTGTAGAAAGCTGTAAATAGAAACAAACTATAACAAGTATTTTTCCACATTCAGTTCTTGACATAATTCTGGAGTACGCAGAACTAGGATGGGGTTTTTCTAACAAATAAGCTTGTAGAAAATGTTTGTAAGGAAAGGTAACTTTTTTCCTTTATAGCCATTTGATAAATTTGGAATAAAGTATCCTTTCCTGCACACAAAATGTAGCTTCTGACCACAGACCGTCCCATTGTATCAGCCCTCCTAGTTTGGCCCCTGTGCTTTGCAGTTTGAATTGTAGATGCCACTCTGCTCACTGTAAATGTACCTGAGTTCCTCCCAAGATCTCTGCTTTGCAGATGTCAGTATTGTCAGTAACTGTGTGTGTGATGCCTGTGCTTCACCTTTAGGACAGCAGTTCTCAAACTAGAAAACACTAGCTGGTTTTAGGAACTCCTAAGAGAATAAATCTTGGTGAAGAAGAAAGGGAAGAAGACTACAGTGCATAGTATTCAGGTGCTGGATTGCAACTACTGCTGCTGCTTTATTTTATGCTTCAATGAAGGGACCATTTCCCATCTAGTAAAGAATAATTTGTCTTTGTCTCAAGGAATTAATAATATATCAATCAGATTAGATGCAGGCAAGAGCAAGGAAGAGCTCAGTTGTCAGTAACTTAAAAAAAAAAGCCATGAACCCTCTGTGGGTTTTTTCCCCAGCTTAAAAAACAGGTTTCTACTCGGCTATTAATGTACGGTTTCTGTTGAAAATCTAGAGGCTTTTAGTTGAGATGTGAGATTTAGTTGAGCTGTCCTGTGTTAATGAACTTAGTCTTTTGGAAATGACAGGAAGAAAATGAAAATGAAGGACACAAGAACTGTCCCTGGGAACACATGACTGAAATGCAGTGCTGTGTTGGGGGAACTAAAGGAGACATCAGCTGTGGTACTAATGTCAAAAAATGGACTGGTATGGAAATCTGTGGAGAAAGGAGAGGAATCTGTAGCTATAGTGGTATGACAAGAGGAAAGATGACTTCAGTGTTTTGAATAAGTTGATGCTCAAAAGCATGTCAAGGCAAAGAGGAGAGTTCCTTAGCAGTAAATCAGCAGATAGTTAGAACACAGCTAAACACTGAGTTGAGAAAGGACAGTGTATTTTTAAGTAGAATTTTCCTTCCTGTTTCAGAAGTCCAGCGACAGCCTGATTTTTCCTCTTCATGTTTTATCTCACTGAGAGCAACCAGTTTGCTGTTTCTAGGCCCTCATGTTTTTACCACTTCTGTTTTGCTCTCCAGTTCTCTTGGTTCTCCTCTTTCATTTTCTCTTCATTTTCTTTTTCTTTTAGATTTGCCATTGGTGCGATATTAAAAACACATCTTTCTAGCGCACTGGAGAGATGCTTTGTAAATATAAATAATTAAACTGAAGAGTTTTCTACTTTTCACTGTTATGCTGTAATGTATTACATTATCTTTCTACTTTACTGTAATATTATACTTCTGTCTTATGTTTCACTACTAAATGTTTAGGCGCTAAAATACTGAATGTTGTAATAAAATATTAAATATTACATCTTCAATTTCTCTTTTTTTTTCCCCCCCAGTCTGGAATTTGTGGTTGAGGTAACTTTTGGAACTAGAGCTCTTTTTTTAGCTTGATGTCTTTGCCTACCCAAACACAAATTGGCCAACTCAAATAGTCTTATTCAAATATTTAAGTTAAACTGCTGTTCTCTGCGTTCTGACGAGAAATAGCTTCTGAATTTAGAATCTCCTTATCTCAGTTTTAGTTTTTGCCTTTTTTTTTTTTTTTTTTTCTTCTGATGTCAGTGTGAAGAGTGCTTGTGTTGGCAGCACAGTGTATGCATGGGACTGTTGGAGGACAGCATTCCAGACCAGTACATCTGTTATATCTGCAGAGATCCACCAGGTACGGGTAAACCACCTTTATCTGAAGTTGGCTGCTTGGGATTTTTAAGCAGAGATGTTATACATTGTTGCATTCTTAAAGCTTTGGTTTGTGCTTCTGTTACACTTGTTTCGGGCAAGTGCTTTTAAGTTTGGCTCTGAGCAAAAACTTACTTTCCTGTTAGTATCGTGTTCAGCTATGCTAAATCTTACTATTGTAAATACCATCACTTTAGTTGCTGAAACTTAATTCCCCCAAAACCCTCACACTTCTTCATGTCTTTGTAATCTGAAAAGTTTTTCCAAACAAATAATTCTTGTTCAGCAATTTGTTTTGCCTGTACTTGAAATCATCTGTTCACTTAAACATATTTAAGAAAAAACTCAGTACCACAGTACACTCAAATATGCTGTGGATGTGATTTCATGTGATTTGCAATTTTATAATGTTTGCATTTGTCCAGAATTGTGCAAAGGTATGAAACTGAATCTGTAAAATATGAAATAAAATCTAGCACTTTTTATAGTGCGCAAACAGCACATTTAAGATTGTTAGGCTAAATTTGAAATTGTAAAAATTAGAAAAAGTATTTATTTTTATACAGAAGACATTTTATTAGATAGATACTGATTTAAAAATTATTCTGTCCATAAACCGATTTTTCTTGTTCTTTGGAGAAAAACTATCCAATTTGAAAGAAAGTTTTTAATGTTTTTCCTGACAATTGATACAAACTTATAAATGTGTCTTCTGGTGAAATGCCCAACAATCCAGCTGTTTCAAAAGGGCAGTCAGGCTACACCTCTAAATTTGCTTTAATTCTGAATTTAAGGAATAAAATCTGGAAATTGTTTGCACAGGTACGAGAGAGGACAGTTATTATTAGTTACTTTTGAGCATAAAATTTAGGAAAATGCAGCTGGAAAGATGTGGCATTTTCCATTTGCCCCAGTTTGAATCTAGATTGATGGAACAGAGTCTTGTTTGGTAGCTGTGTGTGGTGTGCTCTTTGGCAGTCAAGATATTCTTATTAAAACCAACTAATTTGTCTTTTGTTCTTTCCCTGCACTGTACTAGGTACTTTGTTATCCCCTGCTATGCAGACTGTGTCCCTAATTTTTTTCTTCTCTCCCTTCCTAACCATTACTTCTTTTCTTTCTATGTCAGGAGAAAAAAGTCATTCACAATGTCAGTATTTTAAAGTGTATTGGGATAATGGGCAGAAAGGAGATAGACAGGGTATTCTCCTGAAAGGTATGAAGGGCTTCCATCAACCCATTCTTTCTTCTGTATATGATAGTCTGATATGAAATCGAGTGTAAGATATTGTAGTCTTAGTCAGTCTGTTTGTCTGGGTTCCTCGTTGTAAACAATAATATGAAATACTTAGCATTATAAATATCTAGTATTGCTTTCTGGGTTTTTGTTTGTGTTGGTTTTTTTTTAATAGTTATTAAGTTACTATAGAAGTATTAGCTAAATAGTCATACCAGTTGAGTTAGGACTGTAGATGTTGCCATAGCATGGGAGACCTTGGGCCCCACTTACGTCAGTGTCCTGTCTAGGAGTGTCTGGTAAAAGACACCTCAAAGGACAGTGTAATAACTGCTGTCAGATAACTTGAAATGTCTGTTTTTCATGAAGCCTTCTAATAAATAGATACCAACTTCAGTATTGAAGCAAAATATTTATCTTTTAGAAACAGACTGGGTGTTTTGGATATGTCCATATAAAATCCACTCTTGGTAAATTAAGTTTGGTTTTTTTTTAAAAAAGTAAGCTGCAGTATTTAAATAAAATGTCAATAGGAGGTTGGTTTTTTTTTTGCAGTTAGAGTGGTAATAGCACAGTTCTTGAAATCCTGTACTTTGATTGCAAGGTGATTATTAATTTCTAATGCCATTTAGAGAGGTCTTGAGATTTCAGGTTTATTTTTGTTTTCATAAGTATTAAGAGTTTCCTTTTAATCCATGAAAATTTAGTTTTACTTGAGTTGTTCTTTCATGGATGTCAGGACACATTTGGGAGAGTACAGGATATAATTATAGCACTCAGTTTTAAATACAGTTTTGCTTTGGCTTTAGATGGCCCTCAATTTGTTTGTTGCTTACCCCCAGGTCAGAGGTGGAGTGCCAAATATCTTTATGATAAAGACTGGCTAAACAATGGACACATGTGTGGATTATCGTTTTTGAAAGAAAACTACTCTCATCTTAATGCCAAAAAGATTGTGTCAACACATCACCTGCTGGCAGATGTATATGGTGTAACTGAAATACTGCATGGACTGCAGCTGAAGATTGGGATATTAAAGTAAGTATCAATCCAGGGTTTATTCTTTGTCTTTATATATTTAGGTACCATTATTCCATAGGCATTATTCCCTCATACTGAAGTTTCTTGTATAGTAGTCTAAATTTCAAGTGCAAGATGTAGAGTGCCCTTAGCTTCAGTGTGCATTAGATGTTCTGCACCTGAGCAGATCTGGTATATTGGGATTATTGGTGATATGTTTTAATTTTTTTATTTTCAGTTTTGTTTTAAAAGGACATTCTGGGTTTAGCCTAAACCTAGTGACTGACCTACGATATGTTTGATAATGGTGCTTATCAAAAACTGTGATCCCACAGAAGTAGCTGCTTAGTAGTCCAGTACTGTAAGTGGTGTCCTCTGTAACTTGTTTTTTTCCCCTTTCCTTTGTTGCAGAAATAAGCATCATCCAGACCTTCATCTGTGGGCATGTTCAGGGATGCGAAAAGAACAAGATCAAGTAACTGTTGGGGTAGAGAAAAAACTAGCAACGTTACCAGATGCTGTTAATCCAAGTGAAAGGACGTGTCACAGTCAAAACCACAAAGAGCCACCCAGCATACCCCAGAAGATGGAAGAAACATACATCACGAGTGAGCACAGTTACCAAAAACCACAGAGTTTTGGTCAAGACTGCAAAGCAGTTGCTGATCCTATGAGCTCAGATGATGAAGATACAAGTAGTTTTGATGAAGATCAGGACTTTCACACAGAGAGTAAAAACTGTTTACAATATTATTTTAAAGATGATGGCATGAATGAGCAGGTAAGTATCATTCTTAATCTGGGAAGTTTCTTTGTTGGAAAAACATGTTCCATCTGATAAAACTCAAGTGCATACAAGTATTTAGAAATGTTCATTGTTATAAATTGACACATTCTATCAAATAAGTCAGCAGAAATCACTAGGAGCTGAGATGGATCACTGGAATACTTTCAGGTGAAGTATACCCACTTCAGCTGGTGAATAAAATGCAAAACATAATTAAAGTATTGCCTGTGCTAAAACTGTTTATGCTCAATCGAGTGCTTCAGGGGAAAAAAGATTCCTATGCTTAAAATGCAGAATCTTGAAAAAAAATGATTTTGTGACCTGAGGAAAACAGGATAAGTCTCCTTTTTTCCCCTCAATTTTGTTTTCTGCATGTGACTTTTTTATTGTTGTTATTTTTTGTTAAACTGACATTTGTAATAGTGTTTGTTACTATACCATATTCTTCCTTTAATAGCAACACTATCTAGACGTCTGTCCACAAGTAATGATTTACTGACCAGCTAATTTCACCTCACGTGCAACTTCTTTTGAATCTCTTATATTGCATATTCCTCCTAATTAAATGTTTCACAGGTTTTTAATCAGGATTGTATTTGGCTATTTAAACATCTCTTTCTCATTTTTGCATTAATGGTTTGAATCCATTACTTTGTGGAAAAGGTCTGAAATTTGTTAGTCTGGTTTTAGTGAAGAGTTTTCTTTGAACAAAAAGCAAAGTGAAACAAACCTTTCTGTTTTCTGCAATACCAACTGAGTGAGAATAAATCACCCACCTCATCCCTCTTTTGAAGTAGAGTTTCTGATGTGGAAGAGATAAGTAAGATATGTATCTTTTTCCTTTTAATTTTAGTTTTAAATGTGGCATGTAAGCTATACAGTCTGAATGGGAAATTTTGTCTCATTCTACTTAGAAACAATGCTTTGTATGCTAAGATGCATGGTTATATTCAGTTTGTGTAGTAAGGAGACATGCAGCAGTGTAAAATACACTTTCCTTCCAACACTAGCCTAAATTGTCATTGTTAATAGTACAAATATATTCAGCATTAAAAAAAAATACATGTGAGCAGTGAAACAGATCTATTAGTTCCTTCAGAGATGAAAACATATGTCTAAAAACCTAGGTGCTTACTGTTGTAAAGCAGGAGAGAGATCTGTGTGGGGCAGTGTGAGTGTACTCTTGCCTTTGGGACACCTTAATTCACCTTCATAGTCAGCCTTGATACTGAAACTAGGCTTTTCTGTCTGGTTACTCCTTGGTGTTTCTCTGTGAGATTTTATATTTAACTTAAAACAGTGATGACACTGGCATTGAAGTGCCATTTTTGCATGAACTGACTTCTCTGGAAATTGTCTTCTTCACCCCTTCTTCTCTATAGTTTTGGGTTGGGCTTTGGATTGTCCTTTGTAGCATCCTGCAGAGCCTTGAATATTCTGGTGTTCCATACTGTTTTGTCTTACCCTAATCTACAGTTCTGTTACATATCTTTTATTCTCTTATAAACAGTGTTCAGATTGACTATTATCAAATTCCTTTTGGGACAATGCATCATCATCTTTAAAATTGTATTTAGTTTCCTTGTTCTTACTTGTGAAAGCACACGCCTTCCCCACCTGAGCCTCCTGTTTATTTCTTCTACACAAGCTGGATCCTGTACTCTGCTTCTCTTACTATCCCTAATTGTCTACATGGATCTCTTAGCTTAGAGGAGGACCCATTTGATCTTGTGGGTTGTTTATTTGTTGTTGTTTTTTCCAAGGAGCATTTACTAGCCATTTGAATAAATACAGTGGTCATCAAAAGGAAAAACAAAACAAAACCACCTTTTTGATGTTATTTATATGGTATTTATCTTTAAGATTTTCTCTGACTTACTGCAGTGAGCACCTGAAAGATTCACCTAACAGATGATCATGGTTTTAGAAATCTGGACTTGAGTCCTCGTGCAGCAAGGGTGAAATGGCATTCTTCTCTCATGGTTTCTGAGGGGGGTTGAAAATTACAAGAAACAAGATATTTCTTATTTATGTTGGAAATATCCTTTATAAGATTATTGATAGTTGAAATAGTTGAAAAACACTGTGGAGATGAACCTGATGTCTTGAGAGAGGAAAGATTTTATCTGAAATGTTTGAGAGTTTAGAGGCTTTTATGGCTTTTAAAGTCCATCTTTGATAAATAAATTTAACTCCTTTGATAAATATTGTAAGTCTTAACAATGCTTGTCCTTCAAGACTCACTCATAAAGCTGCCAGCAGGTTGGTCCAAATTTGATGTGGTTTGGTTTTTTTAAAAATTTATTTTAAATCTCAAAGAAAATTGCTTTTTTTACTTCAGAAGTAACTTTAAATCCATCAGTCTCTATTTTCTTCTTCCTCTCTCTTCTCACCCTTCCCATTCTTGACTGGAGTAAGAAATACGTAAAGAAAAAAATTGCATTTGTTGTTATTTGATGTGGAAAAAAAAAAAAGGCTGAGAACTTAATCAGACAAGTCTGTTAATATAAATTTAACTCCTTGCTCTGGCCTTTGCTAAGAACTGACACTGTATGAGCATACTTCCAGTGTTCTAGTCCCTAAAACAGAATCATAGAATTGTAGAATGCCAGGTTGGAAGGAACCTCAGGGATCATCTGGTGCAACCTTTGTAGGTAGGAACATGGTTTAGATGCAATGGCCCAGTACTGTGTCAAGCTGAGACTTAAAGATGTCCAGTGTTGGGGAACCTGCCACTTCCCTGGGGAGATTATTCCAATGTCCAACTGGTCCCATAGTTAAACATTTTCTTCTCATGTCCAGTTGGGATCTCCCCAGGAGTAACTTGTACCTCTTACCTGTCATCTTTTCCGCATTACTCCCTGTAAAAAGGGAGTCTCCATCAGTAGTGAAAGATCTTCAGATATGAAGTCACACTGGATATAAATTAGAAACTGTTACTCCTGGTACAAAATAGAGATGCTGAGCATTTAACTCATTAAGTCCAGTACACTTCCTTGGGTTATTTCTGTTGGCTGAAACATCAAATGCAGAAAGATAAGGAATTTGTGTGTCATCTCTGACTTGCTAGGAAGCTACTAATTGTTTCAAAGAAATCAAGTCTTCCTCAGGTACAGTGTTTACAGTCCCTGCCTGTTACTGGCCTTGTAACTATCTCCAAACACACTCAGTTCTGTCCCAGATTGTTCTTGCAAGTTACATAGGACCATAGCAGTGGTAGGAAGAGAAGTCTGTTGTCTTAATTAACAAGCAGAATGGCCAGCCTGTTTGTGCAAAGTGGTCACTTCTGACATCTTTGATATTGCTGCATTTTAGGGAATTTTCCTTCATTCTCTGGCTAAAGTTGAAACAGACGTTAGGGTCTTGCACATTTTTGATGACAGTAGATTCATACAGTTCAGAACTTCATTATGTAAGTCATGATTTTTATAAAAAGGGCACAGAAATTCAGTCTGTCTCAAGTCATAGCACAAAGTGCTTGAGCTGGTAACCTGTACCTCTTGCCTCACTCCCCCAGTGCTATACATGCTCATTTGTATGGAATTTGCATTTTGTTTTGTTTAGTCTGTTGGTGTGTCACACTACATGACTTTAAGTGCTCTTTTTGTCGAGAAGACAGAAGTACAATTCTAAATCAGCATAGTTTATTGTGTGACTCAAGTGTTGAAATCAACACCAGAAATTAAAATAAAGCAAAACAAAAAATCTCTCTTAAATGGCAATTTTTTTTTCTTTCTGTTGCTCCTATGAAGAAGAATTCTGATGAAGGAAACACTGTGTTTGTTTGTAATGAAAGAAAAGGCTCTGAGGAACAAGTGGACACACATCTTCAGTGGCAGCTAAATCTCCTTACCCATATAGAGAATGTACAGAATGAAGTCACCAGCAGAATGGACCTGATTGAAAAAGAAGTTGATGGTAACTGCATTGCCACATACTTGTTAATGCACCTGTAACAGCATCTTTCATAGCCACTGTGTTGAAAGTGATCTGAGGCCCTGAAGATGATTTTTAAATTTTAAATTTGAATACAATCCAAATTTGTGTACCCAGCATTGTAACCAGAGCTTATGCCCTCAACCCTGCCCCCCTTTTCACAAGTTTGGAATACCCATTAAAGTAGCTTAAGCACTTAGGAACCCTGAAAATTTAGCACAAGTTTATGATATTGGACAGGCCTCAGGAAACTTAAATAACTTATCTAGTCTTTTTCCAGATAGCAATCATAAAGCTGATGGTGTTTTCTGTGCCTGGAGTGGTTTTGGACAATATTAGGGAAAAAAAAAAAAGTGTTCATTATGCCTTCAACTTTTGATTGGCCATGAACTGAGGTTTCTTTTATGTATGTAGGTGGTAGATTGTTAGCCAAGGGTCTAATTTGTTCCCAGGTACCTTTTTATAGTAACAATTAAATGAGAAGGTTTTTGATTGGATGCAACATGGAATTAGTTGGTGTTTCTTTAATAAACGTTTCTTCTGTTAAATAAAAATCACAGCCTCTGTATATTTTCCCTTTTTATAAAAGACAGAGTAAGAAAGGAAAGTTTAATTTTTATGAAAACTGTTTCTTGAAGACTTACTCTAATCAACTTCTCCCTTTTCCTTTTGTAGTTTTAGAAAGCTGGCTTGATTTCACTGGAGAACTGGAACCACCAGATCCCCTGGCAAGATTGCCTCAGCTCAAGCGACGGATCAAACAGCTCTTACTTGACATGGGGAAAGTACAGCAAATAGCAACTCTTTGCTCTGTATGACAAAAGGAAGAATAAAGAAATGAGAATAGGTTCTTTACAGTGAATTTTCTTAGTAGCCACAAGACTGAGAGAAAGACAGCAAAAAGCTGAGCATTTATCTGGTTCTTGGTTGATTACATTAATAGCCTGAAGCTTTAGAGAGAGGAGAGGAAATCTAGAGTAAGGGATGTGTTATACTGAAAATCTAAATGTTCAATATCCGAGCTTCAAAATGTAATACATGTTGAAAAACATTGGTATTATTTTAACATGCTAAACAAGAAAACCCCCACATACAAGAAACTAGAGCAAAATAAAAAGCTTGTGAAGAGTAATGCTACTATTTTGAAACCTTTGGCAAAAATTTCTAAATTCACAGACTCCAACTGACTAAAAACTTCTTGGGAACTGCTGTTGTAATTAATTCCTTTTATTTTGCTAGTGAGAGAGAGAGAGATCTGAATCGTCTCTACAAGGAAAGTGTTTTAGATTCTTTCCGTATCTCATGAAGGTTCAGGAAAATGAAAATATTAGCTTTGATTTTTTGAAAGAAATTACTTATCATGGTCTCCTTTTTAAAAGACTTTTTAAAATAGAAATCCTTACTACAGCACCCTTAGGCTCCTTCAAATCATAAGTGGCAAATAGTTGTCAGATGTGCCAAATAATATTCAAACCACTGGTATGAGAGTTTGATTATGACTTACATGAAGGTTTTTTCCAAAGTCCTACCTAGTGCCAGCAATCCATCCAAAATTATATCGAGTTTATATTTTTTTATGTTCTACTGCAGTATTCAGGATTCAAGGTACAATTTTTGTCCTGGGCAGCTCTGTTCTGGTGTTGACCCTCTGAAACTTTACCATCCTCAGCTGGGATGAGGAATGAGAAGAGCAGCAAAACTCTGTGGCTATGAATATGCTAAACCACTAGAATGAGTGTCACAAGATACATTATCCAAGATGTTTTTTTGTAAAATCTTTCAGCTTCAGTGAATGAAATGTCATGAAACCAAAGCCAACCTACTTGCTCTGTTAGCTCTTGCTGGATTGTGAACCCAGGACTTTCCCTGTGCTTCTAAGTTGCCACTGTACCCAGTGCTACATACATGTTTGTATGTGTATATATATACATACTATATGCATTTATATCCACACATGTCTAGTTTTATTACAATAGACTATAAGAACTGGTGGTTAACATGAAATGTTACCTTTTAACAAGCAGTTTCTAAAATTGAAAATAATGTATGTACAGGTTTTGAAATTTGTAAAATATGACTGTTAAAAGGAGGCTATTTAACTGATGACATTAAGATACTTGAACATTTTATGCCTCACTTCTGTTTATCAGTTCTAGTTATCTGTATAAATGCATTTTAGAACCGATAGACAGTAAACTTGAATTTACCTTTTGATAAGAGTACAAGCCACTGTACATTCAAAAATTATTTAAATTTGCAAACACACTGTTCTATATGTAAGGTACTGTATGTAAAACTGTTTATTAAACTATTCTGCATACTCTACATTTTCCACTTTTCTTCCTGATCTACATGCAAATGTAAACAATTAAAATGTACAGACCATCAAAAAAAAAATAATCCTGGAATGCCTTTTGAGGATGCATAAAATTGAAAAATGTGCCAAAGATGGATTATCTGGGAAAGACTTTGCAACCAGTGCATTGAACTTTCATGATAAAACCATTATTGGGAAAGAAAGCAGCATGGCTGGTTCATTGCGAAAATAAACCTACCCTGACGTTTCCAGTCTGTCTGTCATGTCTGAAGTGTTATCACTCTTGATGTCCAAAGCAAAATGTGGACCCCTGTTACAGAGCGGTTGCTATTTAAAAACTCTTGCCTCAACAAGCTTGTAGGAGACAGTACAGAGCGTGTGGTAACATGGAAGTTAATTATGGAATCATGATTGGCAACTTCATAATGCAGAAAGAACACAAGAGCTGAGGAGTTAACATTTTTATAGCAACTGTTAAAAAATTAAATACACTGTGTTATGCAGTTGGATGCTTAAATAACTGCTTCAAACAGTATGAATAGTTGAGTGACCTACTTGCTTTTTGGATATATTGAGACTTTTTTATATATTATTCACTTACTGCATATCCTTGAATGTGGTACTGTGTGTACTGTATAAGAGAAGTGTAAATCCAGATGAATTACTTTGAAACAAAGTGGAGTGTATTTACATAGTTTATACAGCATACACTGTAGCAATATTGTGTGTGCATGTGTGTGGTGTAATATAATTGTAAATGTTACTGATGGTGGAGGTGGACCCAGAGATTCCAGGTGAGAGGATGGAGGTTTCATTCTTAGTGCAGAGATGGAGGAATGGTATCCTGAAAAGGAAATCATAAGGTTGAGGTTAAAGCTGTCATTGCAGCATTAACTTGTCTTCTGTTTGTCTATGTAATGGTCTCTCAATTTACACGAGTATGTAATTTTATCCCTCAGGATCCTGCCTTATTCAAGATGGGCTGTGCTTACAACAACAAATAACCTATTCAGTATTTTTTTATCATTATTTCTTGCGTAGCCATGTGTTATAAAAGTTCCTCCAAGCATTCATATCTTCTACGAAATACAATCTCAGTGTCCTTATAGACAGTGCTGTGATAAATTGTGTGTAGCCTGAATGCTTCACAAACTTGTCTGAGTTTGCTTTCTCAAATTGTGATGTTAGTCTGTAACATGTGAACATTAGTTTTGGCCCCAGTTTCTCAAGTAATCAAAGGTTTGGGATGCTTTTGAAGTTTTTTATTTCAATACCTGCAAGTCAAGTGCCATAAAAATGCTAAGTGTTTTGCACAGAATGTAACCTACAGTTGATTGCTTTGTTTGTGTGCTGGTCAAACCCAATGTCATCTGGCTCGTATCAGTACTACTTCTCGTTGGCCTTATCAAGAGAATTCCTGTAGGCATCATTTTCCATCTGTCTTCCTTCTTCCTTTTGTATAAATAAGCCAGGGATGTGCATGCAAGTCTATTTGCAATTTCATTTATTGGGACATGAGTTGCAATTACTTGTGTTTGATGGTGGAGGAAGCAGACCCTCTCTGAGGAACAAACAGTAGATGGCTATGTAAGGACTGGTTTTGATACATGTGCACAGAAAGGTAAATTTTTAAAATGAGCAGTCTTCTTTTAACCTAAGTTCTTAGTAGTAATAAAAGGGAAATGCCTTTGTACAGAAGCTTCTGATTTCACAGGGCTGAATGGCACTCTTGTGGAGCCTTTCAAAATCCAGCTTTTTGTCTGACGGTTGGTTCCTTCATGGAGCTATCAGGGTGATTAATTTCAAACCCTTCTCCTTCCAGTAGCCATACTGTAGGAATTCTGTTTTTAGTTGCAGTGGTGGCAGTAGGACATCAATATTGCAGTCATTAATGAAAGATCATCTTGGTGGCATGGTCAGATAACCAGAGGATAGGGCTGTCATGTTTCAGTTACAAAATGGAGGTACTTCGAGTCCTATGGCAATGAATGGGTTGGAAGATGCTTCCTGCTAACTCTTTTTTGGGTAGCTGTAGGTTGAGTAGTGCCCGTATATTGGGTATTCTGGCCTTAGATGAATAGATCTTTGTTAAGTGATGGAGTAATTAACAGTGGTAGGAGCCTGTTGTCCTCTTTAAAGTAGTCAAAGATGTTGGGTGCCATTTTCTGATAGATTTCACAGATTTGCTTGATGGCAAAGAACTGAAACTGTTCTTCCATGGGTGCAGTCCTCTTGTGTGACTGACATCCACCTCTCTTAATTTTGTCTCTGAATTTCTACGTGTTCTCCTTGTCTGTTTGCTTTGCAGCTTGCACCTGTTTCTCCTTTTGTTCTTCTGCTTTCTGCACTCTGGCTTCTTCTGTGATGCCTGGAGGGTTTCACTCCTCTGTTCTTGTGCCCAGTTCTTTCTGGCTGCTCAGGGAGCAGTCGCAGGGAAATGTCTCTGCTCTTCTGTCTGCAGCCTCCCGTGTGTCCTGTGAGCTGTGTTTGGGCAGAGTGCGTGTACCATCATCAACATCTGCAGGTGTTTTTGCTGCCTTCCTTTAGTGAGCCTCATCTGATGTGCAAATCATCTTCCTCTACTCCCATCTGACTTCTAACTTTAAAATAGACTTGAATGAATGTTATAGGAAAGCCCCTCTGGCACTTTTTAGACTCCAGCACTCCTTAGCAAACTGAGGGTTGGGATGTAAAGGAGTGATTCTGACATGACAATAAAATTATAAAAGTATTTTGATGCTTGAAAACCAGATATTTTTTTTTCCTTTATATTTGAAAGAAAGCTCTAACTTCTAATTCACTGAAACTTTCAAAGACATAAAACAGATCCTGAAGTGAACTGGAGCTTGATGTAAAAATGAACAACAAAAGTAGGGAGCAGGAAGCATTCTGCATCAGGGGCTTCATGACAAGTTTGCAGTCAGGCCATCTTGACTGCCTTGCCCTGTTACACGGAGGTGCTGATGGGCAAAGGGGATGCGTACAATGATGCCATTCATTTGCAAACTGGACATATCTTTGCCATGTCTGTTCAGAACACTGGAACTGTAGGTTTTCTTTCTACTGCTTAGAAATTTTACAGTACATGCACCTTAATTTTGGAGTGCTTGCTAAGATCATAGGCTTAATCACTTTCAAAATGCTTGTTGCTCTTCTCACATTTGATTAGCTGAGACTTTTTCTATTGTACTGTGTCCATATGGCTTTAGATGATCATTTTACAGAGGATGTTTAAAATACTGCAGTAATGTTTTTTTCTTATGCTATGTTATGTCCTGGGTGTGGGGGGTCTGTCTTTAGCAATAAGTACTATACACTGTGTGTATATCTGTTTATATATGGAAAAATGTGTGGAGCATGTAACGATGGTGAAAATACACTGCACAGGGTGCAGATTGTGCATTTGCCAGCCTTTCTGCACCAGCCTGAGCAACTCCAATGCAAAATTGGAGACTGCATGGATAAAACAATCCAGTGTGAAAAATCATTGAGGAGTGAATTTCCCATACACACGGGGCCAGCCTCATTCTGTGGATTGAATAACTAAAGCTGGTTCAGTTGCTGTTTGAAACAAACAGCAACCTGCCTTGCTTCAAAACTGGCCAGAGCCACCTCCGTTCAGCTGTAGCCACGTGCATCAGTGTATTGTCACTACACACTCAGAGAGGCAGCAGTGCACTATTACTGAATCTTCTATGAGAGAAGCAAAATGCTTTCTGTGATTTGTTTGGGTTTTTTATTTTGTTTTGGTTTTGTTTCTTCCTTTTTGTTTTTTGTTTTTTTGTGTTTTTTGTTGTTTTTTTTTTATAATAGCAATAATGTTGACTGCATTCTGATACTCACAATAAAGGTCTGTTGAGATTGTTATTGTGCCTGGGCTCCCATTCAATGGACTTGTGTTTTGGCGAGCTGCTGAGTGTTAAAGCATTAGGGAATCCTCAGTTGCATTTTTAGCCTGTGGTCAATAAGTATTCACAGTCATTCATGCTCATATACATTGCAAAGCTTTAGGGAGTCTTCAGTTGTATTTTAGCCTGTAGGCAAATTATGCACTCTGTACATTATTTGTATTACTTACCATGTGGGAAAGTAATTAGATGGATTTTTGGTCCCTAAATTGCTTTCGTGTTGCATAGTTTCATAGTTTGAGTTTTCCAATGCACTCAGTTCTTAAAAGACAGTGTCTGTCAGTAACATGTTCACTGTGGTGGCATCTTGTGGGCAGACAGTTGTCTTCTAAGGGTGTTTCTAGTTTTGTGCCTTTGTACAATCTCATTACAAAATAATTTCAATTTGCTTTCAGTGATTTCTTATACTACAAAATGTTGTTCAGGACATTATTGTAATAGGAAAGAAACAAGTAAATGGTGCTAAAAAAGCCCTAGATGTCCTGTGGACCAGGGCACAGATGGTAAGTATCAGGTGAATGAAATCAGACAATCTCAACGAGTTACTAACAGGGAGAAGTTTTTCTGTTCTTCACAGCAAAATAGGTTTGATCTTAAACATGCAAGAAATTTCAGCATTTTAATTCTGAAATAGATACTTTAATCATTATTGAAGGCATAGTCTCAAAACAGTCTCTCAAATTTAAGATACAAGGTTAAATTCAGATCTTGAAATAATACACTGAAACACTTCCTAATTAGCAGACTTACTGAAGAAGAGATTTCTGAGTCTACCCAAATATCTACCAGCTCCGTGTCTTATCTCCAGTAGAAAAACAGTGTCAGCATCTCTAGGAATATAGTGACTATAAAAAGATCTATACAATCTGGTCTCTCCCTTAATGTATCTTTCACTACTGGTAAATTGAGTCTTCCTCTACCAAAATCTTTATTACAACCATCGTTTTTGTCAGTCATTGACAGATCTGTGCTCAGTTAGTTTAATCTGTCTCTCATTAATTTCTCCCCACAATTGGTGGAATCCACAGGTTTATGGTGTGGCAGAAGGGGTTGTGTTTGTGAACTTGCTTTCTGACTCCATTGACTGCACACTGCTGCCTTCATTTCAGAAGAGGTTAAGTATTACTCTTGAAAATACCACAAGTAGCTTTGTCCTACCACCCCCAGAAGTTTGACATGTGATTGCTGTCCTTGTGTGACTGGCGTTGCTTTTTTTCACTGCCCCAGCTTGCTTTTGACAAACAGGGAAGTGATTTAGTGTGCAAGTCTATCTACATGCCCCTGTGGGTTGCAGAACTGACTTCTTGGGTTTCAACACAATCTACATCCCAGAGGTGTTGAGAATACAACCTTGCAGCCCTATCATATTATTAAACAGAGGAAGTGTTATTTCCAATTGATAAGTAAGGAAAACTTTATTCTACTGTCCTAGAAATGGTTCATTTGTGCAGAGACAAAGGTGAATTCATGGAGTTTCTTAGGTTCTTTTGTCACCAAATACAGTTTGCCACCTGGTAAATTATAAGAAAAAATGCAGAAGTCCTCTGCCCACTTGTGATCTGTCCAATTTCAGTACAGAAGCTACTGGAACTTCTCATTATTCCTTGAATCTGAAGAATGTGTCATGTATGAAGTGACTGAAACTTGTATTACTTGGTGGGGCTCTGCTGGTTTCCTTGCTCTCTTACTTTTGCATCCCATGAGAACTTTTAAGAGCTCAATCAGAGATTATAGAGATGATGAGCACTGCACACAGTCTTGTTATCTGTGCCAAAATCATGTGAAGAAGACCGAGACAAATGTTTCATACTTGGGAAGAGATGTGCCAAATATAAAACCTAGTTCTCTATCTGTAAGTGCAGTAAGTTGCTACACAATAGTGTGAGTTTATGTTTTAGCATAGTTTCCTTAAAATGTGGGAGAGGATTGTCCAATATTGGTGCTTCATTTAACACAGAAAAGCAGTTTATTATTTGAAAGCAAATGAACTGACTGATATAGACATAATTTGACAATGTTTTCAGGTCTTAATTTTTTTGCTTCTGATTGCTTTCTCATTCAGGAGGCTTCCTGAAGCTCCTTTCTTAAATTAAGGTTGACTTCTCAGACTAAAGTATTATTTGGGTGAGACCAACTTCTATGTGGTTATAGATATTTATTTATTCTAATACAGAACTTATTTACCCTTGGGTTTTTTGATATGTAAAAATTGCATTTACACAAACAGACATTTCTGCTAAGAAAGTGTATACAAAACTGGAACAATGAATACATGGTCTGCTTCTCCCATGAAGTTCATGATTTCAATGTTTCATCACACTGACACTTTTCTTACCCTAACAATCATAGTCTAGATTCAGAAGCTTTTAGCCAGTATGTACAACAAATTAAAACCTCATCTCCAGCACTAGAGCAATGATCTTGAGGATGTGTTTATTTTAAGGCCATATTGGACCTTTTCTGCTTCTCCTTTTCATTAGTGAGGTAATTTAAAATACTCTTCCACCTTTTCTTAGGTGCTAAAAATAGAGGTCGATTCAATTGTCCCTTCAGGAGGCTTATGCAGTGAGGCTTTTCTTAGTTTGAATTTCATTGGCCATAGACAAGTGCATTTTTGCTCCAAGGAATGTGGATTGTGCATGTTGCTATCTAAATCACTTTTTTTTCCCCAATTCATGGGCTATTACATCCCATTGAATGTGCATCTATCGTGATGCTCATCTTGGATTGACGCACATCTCCAAGTGGTTTAAGTTCTGCCAGTTGCCAAAACTGGCTTTCTCACTTAGGTTTTCGGTTTTTTTAAGGAACTTTTAAGACTTGGCTTTCTTCCCAACTTGCATAGTTCAGAGATTGTTTTCTGAAATAAATAAAAGTAACCTTGAGAATAAACACTATCTAGATATTGCAAATTTGAGCTACTTTCTGTTAGTAACAGCCCTTTGATGCCTCCTGGGTTTTCTCTATTATCAGCTACTAATGACCCATGGTATCAAAGAATAAAGGAGGAAAGTGAAAAGCTACCTTCATGAGCTTGCTTCTCTTCCAATTTACTGTGTAAGGAACGTGACTGATGCTTTTTTACTAACTTTAGAAAATTGGACTGAATCAATACCACACAGACCCCAACATCCCCCCTGTGTGTGTTCAGTGGCTCGGAAGCACCGCTGGGCCTGTCAGCACCAGCCCTGCTACCTCTGGAGAGCCTGTGGCACTGGGCTGTCTCTTGTTGCTCTCCTGTAGCTGCCCGAGGGCTCTTGAGGAGCTCTTGAGTCAGAACTGTATTTTATGGCTAGACTTTTCATCTTTCATGGTTCAGCCACCCTAGTGCTAATGCTGGCTGTTCTCTCTTTGGTCAGATTCCTTTGCTCTCCGTGTACATTTCCCCACAAATGTTACATGAATCCATAAGATAATTTTCTTTCTTTGCTTAATCAGGGCTGTTACAGAATTTTTCTTGTTCATGCCTCTGAAGGTTGCCTCTTTTGGTGTTTCGTCTACACTGGACCTGTTTGTCATCTTTTCCTAGCTTGATCTTTCTGCTTATCACTGACTATCCAGAGTAGGTTGCTTGAAAGTCAAATCCAAATATAGCCTCTTTTTAAAAAGACCAGTCATGCCTAAACAAGGTTTTACTGCTGTTTGAGATCACATTTGCCATATGCATGAAACACTGTAGCACTGCAGTGGTCCACAGCCCACACAGAAGGATGCTTGAATCACTGCTAGCACAGTCTTGGTCTGTAGGAGAGAAACAGTAGAATTTTCTAGTACCCATAAATCACAAACAAGAGGGCTGCTTTTACTTTTTCTTGAAATCAGCATTAATCCAGCATCAAACATGTGCTTTTGTTATTTATTATGTAGTTAATTATTCTGGGCCCATCTGTCCAAACACCTTTGCAAAAGTGAAGGTGGGTTCTCGTAATTCTTCGTGCTAGTAAATGCTAACTGGCAATCATAACAGGTGGACAAATGGGAAGAGATACTCAGGAACTGAGACCATAATATTTCTGATGTGTTTTAGGTTCAGGATCTGCATGTAATTAGTACTTAACATGCTTAGTGGTTATACTGCTGGTACACCTGGAGTGTGAAGCCCAAGAAGCCAAGCTGCTCCCTGGCTGTATTAAAGTGGATGGTGCAAGAGGGAGTAAAAGTAAAAGGTTGAATGCAATTGACTCTGACCTTCAATTAATTTCAATTAATTTTCCACTTAATAAACAACCACATTATTAATTATATTTACTCCAAGCACTGCAGTGCATGGAGGCCTGACTCTTGCCTGGCCCCTCAGGGGTGTAGGCTCTCTAGAAACACAGCAAGTGTCCTCCTGATACAGAGCACAAAGCTTGCAGGTGAGAGCTGGAGCTCTGCCAGGGTCATGTCAATGTGCTCAATTTGCATGTTGATTTAATTAAGTCCCGCTGCCACCCCTTGTGCCTGGTGCTGCTTGTTCTGCTCTGCCATGAGCAGCCTCAGCAGTGCTCCCTGGGGCGAGGATGAGAATCAGCTGAGGGGATCCACTGGGACGTTCCAGCTGATCAGGCCTCTTGAGCCTTTCTCAGAAGCACCATGTGCGTCACTCACCTAATTTTGTGACCAGTCTACCAGTGCACAAGTGAGCCCATCTGCACGATGGTGGCTATAAAAAGGCAGGGGCAGGCTCACTGGGGTGTGCAGGGCTGCCTCACTGGCACAAGGGTATGGAGCTCTCCCATCACAGGATGGGCTCCATCCCATTTTGCACCTTGCTTTGCTGCCTTATCAGCACAGCAGCAGCAAATATATTTGGTAAGTATGCTTATTCTTTCCTTTGCCTGTGTCCAGTAGTGACTCTGCTCCTGTGATGTTTGTGGATTATTCTGACAAAGTGATCTTGAATCTTGCAAACTGCAAACTTGGCTAGTTATTGTGTGCTATGAAAACTGAGTTTGGTCTCCAGGTTAAATACTAAGCTGTAAGGATCTTTACGTGGTCAGTATCATTATCTGAGTTCAGTACATCTGAAATTGGAGTGGGAAAAAAGCTTTATTGAAGAATAGACTAGGCTATATAAGCAGCTTTGGTAATAAAAGGTGGTGCTGCAGGGACATGAAGATTATATCTTTATGGATATAGCTTTCTTTAGATTATATCTTCTACTTATATATGTGTCATCATCTAATTTCACCTTGAACCTTAAGATACTGGATATTCTAAAGGCCTTCCTCAGTTCTTTGATCTGAGTTTGGTAATTCTGTACCACAAGCATTTTGAATCACTTAATTAATCTCTTAACTCAAATGTCTTTGTAGACCCTCTCCAGCATTCTACACAGGAATCTGAAGGTGATCAGAGGGCTGGAGAACCTCTCCTATGAAGACAGGCTGAGAGAGTTGGGGTTGTTTGGCTGGAGAAGAGAAGGCTTCAGGGAGAACTTACAGTGGCCTTCCATTTTGGAAGGGGCTCCTGAAAAGCTTGGAAAGGTTTTTTTAAAAGGGCATGGAGTAGTGCGGGATAGTGGTTTTAAGCTGGAAGAAGGCAGATTTAGGTTAGATATTAGGAAGAAATTCTTTAGCGTGAGAATGGTGAGACACTGGCATCAGGTTTCCCAGAGAAGTTGTGGCAGCCTCATCCCTGGAAGTGTTCAAGTCCAGGTTGGATGGGGCTCTGAGCAACCTGGTCTAGTGGGAGGTCTCTGCCTATTGCAGGGAGTTGGATCTAGATGATCTTTAAGGTCTCTTCTGACCCAAGCTATTCTATGATTCTATGCTATGATTCTGTGATCTCCACACATCCCAGAGTAACTGGCTCAGAGTCAAGTCTGAGATTAAAATGGTGAGGTTTGCCTACATGTGGACGTCTATAGGTGACCTAACCTGAAATCCTTTTACAGTTTCACAAAATTTTTCATGAGCTTAAGACAACACAGTGAAATCACAGAGAAACAGAAGTGATTGAGAGGTCTTGGGTACACCAAAACGTCCCATGGTTAAAGAAGTCTCTGAGCTACAAATTATTGGAGGTTGGAAAGTGTTTAGAATGCTTATGTTGTACTTGCACTACTCTGTGTGGTCACAGACCAAATACGGGATTAAGTGAACCTTTGTTCTAAATGTCTGTAGCTATGGTTTTCTTGGTTTGCTGTATTTTTATAGAACTAGTCAATGGAATTAAGAGCATGACATTCATTGGATTGTGAGGAAGGAGAAAGTGTCAGATCAGTTAATCTGTTCTGTAAAACAAAAGCGTCCTGAATTTCATAATTCTCCTAAAACAGCGTCTAAATGTGGCCATAAATGCATTAAGAACAGAAGAATCAACTGTTTTCTTGCTAAGTGGTTTCAGTATTTGATCACTTGCCCCAGTAAAAATTGAAAAGTGCTCCTAATGTGAATTAGTCTGATGCCAGTTACGAGACATTGATTCTGTTTGGTCTCTCGAGAGATTAAGTAGAAGTACCTCTCCTTTTGGTGGAATAGGGAGTGACTTAGTTTCAATAAAGAAAAAATACTCAGAACCATTAATAGTGATGTGTGTGGTCATGGCAAAGGGCTGTTCTGTGGTGACAGGCCCAACTCTAAATAAGTGCAGTACCCTAAGTACCAGAAAACGATAGTGATACCAGTATAGAACAGGGCTGAGACTAATTCAATACAGAAAATTAAATACAGGCTTGGAAAAGGGGTTAAGGAGCATCTCTGTCATGTGATTCTCCTACAGCTGACAGCCCAGAGTATATTCATTTCCTCCCTGTGCTGAGTTTCTTCATTTCTTCCCTGTGCTGTCCCATGCAGAAATGCACACAAAGAGCAACGGGGAAACAACCAGGGAAGACCCACAAGCCTGGGACTGTTACCACACAGTGTTCGCACTAAGAGGGTTTTGAAAAGAGCTGGTTTGGGGTGAAATCACCCTTACACGTTTACCTTCTTGTTGCTTTCAGAGTATCAGACAGATTCCCAACCATTACGTCCATGTGAACTTCAGAGAGAAAAGGCTTTTTCAAGAGGAGAAGCCTACGTTCCTCAGTGCTCAGAAGATGGCCAGTTCAGGTAATTAATCCCTGCTATTATTCAGCTGTTATATGATGTGATCTCTCATTACTAAATGAAATCTTTAGCCTCTCTTTTGAAGAGTCTCCATATCAGTGGACTGCAGGGTGAGGGATGCAGGAGACTTGAAGTGACTTCATTGAAAGGTGTTGCAGATCCAGCCCCTTCTGAATGAATTCCCTGTTGCTGGAAGCTACCTCTGGTTAAGAGATCAATCTAAGATTAATAGGCTAACATAGCATTATTTGTATGTTAAATACTCAGGGCAGATTGCTGAATGCAATTGCTGTCTCCCAACACAAACTTGAGGCCTTGTGCAACCTGGTCTTTAAGGTCCCTTCCAACCTTAACCATTCTTTGATTCTATGCTACTGGGTGTGTGGTCAGTGCTCAGTGTGCCAGCTGCCACAGCTAACCCAAGTTGACTTGGAGAAATTATCTACCCTGCTGGAAGTGGCACAGTTGGGTTTCCTGGTAAAGGCAGTAAAGGAACTAAAAAGCAGGTGAAGAACAGTGGTTTAGAGGGCAGCAAGTTGCTTAAAGATGCAAGTTACTGAGTTAAAGCTGAGGCTGACGGGGGAGTACAGATTATAATGTTCTCTGCTGTCATCTTATTGTGGTTGCCTAGGGTGGGGGACCTTGTCCAATCTAGGTTTGACTTAGAAAGTGTCTCAAAATGTCTGGTAACTCTCAAATACTGAGAACAAGAGTTTTGTCCAACTTGCTTGTTTCCTGAATGACTTCAAGTCACTTATCTGCAATTCCTGAAGATTTCTGAGAATTACTAAAGTTAAGAGCTCCCATCAGGTAGAGTTAGAGTCACCAGAAACACTGTCCTTCCTGATTCCATTCTTTGTGGTGTTAAAGTACTTAAACTTGTTTGGCTTGCCCTATATTTTTGTTTATGTCCAGTACTGACTGAGGACTCTGTCATCTCCTTCAGGACAGTTCAGTGCAGTAGGAATGGTCTTTTTTGTTGGTGTGTGGATGAGAATGGCATTGAGGTACCTGGCAGCAAACAGAATGGATATCCCACATCTTGTAAGTCACAAGTTTCTGTTTGTCTTCAGATTGGGCACAGAACCATTTACATCTCCATTTGAACTGCTGAAATCAAGAATAGTTTAGCCCTAGACTTAGATGGATTCTAGTTTCTTGTGATTTGCTAGGCCTTTCTTGTGGAAGTTCTGGAGTTTCTTCAGGGCTGATCATGGAAACTTAATACATCTGGATGGTCTGTATTTATGAAGGTCACAGAAATGTAAATACTGAATGAAAGATTAACTTAGTGTATTGATATTTGAGTTGGAGAGCTTCCACCCCTTCTGCAGTGGGTATCTGTATACCAATTTTATAACCCTGAGTCCATCAATGTCCTCATGTCACCTGGGTGGCAGAATCAGAACATGCAGCTCTGAGAAAACTCAGATGTTTCCTAATAAATTGTTCGGTGCCCAACAAGTACCTTCTTCTAATAGTGTCCCTCTCTGTTACTACAGGCTTATCCTTCTGCCAGCTGCAAAAACAGAGGATCTTGGTGAGTCGCTACATCAACAGCAGTAGCATCTCCTACATCCCTCAGTGCCTGGATTCAGGGGCTTTTGATGAGGTGCAGTGTGACATGAAGCTGGGTCAGTGCTGGTGTGTCGATCCAGAAGGAATGGAGATTTATGGCACCAGGCAGAGAGGAAAGCCAACATGGTGTAAGTAATAATTGACAGAATAGTGGGGTTTAAAGAGTGGGAAGGTTTGATGTGAATGAAAGGTGGTAGACAAGAAGCTTGGACACTGCAGACTGCACTTATGCTACAGAACTATAGGTGTTTAACTGAGGAATTTAAGGCCCTGTTTCCTAGAATCATAAAATATCTCAAGTTGGAAGGGACTCATAAAGAACACTGAGTCCAACTTCCAGCTCCTCATAAAAAGGGTATGAGGCATCTAGATGTCCAAGTTCAAAGAAATGAATCTAAGCCCCTTCCAGCCTATGAGATGGCTCCTCAACTGTTTGTGGGAAGTGGAAAAATCAGTAAATATTACCTTTGTTTCCTGTCAGGTCCAGGGAACTGTGAGATCCGAGACCGCCGCATTCTGCATGGGTTTGGGGAGAAGAGCCCTCCTCAGTGCTCAGCAGATGGGGAGTTTCTGCCTGTCCAGTGCAAGTTTGTCAACACGACAGACATGATGTTTTTTGATCTCATTCATAGTTACAACAGGTGAGAGTATTGTGCCCCCCTTCTGAAGCAGGGAGGCAATCCTTCCTACCCCTTCAAGTCAGTGTCTCACTGCATTATATTTTTCCACATGAAGCCTTTCTCCTGTGACCCATATTATGTTATGTTAATCAGTGGAGCAAGTAATAAATCTTTTTCTTTTGTTTTGAAGTTACTAATTTTGAAAAGCCTGATGTTCCATCCCCATCGTCTAATCAGTGCATCCTCACACAGCAGTGGATACCAAATTGCAATCTCTATTTGGACAACCAGCCAGGGCTACCTTTCAGACAGATGGGCAACAGCAAATGAGATAAATGCAGAAGGGAGGAATTCAGATATATATATATGAGGTAGGAAAGATAATTCCAAATTGGAGATGAAAAGAGAAGGACAGATGGACAAGTGGGAGTGTGCAAATAGCAAGTTCTACCTGATAGTGGGAAACTCTTGTTCATATTATCTGCCCGAGTGTTGGAAGACTCTGCAGAGGGACCTGAATCAATAGCCTGAGTCAAACTGTATGAAGTTCAACAAAGCCAAGTGCTGGGTCCTGCACTTGGGTCACAACAACCCCAGGCAACACTACAGGCTTGGGGAAGAGTGGCTGAAAAGCTGCCCAGCAGAAAGGGACCTGGGGGTGTTTGTTGACAGACAGATCAATATGAGTCAGTAGTGTACCCAGGTGGCCAAGAAGGCCAACAGCATCCTGGCTTGCATCAGAAATAATGTGGTGAGCAGGACTAGAGGATTTTCCTCCTGTACTTGGCAGTGATGAGGCCACACCTTGAATCCTGTGTCCAGTTTTGAGCCCAACACTACAAGAAGGACATTGAGGTGCTGGAGTGTGTCCAGAGAAGGGCAACAAAGCTGGTGAAGGGTCTACAGCACAAGTCTTGGGAGGAGAAGCTGAGGGAACTGGAATAGTTTAGTTTGGCGAAAAGGAGGTTGAGGGGAGACTTCATTGCCCTTTAAAACTACCTGAAAGGAGGTTGTAGGGAGGTGGGTGTTGGCTTCGTCTCCCAAGTGAATAGTGACAGGACCAGAGGAAATGGCCTGAAGTTGCAGCAGGGGAGGTTTAGATTGGATATTAGGAAGAATTTATTTTCAGAAGGAGTTGTGAGGCATTGAAACAGGCTGCCCATGGAGGTGGTGGAGTCACCATCCCTGGAGTTGTTCAAAAAACATGTAGACCTGGCACTTCAGGACATGCTTTAGTGGGCATGGCAGGTTTCAACATTTTTTTCTGAGTTCAGTGATCTCAGAGGTCCTTTCCAGCTGTGATGATTCTGTGATTTAGACAGTGCCATGGTTGCTTGCACAGGTGAACTGGTGAGTGATGAGCAGGTGTGGGTGATGTACAATAGGTCTCAGGTTGTTGGAGTGTGATGGGGAAAAGCTCAAAACACTGGATCCAACAAGAAGCCAACAAGCCGAGAAGTCCAACAAGAAGCTGTCGTCCAGTGGACGAGCTGGAGATTAAGGCTCAGGTGAAGAAATAAGGGATGGGCAGAGGGAACTGCAGAGAGGAGTTCATTTTGCTGCAGATATTCAGACACTGGAGAAATCTCTTTGTTCTCATGAAGTGCCCTTATCTTGGCATCTCAGTCAATACATTTCTCCAGTGGAGGGCAGTGGAGTAAATGCAATGTCCCATTCTGACTTGGCTCTGCTGTAGCAAAGGCATTTTATTGCAAATGTCATTTGTGCTGGTTTGAGGGTTTTCTGTTTTAATTTAAGCAAAACTGAAAGGCAAGCCCAAATGCACAGTGCAAATTTGTCAGTGCTTTGGGAGATTGTTTTGGCAAGTGCAAAATAATCTGACTGTTTTGTTTGTTTGCCTATGGAGTTTGGGAAGTCTAAAAAAGAAATTATAGAGGATATGACAACACTTTAAATTAACATTTTTTTTTCCTCCCGTTGGGAGATTAGCCTGCAAAGGCCTGTGTGTTTGGGCTTTTCTTGTTTCCATGTCCTGTAATGAATCACAGCAGGATCATTTCACTCCCAGCAGTCTACCTTCCTAATTATGTCATTGACTTAACCCATTGCCATCATACCTGAGCATCTCAGATCATTAATATGTGTATTTTCACACTATTCCTGCCTGAAATGTCATTACCCTGTCTCATGAACAGGGGCCAAAATAGGGAGTTGAATGGATGAGTTCCCCAACCAAGACCTATAGCAGCAAGGGATTTAAATCCATATTTTATGTTCATGTGGAAAAAATGGAGCAACTTTATTTGGTTCCACACACTGAGTTTTGAAATCTAGACATGTCAAACTAACTCCCTTTCCAAATCGTTTCCTTTCACCTTTATAAATATTCCAGAATATATAAGTATGTTAAAAAAAAATAAACTGAGACATTCAGAAACTTACAGCTAAGATTTCTCCCAAGAGGATGACTTTGGAAAGAAAGATGAGCCCAACTTTCCTGCGTCACTCTGGTGACTTGGGTCCTGTTACTTATTTCATACAGACTGTGGCCAGGTCCTGCTTGGATGGGCAGCCATATAGAAGCCCCTGTAGTGAGTAGGTGAGAATGATAAAAGAAATAATAATCAAAAGTCAAGGAGGGTCTTTTTCACTTTCTTGCTATGATTTTTATCAGATTGAAGACCTTGTGTCAGTGTCTTGATAGTAGCTCACTGGAGGTTCTGCCTTGTTAAGTATTATTTCCTTGGTAGTAGAAAAAAGTATGATTTGTGTTTCTCTCTGTTTCCAAGTAGTCAATGGCAAAGGCAGCTATAATTTGAGCTGCACATAGAAAAACAGAAGGGGTTACTTGCAAACCTGTGTTTGAAGATCAGTAGTGACTTGCCTTTGCTGGAGGCCAAGAGAAGAGGCTCACAGTTGGAAGAAAAGGTCAACAGCCTCACATTTGTTTACTTCTTCATACTTTGGAGTGTGAGCATTCTTGTTGAAACACATGGATACACTAGCAATTTATCCATAACTTAAATGTAGACATATTTGTCTCATCTTCAGCTGTGGTTTTGGTTTGGGTCTGATAGGTGAGGTACTCTGTGCTGGCTCTACTCATCTTGAGGACTGTGATTAAAAACAGGATGATTAAAAAAAAGAAGTGGTAGGAAGTGAATCTTCCAAGGAAGGTGAGAATATTCTGTCCTCTTTTTGTGTGTATGTGTGGGCCTAATTTATATCAATTTGTACCTTATTTAGCTGTACTCTCAACTTAGAAGAAAAATAACCAGAATTACAGGATATGACTACACATCTGCCACATATAAAAGGAGTATAATTATGCATGTGACTTCTTAACATTGAGGATGAAAGGAAGAATATTTTCATTGCATCCTGTTTCCCTCAACTAGAGGTGCTGAGGTGATGAGCTCCAAAGACATGAGCAGTGGAGAAGTCTGCCTTTGAATATAGGAGCATTGCTCTCCTAAAATAAGAAAGGTTTATATTCCTGATTGGGCAGTGGATCTGTGCATGATAATCCAGGGAGCATAAAGCTCTAGAAATGTCCAAGTCATTTATATCTGTGTGTAGGCAGAACACTATAGAAATATGGTATTTATTTATATATGTGGTCTAGAGCACAAGCCTTATGAGGAACATCTGAGGGAACTGGAGTTGTTTAGTCAGGAGAAAAGAAGGCTGAGAGGAGACCTTATTGCTCTCTACAGCTACCTGACAGGAGGCTGTAGAGAGGTGGAAGTTGGTCTCTTCTCCCAAATAATAAAAGATAGAACAAGAGGAAATGACCTCAAGTTGCACCAGGGAAGGATATTTGGATATTAGGAAAAAATTCTTCACCCAAAGGGTTGCCAGGCTTGGGAACAGACTGCTCAGGGAAGTCATGGAGTCACCATCCCTGGAGGTATTTAAAAGCTGTGTAGATGTAGTGCTGAGGGTCATGGTTTAGTGGTGAACTTGACAGTGTACTGGGTTAGGGGTAAAGGTCTTTTCCAAGCTAAATGATTCCTGTGGTTCTGTATATTAATTTGCATTGTTACAAAACTGACAGAAGTCCCTCTGTGCCCTGAATGTGACGTTTTGGTTGTTTTTAGCATGCCAATGTCAGCAGCAGAGCAGGATTTGACAATCCAAAGTGAAGGGTGTCAAGTAGGCTTTTAATTTGGACACACGGGACAGCACCAGAGCAGATTCATGCTACACGGGGAGAAGCAAGCTTTGAGAGCAGGACCACATGCTGGGAAAACCCTAAGATTCCCAGCCCTGTCCCCGCCAGGGGTTGCTGTGGCTTCATGCATTCTCCACCTTGTGCTTTGCTGTACTGAGGAAGCAGTTAACACCTTCAGCTCTCCTGGCAAGTGGTGGCAGAGCTCCCGGGCAGGTTCTTGGTGCCAGCAAAGGCCCATGACTCCACTCCTCTCACCTGCTGGGTAGCTCTGAGCCAGAACAGCCTTTCATTGCATTTCTTGGGGCACTGCAGAGGCTTCACACTCTGCAGAGCAGCCCCAAGGCTGCAGGAGAGTGGCACTGGAACTGCAGCTGGTCACAGTCATAGTTTCATAGAGCTGCTGTAAAATGTTTTGGCATGTTAACCTTTTTCCCGGTTGACCAGGGCCTAATAGACCATTACTCTTGCTGCTATGTGTCCTTCTGTGGTTAAAAAAAAAAAAAAAAAAAAAAAGAAAAGGCTATTTTGTGTAATTCTCTGCATGTATTGAGTAGAAAATTAAAGTTCCCTGTTGTTAGATTTTTCCCAAATAAGCCACATGCAGCTGGGACACCAGACCTTTATCATATTTCAGGGTAAGGGTATGTGTAACTAAAATAATATGGTTGTTTTGGTGTTTGGCAAAATTCTTCCCCTGATCATATTGCCTAAATCTAGAAAAACTTATCTTCTCTTTTCTTGGAGAAACCCTGGATTGTCTGTCATTTAAAATCACATTTGTTACATTTTTTCCAACTCTGATGCTACTAAGTTTTCTTCCGAAATAATTATTTTACTAGAATCTGGTTGCTGTCACTACTAGTGCATTATACTGGAAACTAGTGTCTCTCTGATCTTCAAAAGGGTTAGTCTTACTTGTACTGTGCCAAAGACCCTTGCTCCTTAATCTGTTGAGCCATGCTCTGAAAATTGAAAAGATTAGTGAAGTTTTTATCAGCTTTTGTGCTTAATTCAGTGCAGAAAATGTGCATGGCATACAGGGCAGAGGAGATAGCCCGTTTGTTTAGGCACTTTGCCATCCTGTGCAGATTTGTGGAAGAAGATAATGAACGGATGTTGTAATGACATTAAACCAATGCCTGTCTGTTTTACATTCTTTGACAGGCTTTCAAAGATGTCAGTGGGGTTGAAAATGAGTGTTAGGTGCTGGGTACCTGCTTAAAAAGGGTCATAAATCTGTCTGAGGGGAGGTTGTCCTGTGTTTGTTTTTAAAAAATGGCTTTTAGGAGACTTGTTAGTTGGCTGAAACACTAATCTGAGTCATCTCAGAGGCTGGTTGCCACAAAGAGACTGAGGGAGTTTGTGATGGCTCTGTGCTCTGCAGACATCCTTGCTGGACAAATCTGGGAGGGAAATGCAGATGATGCTTTGTTGTTGTGGATGGGCCTCCCCAGGCTCTTCACAGGAGGCTGCTTTTACTTCCAGGCTCCCAAAGGCTTTCCAGACTTTCAGCTCCTTGCGGGAGACATTCCCAGAGGTCTCTGGATACTGTTACTGTGTGGACAGCCTGGGGAGGGAGTTGGCAGACACAGGTAAGTACACTCCAGCATCTGAGCTTTAGGCTTGAGCAGAAAGGGCCAAATAACAGTTATCAGTCTTCAGCTTCACATGGGAATTCCATTTCATTCTTACAAGGGCAAAGACTGTGACCAGTTTAGAGCCCATGAGAAAAGCTGGAGCTCACTGGTGAAATCCCACCCTTAGGAGCAAGGCTTCCATCTGCAGCAAGTGTAGTTGCTGCCCGGGAACTAATCCTGACCTTTCTGGGATGGTGGAATAGGATTTCTGAATGTCCAACCTCTGCCCACACTAGAAAGCTGTGTCATATTCACTAAGTTCAATTAAAGACCGAGGGGAATAGAAAGGGCCTGGACTCTGAACTATTTTCCTCTTGGTCAGTTAGAATAATGGAATGTTTTGGGCTACAAGGGACCTTTAAAGATTATCTAGTGCAAATGCCCTGCCATGGGTGGGCACATCAGATGATCCTTCCTTTTCTCTCATAACCTCAGGCATGAGACTTTTAGGCATGTTAATAGCTGGAACACTTATTATAGTTAATGGAACACTTTGGAAGAAAAAATGTTCTTTTCCAAGGAGGAATGAGGAGGGTGAGGACTTCCAGCACCTCTTTCTTAGGTATTGTTGTTTTAAAATTAAAAAAAGCCAACAACACAAACAAAACCAACCAACTAACCAACACACCCAAAACAAAGAAAAAAACACAAAACAAAAGCAAACCAAAACAAACAAGAGAAATGCAGTGCACAATTATCTTCACATTTAGATGGCAAATGAGAACTTCCAACATACAATTCCCACAAGGGTAAGAAGGTGTCCAAAAAATCTGTTCAGGCAAATAACTACACATCTTTCCTTTTTTTTTCCTTGTATCAGCCAAGATGATTGGAATTTGTTTTTTGGTGACATCAATTTTCAAATTTCCATCAATTACTCTACTGCAGAATGAGCCTAATGAAAAGCACAGCACAGTGGTGTTTATGAGGTGTTCCTCCTGCTTCTTTTGGTAGATGTCAAGGTATAAAGCTGGTGTCTGGGCACTCTGCAGTGGGTTGCATGATAGGATGCATCAGGGTTACGCAGACCCAAGTTCACATTTGGTCTGTTTAGGGGCCTGGTTTTCTTTTTCTTGACAGGCTTCCAGTTCTGCAACTCTGGTGTAAAGCAGGTCATTTCTGTCTTAAAACCAGGCTCTGTGCTAAAAGTCTCTGTTTCTCAGGCTTGGAACTGCTGCTTGATGAGATTTATGACACGGTTTTCTCTGCACTGGATCCTGCCCGCACGTTCACAGAGACCAGCATGTACCGGCTCCTGCAGAGGCGGTTCCTGGGGGTTCAGCTGGCTACCTCTGGCAAGTTCAGGTGTAAGTAGCTCCAGGTGATGCCCTGTAAATATGGCGACAATTTTGGAGTTTCTGTGTGACAGCGGCCATCAGGGAGAATTTATTCTAGGAGTCTCTTGCATTAAAAGCACATAGTGTCATGGTTTCAGTGCAGGAATCAAAGTCCCTGAATTGTAACTGGCTTTTTTTAACCTCTGGGTTGTGAATTTTTGCCAGCAGAATGTACCTGTCCTCTGGTCAAAGCTTTGACACACACCTGAAATTGCATTTTTTGAAATCCTATGAACTTTCTGTATCTGTTGCCCTGAGATTATGGAAGTGAATCTGATAATATATTCAATTAAAAGCCTGAGAAAGTGCTCACTATTTTATGTCATTACACTCGGAAGTAGGAAGGATCTTCCATTGACCACACCCAGGAGGCTGCAGAGGAGTTTGTAGTGCCTTATCCATCAAGGCTGAACTTCTGCATCTTCCCTTGGGTCCATTCCCTCCCTTGTTGGGACAGGCAAACGGGGAGAGTGAACTCAGGTACCTCCTTCATTCTCCTGTACAAGAACCCAAGAGAATTGCTTGGCTGGCAAAAATTTTAACCCCCTGATGTGAGACTTTATCCTTCCATCCAAATTCCTCTGATGTTATTGTCTGACCCTTGCTAAGGAGTTTCATCACCAGAGATATTAAGCAGATACGGCCACACGGTAACACGGTTTTTCTGTTTCTGGGACAAGCTGGTCATCCTGGGCAGGCTGGAAGGCATCTTTCCCCTTCTGCTGCAGTGTTGTGCAATAAGGTCTGGCTGTAGCTGGGGATGCAGCGGCTGTCAGCAAAGATGAAGCAGTAGCAGCCACAAGATGGAGATGTGACCACGTTCCTCAACCACTGAGGGAACCACTTCAGGGACCCGCCCAGATCTCACACCACTGCCTGAAGCCGTACACACTAGGAAAGTTGTCAGATTTCCTTGATGAACAGGTTGTTCTGTTGTGATGGTCTTGCTTCCTTAACCTGGTAGCTCAGAGTAACTGGAAAGCTCTTGAAAGTGGGAAATGTTTAGGCTGGAAGATTGCAGGTTTATATAAACTAGGAAAATTTCTGTTGGAAGAGTGGAGTCTGGTATTTGAGAGATCCTAACTCAGATTTGCTTTACAGAGTTTTGGCTTCTCTGCCATTAAAGCCAGTTTGACAGGAATAGGATCTTCAAATATTGGGTGGTCCCAGACCAAATCTCCACAGTCAGGGCCCTCATTCTCTTCAGTAGCTGTGATGTTTGCCTTCATCTGTTTCCCAAGCTGCAAATCTCTCTCTTGACCAGTTTTGTACTTGCACTAAGGGCCAGAGCTCAGCCAGCCTCCAGCATGGCTCCAAGTCCATGCTGCTACTCTGCCTGCCCACGACTGTGACTGAACAAATGTGTCAAGGTTTTACTTTCTGTTTAGTTTTCAGAAATTAATACCTACAGCAGAAAACCCTGGGACCAAAAGAGGATGAAAAATTCTCATCTTGGTCTAGAACTTGAAGTTTCACTGAAAACAGTCAGGAGATTATTATTTTATTTTATTTTTTTCCTCCCAAATAAGCAAACAATGGGATCAAGCAGAGGTGGCTCTGAAGCTTTAAGCTTTCCCTCCTTAATGCATCCTGCTTTTCTTCCAGGCCCCTCAAAGTGTGAGGTGGAGCGGAACGCAGCCCTGCGCTACCAGCACAACTACGTGCCGTCCTGTGATGCTGGTGGGGGCTACACACCAGTGCAGTGTCAGCAGGGAGGACAGTGCTGGTGTGTGGACACCAAAGGGCAGGAGGTCCAAGGCACCAAGAGACGAGGACAGCCCCTGGCCTGTGGTATGTATGAGGTTTGGAAAAGGAAAAACGAGCACACATCTTAGCGTCTTTAGAAAGAAATGCAAAGGGCCAGTTCCTTTCTTGAGTCTTGACAGATTTTGGTTTCAAAAAACTGAGATACAAAAACCTCTTTGGGATTAAAACCTACATTCTATTAAATTACTAAATACCATACTCCTTTTATTTTCCTTTGTGACCTTTCATTAGCCTTTTAGGGTTTTAGGGCTTTTCTTTGCAGCTGTGGTGTCTGTATCGGCTCCAGGGGCTGGGCTGTTAAGTCAGAATATCTGAGCTAATATATAAGGAAGCCAGTGGTGGAGGTTTTGGGGTTTACCTCCTTCTTTTGGTGAAATGGTATGGAGTTTCTAAGGTATATCTCATCCTCAGCATTTTTTCCCATCTCTGTCACTGCATATTTGACCATGTAAATTGCCAAATCCAGTAAAAAAAAACCCCAAACAATTCAAAAAAGGTGTATGAGTTTGGGCTTGGACAGATTTTCTTAAGAATCCACCATCAAATCCGTGTACTAACTGGAAATAACAGTAGAAATGTCAGAAGTCTGGAGGGAGGAGGAAAGCTAAAAACTTTGAGCTCCAAAGTGCATTACCTAAATATTCAGGATTGTGCTGGAGGGCTGGAGGAGCAGAAGATCCTAAGGTGGGGGCTGTATCTGGGGAAGGTAGTTGCTCTATCTGAGAACTACAGTCTTACCATGGAGATAAAGAAGGAGGAACCTACAATGGGTGTCACATCTCCAAGTCCCTCAGAGCGCTCACCATATGTTGGGACTGGTTGTTTTCTCTTTGTATGTGCTTTGCTGAGCCCTCCTTATGATTTGTTTATTCAGGGAGGGTGGGCAATGACTTGAGGCCACTTGCAGCTTCTATTGGCAGACTCAAGACATTTTTTAAAGAGGGAAACATTTCTGCAGAGGTTTTGCAGCCTACCTCCTGAGAAGGCATTTCATGAGGATAAAGTTGCAGTCTGTGTTCAGACAGTTACATCCCGTGTCTGTATCTCCAGTTCTGCTGTGCTTTATTTCTTTTAATATCTTTAGCTCTCACACTCAGCTGCATGAATGCTGGAAGGGGCAGAGATGTAGGTGCGTGTGGCACATTGGGCGGCAGGTAGACCTGGTAGAGACATGTTTTTCTCAGACCTTTGCAGTAAGTTCACCCTGGCAGTACTTTTTGGTTTGTTCCTTACTCTGCTCTGATTTGATTTAACAGTGGGTAGAAGGGAAGAGCATTTAAAGACTATGATCCTGCATTTGTTTCCTATTAGCATAATTGTGGGATTGTGGCTTACACTAACTTATTGGCCCCTAGAGGAATGTTCTTCATCCTTTTTGCTAAAAGCCAACACTAAAAACAGAAGGGGCCCAAATGCTTTTACAAAGACACCACTGTGACGGACCCTGAGCTTCTGCCAGGAACTGCAGAGCAGGACAAGGGTGTGAAAGGAGTGAGAAAGATGCTGATCACAGAGCCTCAAATTACTTGATAATCTATTTTAGTAGCTTTTAAGATTTCCAGCTTTTATCCTTGCTTTTAACGGGATCTATGACTGCTTTATCATATTGCTTGAATGTGGAATAAATAGGGATGGGGCAGGGAGCCCAAGGGAGGCCATGCTGGAGCAGACCAAAGCTGTTTATCCATTATCCTGTCCCCTACAGGGACAGCAGCAGTGCTTAGAGAGAAAGTGTGAGAAACATGGAAAATGCAATATACCTTTCATATATCCTCCCTGTCCCCTGCAGGCTGGGGAGGCTCCAGGCTGGAGGCTGGATACACCTTCCAGGGATTTGCCTGGCTGCTCTTTAGCCTTTTATCATTCCTAGCATCCTCTGATGATAAATTTTATTATCATAATCTGGTTCATTCTTCTTCCTGTACAGTGAGAAATACTGAACAATAGTTGTCTGTTGTGAATGATGGGGAGAATCCTGGGTTTTAAAAAACTTCTATGGTATTTTTTTGTCCAAGCTGAATAGTCTTTATTACTGGAAAAGCTGTTTTGTTCTCAAAATATTTTTGTATCCCTTCTCTATAATTCTGCTACTTTTGCATCCCTTCTCTATAATTCTGCAACTTTTCAAGGAAAGGTAACCATGGGACACATACTTCAGGCTGCTGGGTGCATTCCAGAGATCCAGTCAGTGCCATAACCATCTTGTCTTTTTGGTTCTCAGTGGTTTTATATTTACTAAGTCTTTAATTTTTTGTTTGTTGGTGTTGTTTTTTTGTTTGTTTGTTTGCTTTTTAATCTCTTTTGAGCCTTAAGCTGGCACTTTCAGAGGTCCTTCTTTAGAGGTGTGTTGCATCCTAACTTAGAGACATTGCTGTCTGTGTATGAATGAAGCTGAATGCAGACACAGTTATGACATAGCTTAACCCTGGGTATGGGTCACCAAGGCCCTCTTGGTACCCTCAGTACCCTGGTATTTGACTATTTTTGTTGAAATTTTGTATATTTTTCCCTTTAGAGCTCATTGTTTAATGCCATCTGGTCCTTAACACTCTATCATTAGTAATTTTAACAAATTGTTTTCAAACCTCTTTTAACAAATGCTTCACTATGAAATGGAAGATCTAGCTAGGAAACCTCATTAAATTCCTCATTAGTGGCCATTGGTTACAATAACTTTCTTTTTTTCTGCAGCCTATTTATCTTTCTTACATTCACATGTTGCTCTTGGATCATCAGAGTTTTTCAGTAGAAACAGGCATCCTACCAGAGGTTAACATCTTTGGAAAAGACTCCACTAGTTCTTTCAACCCTAGGAACAGAAATGAGGATTTACAATGGGAAACAACAGAACTAGAAAAAGGCAACAGAGCAGGCAACTCAGACATAGTGAAGGAATGATTCCTTTCACTTTGTGTCTTGACTGCAGAATTTTATTTCCAGACCATAGTCAACAATAGTTCAAATTTCCTTATCCATGTGTGATGTGTAGTTGAGGAACCAGAGACAGGTTAAACAGGCTGCTTGAAAGACAGCCATTTGATTAAAGGTTTTTGAAGTTTAAAAATCTGCATTTAAAAAAAAATAAAATCTTTGTCTAGGTGAAGAACAAACATGCATCTCTGAGAGACGACAGGCCTTGTCGAGGATCTTTTATGGCCCTGCTGGGTACTTCAGTCAGGCCAATTTGTTTTCAACACCAGATATGCAGTCGGAAAAAATAGCTGGCTACTCAAGACCCTGCCCTCCCTCCTTCAAGGAGCTGTTTCTGGACTCTGGGTTGTCATCCCCTGTTGCACAAAGCCCATTTGTCAGCCAGATTTCTGGACTAGAAACCACTCTTAGTGAAGCCATCACGGGGATCTTCCCATCGAGAGAACTGGCACGAATGGCACTGCAATTTACTGCCAATCCAAAACGTTTCCAAGAAAACCTCTTTGGAGGAAGGTTCTTGAAGAATCTGATCCAGTTCAACTTCACAGGCATACTTGGCACTAGTGGGAAATACAGCATTGGACAATTTTTCCCACAAGAGGCTCTGGCAGATCAGAATAACAGCCAAGGCCTTCTGGAATCGGCTGATGCATTTTCATTGGAGATATCAAAGGCGGGAAGCTCCATTTTGAGTAAACCTGTCGTAGACAGCTTTGGACGCACAGTAACTCTACAGGACAATCAGAATATGATGAAATTCCTTTCCTCTGTTCTGGAATTACCAGAGTTCTTTACTTTTCTTCAACAAGTGATTTCTGTCCCCAGAAGAGTTGCTGAAGATTTAGGTGAAGTGGTGAAACTAGCATTGGGATCCAAAGACTGTGGTGAAGAGCCAAGGGACCTGTTTGTTCCCACATGCACCAAGGAGGGGAGGTATGAGGAAGTTCAGTGCTATGCAGGAGAGTGCTGGTGTTTGGATCCAACAGGTAAGGAAATTCCAGGCTCAAGAGTTCAGGGCAAACATCCAAGGTGTCCCACTGACTGTGAAAAGCAAAGGAGAAACCTGCAAAACTTGAAGCAAAGCCTGCCTGCTGGATCAGATCTTTTTATTCCTTCTTGTACCAAGGATGGAGACTTTCTGCCACTCCAGTGTTACGGGACAAATTGCTTCTGTGTTGATTCGAGTGGCAAGACTATTCCAGGAATAAGTGGAAAAGCTGGAAAGCCAATGCAATGTAAGTCCTAGAGACTGGGAATTTTAAAATGTTTCCTTATTGTGTTGGAATTTAATGATTTTTTCTTCATATATGTTTCATCTGGGAACATATGGGTGATGTATATCAACAATATTGCCCCCTAACAAGAAAGCCAGTCAGGCTTGCAGTAGCAGGGGAAGAGTGGGAAATACAGTGTATGGATACAACCTTGATATCCAGAGTCTTTAAGACAGTCACCTCTTCTTTCTGGGGGTTATGGTAGGTATACTAGAAATAGAGGAACCTGACACCTTTTCATATTAATGAGTGTGTCACTGGCATCTGTCTCTAGTTAGTTGTGTACCTAGTGTATAAATAACATTGTGATGCCCATGAGACGTGGAACATCTGTGCAACCAAATGTGATCCATGCCCAGTGAAAAAGCACTTTTGCTTTCAGAACCAAGTCACCTGGGCATGGTCACTGGCTCATCCTTGTCCTGAGAAATTAAGAGCTTCAGTGCCTTAAACCATGAGCCCCTTTTAGTCTTATAGCTGAACAATATTCCTCAAGTTATTGGATTGTCCAAATTTAGGAGAGGGATTCAAAGGCTAGTAAATTTCTCCTAAAGATCATGCAGTCAGGCCAGAAGAATGAGTCACAAGTGACGTCAGACATCAGTCTGTCATTACAACTTGCTACTAGACTATGAAGTGCCTCATCTGCCCTTCTAGTGCTGTAATACAAAGGAAGAAGGAAGCATACAGGCTATGGGGTATTTGTCTTCCAGCTTTCTGTGACCTGAAAAGAGCACACAACAGGGAGAAGAGACCAAGAGGAGTCTGTTTCTCATTTTGGAAGGAGCAGCAGAGTATCCAGTAGATGATAGGGGTACATAGTGAAGGAGCTCCTTTGAACAGCAGTTTGCAGAAGCAGTGGGGAATTTATTGCAATGATCTGAATTGGTAGGGGATATATATCTGGCAACCCATCTGCTGTGCAATTGAAAACAAAGAGGCTCATCATTTTCTAGTGCTCAAAAGGAGATGAGCTTCTATGTTTTGCTATGTTTGTAGAGCTGTTTGGTGGCAAAATGAAATTTGGCCCTGGAGATGGCAGAAAAGGCTTCCAAAACAAACTCACTCCAGTATTTCAAAGGATAATATTTTTATATTCAGCAGCAATATGCATTAGAAAATGGAAGGAGATACCAACAGGATCTAAAAATTCTGTTTATGTCCAAAGGCAAATAAAATCAGCTTTATCCTGCTATTCAGATGGTTGATTTTGTGGGGATTCGCGAAAGAAGAATGAACTACCAGATTAACAAGTGTGTCTGAAAATACCTAGTTGATGTGAACAGATTCAGGAAGGGATTTAAGTGGCATCAAGCACCTATCCCCCCAATAAGACCCACAGACAGATACTGTGCTCAGATGTTTTTAAAAATCACAGCTATGTGCATCTTTCAGTGCTTGCTTCCCTTTGGGAATCTTATCCAGGTTCAGCTTAGGAATTTAAGAACCTTAATAACCTCTTCATAACAGGTCAGAAATGTTGTTGTTAGTGTTGGGGTAGGTTACCAAGTTTTAGTATTGGTGTTTATGGAACTAGGGAGGTGGGGGGTATTGAATATCTCCAGCACATTGGTAAGACCTGCTATGAGTGTTTTTCTTTTCCCCAGGCCCGAGTGTTTGCCAAGTAACAGCTGGTCAGGAGTTTCTAAAAGCAGTGGAGCTCTTGTTGTCAGACCCAAGTGTTCTGTCTCAGCCCTCCAGCATTTACCTCCCGCAGTGTGATGCTCAGGGTGCCTGGAGGCCGGTGCAGTGTAGTGGCCCTCCTGAGCAAGCCTTTGAGTGGTATGAAAGGTGGATCACAGAGAATAATGAAGGCAAAACCCTGCCCATTTCTGACCTATTGAACATCATAAATGGATACAAAGAGGTGTCTTCCAAAGGCTTTTCAGCTTTTATTAAAGCTTTATATGAAACTGGGCACCAAAATGTCTTTCCGGCATTTACCACGTATTCCTCCTTCACTGATCTCCCACCTGAAGTGCTGGAAGGAAATGTGACCTATGCATCTGAGAACATTTTACTGGATCCATACACATTTTGGCAGCTTCTGAATGAGCAGCTGACCTATTACCCAGGACCATACACTGATTTCAGTGCTCCACTAGGCCACTTTGAACTTCGTGATTGTTGGTGTGTTGATAGCAAAGGAGAAGAGCTGCAAGGAACAAAGGCAGAAGTGAACCAGGTCCCAGCATGTAAGTAACACAATTTCTGGTGCATAAGTAGCAGTGTCTCTGGTCTTGGCTTTTACAGCACGAGTCCTTTCAGGTGTTGAAACGTAGGAGGTAATGACTCGGTGGAAAGATCATCAGTACTGCCATTGTCACTGACCACCAGAGGTGGGATAAGTAATTGTTAGTAAATAAGTGGTTCCAGCTTCAGGAATAAGGAGGACTAAAGCTCCATGTAAAGTTTGTGTACATTTTGTAAACTGGAATTGGGGCATAAAATGCTTTTGCAGAAAATACGTAACCAGATGACAAAGGATGCTTTTTAACTAGTGAGAAGGGGGTAACTTACCATAATGAGGCCTTTGTCCCAAGACTTGGAGAATGTTTTGGTGATTCCTGGTAGTCTTGGACTCCTGTGGTTGCATAGCTAAACAGTGACAAGGCTCCTGTCCTTGCTTCATTAAGCAATTCAAAACTAAGCAAGTACAGGAGAAAACAGAAGATGCTAGTTAAAAGCCCAGCCAGTTTTACCATCCAAATCTTTCTTTGATTTAGATGAAAGGCCTTAAAATACTCTCTGATTCCACAGGTCCTGGTGTATGTGAAGCTGTTAAGCAGGAAGCCGTGAAATTTATGGAGGAAGCCAAGCAGCTCATCCTAGCATCAAACAGTTCCCACTTCCCTTTTGGAGAAAGCTTTTTGATGGCAAAGGGGATACAGCTGACAGATGATGACCTCCTACGTACTGCTCGGCCCTATGAGTCTGAGGTGGTGGTCTCTGAAAAGCTGTTATCAGGCAGTGACTATGCTCTCCAGCTGGCTGCACACTCAGGTAGGTGAGAGAGAGATGAGAGCCTCATTAAATGGACTACTCAGGATCTGTGCAAGAGTGTTCTTAGGCAAATTCAGCTTTGCTGAAAAGCAGGTGCAACTTGGCAAATAGAATGAATGAGTGTAATTAACCTGCCAGCACAGGGGCTGATTTCAGTTGTGTGTATGAGACCATGCACATAAAAGATCTGGACACCTACTAACCTTAATGTACTTGCAGCATTTGTTAATTCCCCTTCTGAAGTGCAGGGAACAATTACAAATATGCGTTTAAAGTATCTTGTCTTAGACTGGCCATCAATATCTGTCTTTTATTCTTTTATAGTCTTGCATTTCTACTGGAGGAGTCACTTCACTTCCAAACGTTCTGCTGGGGAAGCAACACAGCTGGGATTTCTCCCCTACATCCCACAATGTGATGGCCTGGGAAACTGGGAGCCAACTCAGTGCTATGAGAGCACAGGTCAGCCATTGCTAACAAGATACTCTGGACTGTGTGAACAAAGAAAAGCTAAGCAGAATTCTAATAAAAAGATGGAAAACTTGTATTCTTGTAGCCAGAGAGGAGAGAGGTAAAGTGGTCTACAAGATGAGTGGCAGCTCACTGGGGCTCAAAACTCAGTTGCTGTTCAGTTACTCATTGCTGTAGGGGGTCAGTTCAGGGGCTGATATTGCTTAATGCCTTCACTAATGACCAGGACAACAAGATGGAGGGCACCCTCAGCAGGTTTGTGGATGACACTGGATTGCTGGGAGGGGGTGACATGCTGCAGGATAGGGATGCAATGGAAGAGTCTCACTAGAGTAGCTACATTTCCATTCTCACCACCACTGTCAAGTGTGGTCTACTTATCTCTGGATAGCAGAGTTAACAGCAACTTAGATTTACTTGCTACTTTATGGTGCTCCTGAGGATAAGAATCTTGCTCCACAAAGCATACAGCAGTACAACATCTAAAAACTTTATGGTGCTGCTGAGGATAAGAATCTTGCCAGTACTCCACAAAGCATACAGCAGTACAACATCTAAAATTAAGCTGCTGTTTTTCCCTGGCCAGGTCATTGCTGGTGTGTTGATGAGAGAGGACGTTATGTCATGGATTCCTTGGTCTCACGTTCTGCAGAACTTCCTAAATGTCAGTTGCTTTTTCTTCCTAAATATTTTCTTTACCTGTTATTTCAAATGTTAATATGTATTGAAAATTCTAGTGTGATATGCATGAAGCAAGGCTTGTTTCTAACCATTGGAAGAAACAAAAAAGGAGCTTTCTGCTGGTTTTGCTAATTAAATTAATTTCAGTATGTGTGATTTTGGCTTGCATGATTTGAGAATGGAGCTTCTACTGTTAATGGCCCTGCTTGAGCAGAGATTGGACCAGATATCCAACCAGATATCTCCAGAGGTCCCTTCCAACCTCAACCATCCTGTGATTCTGTGGTTATCAAACACTGATCAGAAATTCCCTGCCTGAGAATGTAGCAGAGCCTAATGGAGAAGTGCAAAGGAGCTGGGAATGTACCCCTTTCCCTAGCTTAGGTATAAGAACTGGGTTTTATTTTAACACATGTGTGCTTTCCCTCTTACAGGCCAGACATCATGTCAACGATCTCAAACCAATGCCTTAATTTCCAGCTGGAGACAGAGTGGTTCAAAGCTGGATGCTTCTACAGCTGAGCTATTCGTCCCCTACTGCCTTGAGGTGATTTAACATGAGGGACATGATTTAATGTGATTTAACTGAACAAAACCTCCTTGGCTTTGCTTACACCATGCCATAGGCACACACAGTTTCAGTCTATGCTCCTTAAGCATTCCTTGTGCATTACCCTTAACCTGAAATAAAGGGATAAGACAAAACACCCAGGGACACTTCCCTGCATAAGGCAGAATTTAAATAGTTTTGAAATTAACACCAGGAATAGGAAGCTCTGCTCCTGCCTGCACTGGCCTCCATCAGGTTGGCTCTGCCTAGTCCTTTGCAGGGCTGTGCTTAAAAAGCACTAGATTGACTGACATCTGGGGGGCTCTTTATTCCTGAGCTGTGGGAGAATGTCAAGATGAGCGGGAGTTGGATGCAGGTATCCCACCACAGGGTCAATGATGCTCTGAAAACATGGTAATGAGCAGGACAGAGCCCTGAGATGGGCAATGAACAGACATTTCAAACCAAGATTATACTAGAACTTCATCTCAATGGGCTTTCAATCTGCATACTGCTTCTCTCAGCACCTGCTCTTAGGCAGTATTTTAATATTTCATGGGTTTTTTTTAGCATGTTGTATTAATGAACAAATAGAAATAGAATTAAATATTTTAACCAAGCTTTGTGATAATGATTCTGGAGTGTATGTATTAATACAAATTGCTCTGCAATGACATGCATCTGGTTGTTCATAGACAGGAGAATATGCTGTGCTACAGAGATCCAACACAGACACTTGGTGCTTAGATCCTGTGTCAGGAGAAGTGCTTCAGAGTGGCAGCAAAGATTTTAATGGCAATCCTGAATGTGAGTAATGCTTTATCTGCAGCCTGTGATGCTAGTGGCAATGTTATAGCTGTTGCAGCATGTGTGCTTTCCTTTTCAGGATGATACTTAAGAAAACATGAGGAGTTTAATTCCTCAGGGATACATACAAGCACATCATCAGAGCACTGGAACAAACTGCCCAGGGAGGTTGTGGTGTCTCCATCCCTGGAGACATTCAGAACCCACCTGGACTTGTTCCTGTGTAATCTGCTCTGGGAAACCCTGCTCTAGCAGGGGGGTTGAACTAAATGATCTCCAGAGGTCCCTTCCAACCCCTACATTTCTGCAATTGAAAGGGTATCTGAAAATAATATTCCTTTACTTTCATAACACCAGAAACAAACCAATCTAGACAACCTGTTGAACTGGTTTCTATGCTTTTTTTTTACTTCCCATTTCTTACCACCAGAGAAAATTATCTGGGCTCATGGATGAGGTTTCTAAGGCACTGTCTCCTGAACTGTGGGAACTGGGCCACGTGCAGTCAGTGAGTCCATTCTACGTGGTCCACAACCGCTCCATAGACTGCAGTTAAACCTATAACACATTTTTATTGTCCTCAAAAAAAGACAGAGACCTGCTGAAGTCTCACAGGAGGTGGCAGATCCAAAAAGTTGAAGAATCACTGCTTGCAGGAACTGAGATGCCCTGTAGGAGCCCATGCATGAACTCTGCTCTTTTGAGCAACACAGGCAGCCCCAGAGCCTACAGTTCTGCTGTGCTGGTGGTTTCTGCTTGCCATCTCCCCTAGAAAATTTGGGAGAATAATGTGCTGGCTGCAGACAAACCTCCCCCTGGAACAGAGTAGATTTTTTTTATTATATATATGGGCTAACGATGGATGTCCATAGAGACATGTCACAGGTCTGATGGGGGATACGTAACTGCATGTTCACTGAGGAAACAGAATCATAGAAACAGGATTAGTTTTGGTTGGAAAAGACCTTTAAGATCATCAAGTCCAACTCTTGGTTAATTTGTAACTAGTTGTGTAACAGTTGGTTACATGAGTTTACAAGTTTACTCTGACACTCGCAGATGAACAAAATTAGTAAGAACCAATGTGGTCTCAATTTCAAAATGAACATTTTGGAACTTCTTGTGTGGTTCCGAAAACTCAGGTCCCTGTTCTGTTTGCTTATGGGAAACCATAACTATTGCTATTTCGTGGCTAGGTTTTCTTTCCAGTTTTGAAGGCATAAAACTGGGGCATTCTGACTATTAAAAAATGTAAATAATCAGAGTATTGCATTTAAAATGACCTTGCTCAAAAGGTCTCACTAAAAATACTATTTTTAAGAATTAGTATCTAAATGATACACTATTGAATCCATGAGGAAAGAAAAAGACTTACATGCAAAATAAATATCAGTATTTTTTCAGCTATTTTGTTGATGCAAACCTACATAACTTGTGCTTTCATCTTTAGTAAAAAAAGTCACTTTTCTAGTGACACTAAAATTCTCCATGATTCAAATTATTTATGGTTTCATAATCATGTCTCTTTCTTCTTTCTAATAAACCTGACTGAATGTGCTGCTGGTAAAGTCTTTAGGACAATTCTGTAGGTTGATATAGTTCATTTTTCCAGATGCTGAGTCCGTTGCCTTCTGGTCTGTATCTTGCAATGAATTTCTCTCTTTAAAGGTCCTAGTTTCTGTAGTATGCTGAAGTCTAAAGCTGGTTTACGAGAAGCTGGCAAAGGCTACATCCCAGAATGTGAAGGGGACAAAGGGACTTTCTCACCCCAGCAGTGCAGCCAGGATCAAGAGAGCTGCTGGTGTGTCTTTGACAATGGGGAAGAAGTGCCAGGGACACGAGTAAGCAGGGGAAGACCTGCCTGTGCAGGTGAGTTTCTGCTTGAGGCACATTGCTTCTGAGCTAGTCCAGGTCTGAAACTTCACCCAAATGCTAATTTGTTTCCAATATTTAGTTCTATTTAAGCTTTCTTGTCCAGACTTTTGCTGAAGTGCTATGGTTATCTTTGGTTTATAACAGATTTCAGATCTACCTGGGCATACTGTCCAGTTTTCTTCAAGCCCATGGTCAGGAAGAAAGGAAATGGGAATAAATTTTTTACTTTTTCTTATTTGTAAATTTGCTTAAATCAAAGTAGTTGAGCTAACTTAGCTAAAAAGCCAATCTGAACAGCTTGCTGCAAACTGGAACCTGTTCCAGCCTGAGCTGGCTCTGGGATTAAAAGCCATTCAACTGACTAAAATAAAATTTGAAAAATGTATGCTTCTGCCATTCCTACTCCTGGCTTGTGACCAGAGTTGTGAAAGGGATGTGCCAACACACTACATATTCACAGAGTATTTCCTGCATGACCAGAGTTGCAAAACACTGGAATTCACTCATAGTTTCCAGTGAGATGTCCAAATGGGGATAAATTTAATTCATAATGGCCCTTTTACATCTCCGCATCACTAAAGTGAAGCCAAACAAATGAAACTTTCTACAAGGCTGTGCTCCAAGGTGTAATGATTGGTGCAAACTGGAGATGTAAAATAAAACCTTCTCCTGGTGCCTGCAGGACTCTGTGGTTTCCATAGTTCTTCTGGGTTTTTTGAGTGATCACAGTTGGTACATTTAGGAAAATGAGACCTCATAATAAGAAATTGCTTTGATTTCATTTTGTGATTCTGTTTTATGAGGAGCAACACATGCTCACCAACAAAATACCTGATTGTGTCAGCCCAGCTGGGCTTAAGGAGTTTGAATCAATTAGATAGCTCCTCAGCCAACTTGGAAACACCAGCAGCACCATTTTGTTTGAACTGTCTTGCACCAAAAGAGAGCTACGTGGATGGGACTTTACAAGAAGCCAGAAGGACACCCCAGGGTTGTCTCTGCCCCGTGCAGTGTGATGTGTGAAGATGCCCAACTGAGCTCTGAAGAGATGCAGTGTGATGTTGTGTGAAGATGCCCAACTGAGCTCTGAAGAGATGAGCAACAGAGCTTGCGCAGTGCAGCCACATCAGCATAGAGGTCCAATAATGATTTCTAGCTCTTCAGAGAAGCAGAGCTGATCCATCTAACAACTACAGTGCTGCTGCCATCCTGCTCTCAGGTTATGGGCTGGTACCTCTTTGGAACACGGGTCTGTGTGATATTTATTTTCTTTGGATCAGTTGGAGGAACTCAATGCAACACCCAGCACTCAGCAGTGTGGATTGACATTCCTGTAGGCTCTGCAGGTGAATAGGGAAAAGTGGGAGTGTTTCTAGGACTCCAAATAAAAGTAAGAACTAGTTGTTAAGTCCTTGACATGTCCTTCCCTTTCTGAAAGCTCATTTTCTAGATTTCCTCCTAAATTCCAAGGGAATTTATGGAATATATTCTAAGGAGGGTGTAGGTTTACCCTGAGCTATGCCCCTAAGATGATTTTGCATCTTGCATGCACATCTGATGTTTCTTGGGATCCTGTATTGCTGGACTTTTCCTAGAGGAAGTAGTGACTGAATTATTAATGACCTTCCTTTTTTTAGAAGACTGAGCTGAGAGAGAGAATTGCTTTGAAAATATAGTGGAAACCTGGATTTACTGAAATCTATTTGTTTTTTGTTTTTTGGTTTTGTGTTGTTTTGGTTTTTTTTTTCTATAGAAATAGCATTGAAATTATCTGTAATGATTTTCCTGGCATTTGAAATGGCAATGAGACTTTTTCATCCTAAGTAACTTAGTTATTGCATAACAATAAAGAAATAAAAGTTGTTTTTCCCCTCAGTCTATCCAGTCTTATACCTCTAGTCCTGGGAACTACTAATAATTACTTGGGAAAAAGAGAAGGGAGTTCTATCTATCTTGCTATCCTGGAGATCTTGTCTATGAGCAAAAGAAGCTGTTGTGGTGGGAAAATATGATAAACTTGTCTTCTAACATCAGACCAGACAGATGTAAACAGCAAGTAATAACTTCACAGTGCCCAGTGTATGCAATGAGGTTTTCATTAGCTTAATCATCTCCATCAGAGGTAGAATCCAGCTTTTTCTCATTGACATGCACTGGAGAGATGATGCCAAGTATCCCAGCAGTACTCACATGCAGCTCCCATCTGCATGCCTGCTTCCCACAGCTCTGGGTAGAGGTAGAGAAGAGAAAGCCTTCCAGAGAAGATCCTCAAAACAGTAATCTCCTTATGCAAATCTTTGGAAACATCTGTGAAAGAAGTGTCAATTTTCAGCTGTATTCTGATTCACTCTTGAAGGACCAAGAAATTGAAGCAGAAATTGAATGACAGAATGGTGCAGTCTTGGTAACAATAGTGAGATGACACCTGTATATGGATAAAGGAAGAACTTACTGATGTGAAGTGAAACCTGTGGCCCACACCAGGAAACATATGTCATGTGTTTTGGGGACTGGTTGTTTCCCTAGTTCACACAACAAATCTCATTGGAACATCCAGTAAAAGACTGTAGCAACATATGGCTAAGACTGGATGTGACTTGCTGGATATGGGCATGTGTTAGAGCAGCAGAGAGAAAACAGATTGATTTTTATATGCATTGTAGAAGGAGATATAAGTGGTTTTTACACGTTATGGTGGATGTAGTTAACATTGGTCAGGATCAGTATTACTGTCTCTTTTACAGTGATGTTTTTAGTCCTGAAATCTCAGGAGCTTTCTTAAAAGTTTGTGAAGCAAAGATGCCAGGTTTCCACCTTTACTGAAAAAGAGACTGGATGCAGAGTCAATGACTGAAGAAGAGGAATGTAGTGGCCCCATTTACTGAGTTATAACAGAAATTATACTATTAAGGAGACTTGGAGAAAACGCATCTGGCAATTGAGAGAGAGGGACAGGAAAGCTTTTATTTTGACGTTGTTACGTTCAGGGTTGGAAAACAAGTGTGTGCTGTGCACACTGGATCCCAGATTAATCCTGCAATGTTTTAAGCTTTAGTTGAAGTGGCTGCTAAACTAAGAAAATAATCTCTATATCTTCATCAGAGGAGGAGAGAGAAGCTGCTCAGACCTGAACTGTCAGTAACACTTGCTTTCCTCCTGTGGTTAGGGGGGCTGGGACTGATCTGAACACTGGTATTTGGAAAACGATCTATAGATACACCAAGCAAGTGAATTGCAAGATATGAGAACATCTTGTTCTCCAAGTTAGGAAGCCGTTTTTTTCTTCCTATGCCTTTTAGCTCCAGAACTCATTATAGTATTAGTAGAGATATTCAGTAATTACATTGGGATTTTGGCTAATATTGAGTGAAACATTTGATTTGTACTGATTAGTAGAAGGTAATTATCAGTGTAGTTGGTCTGCTATAATAGTCTGTTACGGTGGGCTAGCAGAGTTGAAATTAGTTGATAGGCTAAAGTTTGTGGCCAACTCCAAAGCAGTATTACTAATTTGTAAGTATTACTATTTTGAAATGACTATTATATGTAATTACTATTTTTGTATTCTGGACACCTGCTGGATCTCCAGAAACCTCCTGGTGCCGTTGAAGACAACATAGTGATGAGTTCCTGATTGTAAAGTTTTCAAACTTTGCTCTAAAGGGAACTAAGATATTTTTTTCAGGCCCTGCCTATTTCCACTGGGTATCTTCTGCAGAGGTTTGTTCTGCTGATGGTTAGAAACCTCTTTTTCAGTTCCTGCTTAGATTTATTCATGACTGTTTTAAACTTATCTGTTCATAGTAACCATGCACATAGCTTTCTGGACCCAATGTGTTACCCACCAAAGTCAGTATGTGTCCTCCCATCAGCTTCAGCAAACTGAAACATGCTAACACCTAACAAGATCCAGGCTGAGATGAGTGGGAAACACACAGGGTGCTGCCTAGGTTTTCTCTGTTGATGTGAGGATTACTCAGACTTTTTATCAGAAGTCCTTCATACTGTGACACTAACATGTCCCCTTTTCTCATGTGCTTAAAGGTCCACAGTGTGCTCTGCCATTTGGTGTCTCATCTGTCCTCAACGGAGCTGTGTTTTGTGAAAATGTTTCTGGGCAAGCAGCAAGTGTCCAGCAGTGCTGGCTGGCCTGTCGCCAGGGCTTCCAGAGCACCTCTTCCAGCAGGTCCTTCCAGTGTGACGTGCAACAGCGTCGATGGGTCTCGGCTGCCCCGCTCTACCAGGCCTGCCAGAGTATGTCTGAGTTGCTGTGGGTTGGGAAGGGCACAGAGCAATGTAAATGTACAAAAATCTTCTTCCATCACAAAGCTACTGTGAATGGCAACATGGGAGCTGCTAAATTAAGGTGCAGTAGAGTAGTCCTGTCTCCTGCCATCTTCATCTCTCTCTCTTGGCTGGGTTCTGTGCCAGAAACAGTCCCACTCCTCTGTAATAATATAGCTTTAAATAGTTATTCAATCTATATGCAGATTTCTTTTTGTTAGTTAAAAGATGCTGGCACCATGAAGGGATTCTGATGGAATCACTTAGTCCTGGAAGAACAGATGAGCACCAGATGTTTGAAATTGGCAGAACTTGACTGTCTATTTGCATAATCGAAGCACTGTTACTTCTGCTTCTTTTTTGCAGCAGTCTGTTCTTCAGGATCATTGTCTTTGTTGGCTGACTTGTGGTATTATTCAAACCATTTTTCTTTCAAAAAAATATATGGCCCTTTACATCTTGGAAGAATTGGTTGTCTATTCAGAGTGCATGTAATTGGTTATTAATGTTGGCCCTTTCAGTCATTTCAGATAGAGGCATTCTGATCAAAATGGCAATTTGCAACAGTGCTGAACTTTGAGAAATGGAGATCTTGATGCCAAGTTTGCAGCTACTAGAAACCCCTGTATTGACACATTTCTAGTTGTCCCCCAGGTCTTCTATTCCAAATGTCGTTATTTTAAACTTTACATTTCAGACTGAGACTTTTGTCTGATTGTAACTGTGTTTGCTAGGTTTTTGTGGCATATTATGAAGTGACTTTCCTGCTTGCCTGGTGGTAGTTGAATAATTGTAAGGACAGAAGGGATGTGTGGCATCTGATACAAGCTGCTGTTTAATTCAAACTAAGGACTTTCCTCAGTAATTTTTATTTGACAGAGAGTATGGCCTTAAGGAGAGAGGAAAACATTCCCAACACATCAGAAGACAATTGAATAAACTTCTCAATAATGGAGAATTCACCACAACACTCAATAATGTGTTCCAATGGATTAACCACACTCTTAAAATCTTATGTTCTGTGCTTTTTGTGTAAATGTAGAGATTGCAGTTAAATCAGCTCTTAAGTACTCTCTGATAAACTAAACAGATAGAGGGCTTTGTGCCTCCAGGAAGAAGCAGGCTTTTATGTCCTCTGGTCCCTCCTACCATTCTCCTTGGAAGCTCTCCAAGATTTTCCATGCTGGTTTTAGGGTGAGGGACAGGGAATTGTTCTCTAGCAGTAACACATGTGATGCAGCAAGCAAGGGTCTGCAGAGAATGCAAATGAGTAAAGAGCTCTGCCACTTGTCCTAGCTAAGAGCCAGCTCCATTTTGGAGATGGCATGACATGATTGCTGTGCTAAATCAGATAAAAACCCTTTGTGAGGGGTTTTAACCCTGGTTAAAACTAAATAGGTAAGTAGATTTTCATTTTGTGACTTATAAGCTCATGGAATTCTCATAGACTTCTATGATTTGCTTCACTGTGGTTTGCTATCAAAAAGTTGGAAGACCCTTGTAGATGTCCAAGTCAATTCCATTATTATGCAGTCAAATTGATTCTCTCCTAAAACTTGCAGGTAATTTGATAGCTAGGATTCTGAAAGCCCATTTGTAATAGTACTAATTGCTTTAACCATTTAATTACTTCTTAGATAAAAATCTTCTCATGATTGCATCTAAGAGAAGCAAAAATTGACAGGTCAATAATTTCTGACTTCCTGTTTCTAAAAATTGGATTAACATCAGCTTTCCCCTAGTTCTCTGGAAATTTCTATCTGCTAAGCCTTATAAAAATTGCCATTGATGATCCAAATAGTTCCTTATCTTTATTCGAATTAGTGTTCCAGTGTAAAATATCTCTAGTATTATATAACTGTACCACCTGGCTTTTACCCTAATGCACAACATACAAATTTATCAAGCATCTCTCTTGCTGCTTGTTACTGAGCACTGACAACTCTACTGTTTTTGCCTAGAAATGGGGAGATGTTATAGATGCAAGATCAAAATGCCAAATCAGTGTTGTCTTTTCTCAGCTTTGAAAGTTGGCTTCTTCATTAATGAGGCTACTAAATGCCCTTTCTACTTTAATTTTTAGAGCTCCAATTATTTCAGACAGTCCAAGCTCAAATACACTTTCAACTACTGTTGCCTCCAGAGAAGACTTGCAGTTCTGACTACTCTGGATTACTCCAGGCATTCCAGATATTTATTTTAGATGAGTTGAAGGCTCGTGGTTTATGTCACCTCCAGGTAATTTCAATTGCTTGTTCTTTATTTTTGGTAGAGTGTTTTGTGTCTCTTGGTGTTTTTTTTGTTTGTTTTAATACAAAAATAAAAGCTGAGATGGAAAACAGAACTTTGCCTCTTCGAAAATGCTGGAAGAGCAGAACATGCCATGAAGTCTCTTAGGATTGGCAGCACTCTCATATAAATGACTGAGAAAACACGATGTTTAGTGTCACTGACCCCATATTGGCAGATCAGCTTAACTGTAGCCACAGAATTTATTTCATATCAGTCTAATATTTATTAAAAATATATTTTGATGAAAGAGAATATTCTGTTTGTTCTTACAGTGACTAAATGACCATTAAAAATATCCTTTTCCTACTTCTGTTTTTACAAGCCCTTTCAAAAATGCCACTTTTGAGCAGAACACAGTGCAAATGAGTAGAAAAAGGCAAGAACTAGAAGTTTCTTGGGTTGACTAACCATGTTTTCATTTAATTTTGAATTTGAGGTGAATGCATTTGGAAATACTGGCTCTGTTTCCATCTGTGATGATTCCACTGTTTATGTTGAATGCCTGAGCGCAGACCGCATGGGGGTCAATGTCACATGGAGGACTCAGCTGGAAAACATTCCTTCAGCTTCTCTCCCTGACTTACATGACATTGGTAAGGTTATTTTTTTCCCTCTGATATTTCTGTGAATTAAGACAATTCACAGAAGAAATTAAGGAAATTAAGACAATTTAAATTGTTTTTTTCCCCCTGTATCTGGTCTTAGGAGGTGCTAACAAGGTAGAATAAATGCTCACTGAAATAATGAAGTTGTGGTTTTAGGCTTTAGGTGTTGACATATTTATCTATTCAGGCTGTGACTGCACAGTGGAAAGGAGCTGTCAATGTTTCTTTCAGATAGGACTGCTTCTCCCAGCTTCCTTAACTGAGATTAAAAAGTACTTTATCATACATGGGCTGAACTATCCCAGATGTTAATTTCCATTGGGCAGGTCCTCAGCAGTGGGAAAGACTGTGTTCTTTATTGGGTTGTGCTCAGAGAAACACAATTCTCACACTGCTAAAAATATAGCTAATTTATACAAAGGCTTTTTTGTTGTTGTGGTGGTGTTTTTTGTTTGTTCATTTGTTTGTTTGTTTTCCCTTTCTTTCCCCCTTTTTTCTATTTATTACATTACCTTTGGCACTAAAGACTGACCCTCAACTTAGGAGTCCTAGAGCTATTATGCAGAGACCACTAACTGGCAGAACTTTCCTGTGGTTTCCAAGTGAGTTAGGGATGGTGTAAGGAACTTCCTTCAAAGCAGCCAGTGTTTCCCTTTAAAATCAAAGATGTATAAGACATATCCCAAGTTCAAATGTCCCCTGTGCCACCTTTTCTCCACTTTTACTGCTTTGCAATGGTGTTCCCACCACTAAATGTAAATAACTGCCTGCACGTGTCCTTCCCTCTAACTTTGGGAGGTTTTGCCCAACCAGAACCAAATTGAAAAGCCTCCAGGACTCAGAAAACAGCTGCAGTGGTTGTGTGGTTTCTGGCAGTACAGTCTGTTTATGTTTACATCCGTTCACTTGCTCCAGATTATAAGGGAAACATGAATATTCAAGTGGTTTACAGAAGGTGGATCAAAGTATAAGTGTGTTTGGTTTTATCTCAACCTTTACTTTTGAAAGTGTTCCACATGGAGGGCGTTGCATTTTTGACCCTCTCCACACTAATTTCCCTGTAGCAAAAAAAAATGCTTTCCAGGGAATGACTATATGGTTTCAGCAAAGGCAAAACAGATTCTGCTCTCTGCTTACTGTTGGCACCATCAACTTCTGTTACCTTCTAAAGCAGCTTTGGGTCTTTCTGTTTGAGGTCTTTTCTGGTGTAGTTACACAGAGTAAGCAAATTTGCTCTCTGATTTGAAAATCAACATTACTAAAATAGAATTATAGAATCATTGAATGTTTCAGGTTGGAAGGGACCATCATGTTCCAACCTCCCTGCTATAAGCAGGGACACTTCACACTAGACCAGGCTGCACAAGCCTCATCCAACCTGGCCTTGAACACCTCCAGGGAGGGGGCTTCCACAACCTCCCTGGGCAATCTATTCCAGTGCTTTACTAACATCATGGTGAAGAATTTCTTCAGAATAGCTTTGTTCTTCTCCTGGCATTTTTCTGGGCAAATGGGAAGTTTTACCTTTTTTTTTTTTACTTTCTTTTTTTTTTTTTTTTTCCCCTCCCATGAAGCAGCTGAGAAAAAGTGCTAAAGAGAAGCAGAGTATGCATATGTTCCCAATGTCGGTGCAGCAGGATAGGTTCTAAAAGCTGGAGGAAACAGAACCCTGAGAATATGAGGACACAATGTCAGCTTTAATGCAAGGTCTGTTCACCATAGCCCACAGCTGCAAAAAAACCTCATGTCCCTCCTTTGCAAGGGGGCAAACAACAGTTGCAAGGCAGCATTGGGCTACAGACCAACGTTCAGACAGAGAGGGCATCTACAGCTGCAGTACTAAAGACTTAGGATGATTTTTCAGATGGTACCTCTGTTGTCCATTCAGCAGGGGCAGGAGGACAACTCTTCCTCACCACTGCCTCATACGTGGCTGTGAAATTCTTTCCTTGCACAACTGAAAAGCCACCCAAGGGCTACAGTGCAAAGTTGGGAAACTCCCCACGTAAGAAGGCAGTGGTATCCTCTGATATTTGCCCTGAACACATTGGTCACAAAATAATAATATTTGTACAGCATATGAGCTGTAACATTCCTCATGCTCTCTTTATGTATTTAACATCCTCCCTGTGAAAATTCAGTGTCTGAGGTCATTAGTGTAGTCATAAAACTCAAAGTACATACAATGCAGAACTTCCAGGTTGCTGAGTTACCAGGCTGCCCATCACCTGTTGCTACAGGAGACCCTTGCAAATTTGGACAAGTAAGCCCCATCAACATTTTCTTCCATGTCATAAAACCTTTAGGGATAAACAGAATGTGATAGCAAAATCCACTGGGAACACGGTTCTTGTAGTAATTCTGGTCCAGCCAAACTGGAGAATTTGCTCATGATTGAGAGCTGAAAATTGTCCTTGCACAAGTCATGGAAAGGGAAGCTGTCGGGGCAACTAGGAGTATAGAGAGTAGGAAAGTTCCTCACTGTTTTCAGCTTTAAACAGCAGCTTCAGCAATTGTGAAGAACAAGTCTGTTACACAGGTGGATATGCTGAATAACCACACTGTGATGGAAGGTGATTATTACATTGGTACAGATGCTGGCCTTCAAACCAATAAAATGCTGATAAAGAAGAAAACTATGTCCATTGAAAAAAAACAGGAAAACATTAAACATGAATGTCAGATAATCCTGGTTTTCATGTGCCAATTTTTTGTAACTCAGAAATCAAGCTCTCTTTTTTTAATTTTTAATTTTTTCTTCCCCCTCTCTCCCTCTCCCCTTTCTGTTTCTTTATCACTCTCTATGTATATTGAGATTTGGACTTCAATATGCAATGTATAGTGTACAGATTCATTTTTGTCTGGTGTTTGTTTCTGTGTGGTTATCTGTTCCCCTATTGGAAATCTGTTTCATGCTATTTTGTCATGTATTTTCCCTCTTTAGAAAACGCAATTGTTGGAGAAAATCTCATTGGAGCATTTATAAAAGAGATTAAGGATGGTGGCTTTCTGCTGCATTTGGACTCCAAGCAATTCCTAGCAGATCCTTTCATTGATTTTCCCCGAGATGAAGAGTTTGACCTGTCTCCAAGTGTACAGCTAGGATGTAGAAGTGGGTTTCAAAGAACTTCACCTCCTGGGAAATCAGCCCCAAATTCACAAGGATGTGGTATGTCTCCAGTGAATTTTCCCTTCTTTGATGGTGTTAGACATCACTATAAAGCTAAAGCTAGAAAATCACACACAGAATCACACAGAATCCTAGGGGTTGGAAGGGACCTCGAAAGATCATCTAGTCCAACCCCCAATCATCAGTGAACTTGTGTTTGTGGTTAAGATCTGAAAGGCCTGAAGCACCAATGTGAGTGATGAATCTGAGGACAGATGGGAATTAGTGCTTTGCTTACTGCTCAGTCCTTGTGTTGAACCAATGGTTATAGAGATAAGCATCATGGCACTGACATTGTACAGAAGGTTTTGAAAACATTTTGGGGGATTTTTTAGGTCTGTCTGATATTAGAGGGTTTTTCTACAATGTATTTAGTCTTTAATAACGATTTCACAAAGATAATGTAGCCAGAGTTTCAGGTGATGATACATCACTCAGAGTAGAAACCTAGATGCAGAAATGGCAAAAGTCCTGAATTCCTGGGTCAAGTCCAGTCCTCTCTGATGGAAGCTTTCTTGGAGTTGGCCAACACCAGACCTGGTTGCACTTTCTTTGCTAAGGTGTGAGTAATAAAAAAGAATTGGAGACCATCCCAGAGGCAGCTTTATGAATATTTATTTCAGAAGAAAACCAGAAGCCTGTTTGTGGGTTATCTTTGTTTTATTAAATGTTTTTATGCTGATTCCTTTCATTATTTAAAATGCTTGGCAATTCTATCAGACTGGCTTTGAGCAAAGCATAATCCAAACCAAACCAAGTGAAAGATTTATAGCTGGGCTGGCAGCTCAAGACTTCATTTGGAGTCATCTGGATCAAGAACCTGATATCCCAACATTTTCCCCTATTCCTGGGGGAGCAAAGAGCAGTGGAAGCATAGAGTAACGATCCATTGTGACAGTCTTTAAGTGTGCTTAAAGAGACCTGGTCTTAAGTAAAAGGAGGAGTGAGGAGTGATGCCCCTGCAGGAGCTGTTTTGCATTTCCCCAGTGAGTTAGAATCATAGAATGGTTAGGGTTGGGAGGGACCTTAAAGATCATCTAGTTCTAACTCCCCTGCATGGCAGGGACACCTCCCACTAGATCAGATTGCTGGTTTATTTACTGAATCACACAATACTAAGAGTTGGAACGGACCTCCAAAGATCATAGAGTCCAATCCCCCTGTCAGACCAAGACCAAAAAAACAACTAGGGCAGATCAATCAGGAAGGCATCCAAATGAGTCTTGAAAGTCTGCAGAGAAGGAGACTCCACAACCTTCCTGGGAAACCTCTTCCAGTGCTCTGTATTTCTCACAGTCCAGAAGTTCTTCCTCATCTTGAGATGGAACTTCCTGTGTTCAAGGGGCTCATTGCCCCTTGTCCTGTCACAGGGCACAAGTGAAAAGGGCTTGTCCCTTCCTCCTGCATGCCCAGCCCTCATGCATTTATAGACATTAATTAGATCTCCCCCTCAGTCTTCTTCTCTTTAGACTGAAAAGTCCTAGATCTCTTAGACTTTCCTTGTAAGGCACATCCTTTATGTGATTGTGTCAACCTATAGCTGGTTGTGTAGCCTATAGCTGAAATGATACAGGCCTTCAGGAGTTACAGAGTCTAGAAAATGTGCTTCCCTCTACCAACATTTTTGCTGTTCTCTGTGCCCTTTTGTTAATCTAGTCTATGAGACAAGGGACAACTTAACTTGCTTAAAATGTGATAGAGACGTAGATGTTACTTTCACATCATGACTAAAACTAAAAAACAAGGAGAATGATTTGAAAAGTTCAATTTGTTCCTTTTTAAACTCTAATTGCTTAATTAGTCTCCCTCATCCTTTGCATTTGGCCTTCAGTATAGGCACATATTACTAATTTTGTTTTAGTTTCTATTGCTGTTCATTTGCAATGAATATAATCCTTTTTGCATATGTTGAAAAATACCTTTTAAATGTACCAGACACTCTTGTGTATTAAATAATATGCATGAGAAAGGAGAATTCTGTCTGAGCCAGGATTTTTTTGTTCTCTAATTGATTTTAGAGATGTGTTATACTTAGAGCAATTGCCTTGATACATACTTGGAAGGAAAATTTCAATCTCGCAATTTTCTCATCTTAGACTTTTCCATTGGACCATTTAGAGCATATGAAGGAAAATATGATCATTTTCATACTAGAAGTCTTTTTGTCTAATTTAGATGCTCCCCTAGGTTAAACTAATTTGTATTCCAGTGTGTTGGCTAGAACAGCAATTCATTGTATCGGTTGTGGTGGTGATGGCCAATTATCCATTACTGTTTCTCACACAAGCTTAAACTGCTGTCAGGATGTAGGGCAAGTACAGAAATAAAGTTTTGCATCTTGTCATAGTCCCAAAATATACATTTGATATTGTTTTGAAGGGAATCTACATCTGGAAAGCAGCTGTGAAATAATAAGTAAAGATATTATCCTGCGAATGTGTCTGACTCTTCTGCTTCAGTGTTCATTTGAAGGGTCTGGAGAGAAAGACAGTGTTTCATGACCTCCCAGAAGACAAAGAGTTTTCTTTATGATATGCAACAGATCAAATAGAAATATTACCCCTGATTTGTTCTGAGAATCATGTATATACAGACTAACAATATATTTTTGTTTTGTGTTTGGGTTGTCATGTGCACAACTAGTGACTTTTAATCCAGCCATTACTGTTTAGTTTGGAAGTGCTTACCAAAAATTTCATTACCAGGAATTCTGAATGAAAGTGTTACCATATGGTGGGTTTCTTCATTAAGTTTTTTGGAGTTTTTAATCCTAAAATTCCTGTTTCTGTCTGTAGTGTTAGAAGTGACTATGTTTATAGCTTGTGTTCCTTTGTTTTCTTTCACAACCTATCCACAAAGTGCATTATCTTATTACAAATGGATTTGACATATGGAAATTAAGTCTGGACCTGGCACTTCCAAGAGCTTGATGTGCACTAATTCAAGAGCATTTTTAGGGTGATCTGAGAAAAAAAAAAAAAAAAAGACCACTGTCTGCATTCTAGTAATTGGAGAGTTTAATGAACATTTTAAGAGTCTTTGACTGTGTTATCCTGCTTAGAAATGCATATATTGAAAACTTGAAGCCTATAGCAAGTCTACCAGCATTATACATATGTATACACACACACACATACACACACACACACATATGTGTGCAAATGCCTGAACTGGTTGGATTCCAAAAAAGTAATAAGGTGATGCTTCTCTTTGCAGTTGTTTGTCCTCCAGGCACTCATTTCCAGAACAATGAATGCATTGCCTGTCCTCTTGGCTACTATCAGCCTCAGACAGGACGTTCCTCCTGTATGAAGTGTCCTGTGGGCAAAACGACCAACTCCTATGGGGCATTCAGTGCTGATCACTGTAAGTTAAACTCATTTTTCTCCTTCTTCTTTGTATTCTGGCTTCAAACAGCTACTGGAATTATTATTTCATCTGTAAGTTTTAAAAAAAAAAAAGAAAAAAGAAAAGAAGATCTTCCCTCTGGGTTTTTTTTGGATGTCTATGATCCCTTCTGCATACATGCAAAGACATTTTACAGACACTGCACAAACTGTCTCATATTTTGACCAAGAATGTATGAGAAATGAGTGGTCAGTCTCATCCAAGATGTTGTGGTTCCTTAAGACATATTTCTTGTCCTCAGAAATGGTATCTGGGTATTCAGTAGCACTGAGAAACGTCTTACATAGTTCATTTCTTGGCACTTTCATGAAGTCAAGAGTAGTCTTGTCTTTGTGCAGCATTTTCCCCTACAAATACAATTGTACAATTGCTTCTTGCAAAGCAACTATTGATATGTCCACAAAGCTGGTGTATTCTTTGTAAATGACTTCTTTTTGCATGAAGCTCTGTAAAGAAAATCACTTATTAAGTCCAAATTCAGTTTTGTCTGCAGCATTAGCTCATGGATAAAAAAATAAGAGGGGGCACTGAGACTGGGTTTCTTGGGAGTGTTGTTGAGTACAGGGACTGCTTTGTTCTGCTTCAACATATTTATTCTCTTCAGTGGGATAAAAAAATAAAAAAAATAAAAATCAGGTTTATTGTAATGCACCCTGACAACAATTAACTTTGCCTAAAGAGGACGTGAAATTGTCACTTTTCATTTCCATTTGTGTTCCCTGTGTGGGTATTGGACTCCTGTGTTTAGAAGTTTGCTCCTTTTTCTTCACTGCACTTGCAGTTTACTGTCAGTGTCTACAACTAAATCTACTCCCTGCCTGGTTTCCTCCTTGCCTCTGTGCTGGGTCTCAGTGCCAGCCCTTTGCAAAGGGCTGTTCTGCACATATTGAGCTTTCTTCTTTCTTTCCTTGCTGTATCCTTAGAAAATCTGGAGAGTTTACTGAATTAACTGCCAGATAAAAAAAGGAACCTATTAACTCACAGCACAGGAAAACCAGAGGTCTGAAGTGTTCTGTTCTCTGCTGCTTACCCTCTTCTCCAGCCAGAGGTTGTATCTCTCTTGCAAGGATGCCTGAGCTGCATGATGAGAATCTCCTAAACTACCTTAGCTCCAATTTCAGTGCACTGAATGGAAGCAATGCTGATGTTGGCACATTGTGATATGTTAGACCAAACTCTTGTGGTTTCTTTGTATGTAGATAAACCTTGCTTGCTTCAGCAGCATCTCAGGAGAAGGGCATCAAGGTGGTTAAACTGTCAAGCTTAGTTCACCTGGGATTCTCTGCTGCTGCCTTCTATGTTGGTCAAATTTCCAGATTTCTCTCTCTGTGAAGCCGAGACAACTGATTTATAAAGATTTCTAAATCATTAAAAATGTTAAGTAGTTGGGAAAATACTTCTAATTAAAATCAGAGGTCTCAGTTCTCTTTGAATGCAGTGTGAGGACCTTTTCTTTCTCACTGAAAGGGAGAATTAAAAGAAAAGGTGGGGGGTTAAATGAGTAACACATTGATGTGATGGCTCTTGTGCTGTGGTTCATAACGTTTTATGGATCCATTGCAGCAGGCACTGAACAAACCTGTATGAAAATGCAATTCCTTACCTCTTCACTTTACAGTACTTGGCATCAATGAGATCTGATCCATGGCAGGGAATCCTAAAACTGTTTGGAATGTGAATTGCAGTAACAATAAAGCAGTGTGGCTACCGAGTTTCAGAGCATGAAACTCTGTGCAAATTATAGATTAATATACAGTGAATTCTCTTCTGTACTTAGAGCACTTTTGTCCTACTGCCTTGAAACATTGTCTTACTGCATTGGCAGGACCAGAAGCAATGGGCACAAACTGAACCACAGGAGTTTCCCTCTGAACATCAGGAAACATTTTTTTTTTACTGTGAAAGTAACTGAACAGTGTCATAGTTTGTCTAGGGAGGCTGTGAAGTTTCCAGCCTTGGAGATATCCTGGGCAAGTGACTCTAGCTGACCCTGCTTGAACAGGGAATTGGATCAGATGAACTTCAAATGTCCCTTCCCGACCAGAACCATTCTGTGAAACCTGGTGACAGCATCATCAGAGTGCCTCTTGTTCTTTTCTTGTTTGCTTGTAACAGGTGTCACGTATTGTCAGAGCAATGAATGGGGTCTGCAGTGTGATGAAGATGGTCAGTATAGACCTTCCCAGCAAGACCCTGACACTGCAAAATCCTTCTGCATTGACAGCTTTGGAGCAGCACTGGACTGGACTGAAACAGATGATCTCCTTACAGACTACCAGTGCCTAGGTAAGTGTCAGAAGCATATTTTGGATATGTTTCTGACCCCACTTAAAAGAAACCTCCTAATGAAAAGACTCATCAGTCCACAGCTATCTTGCCAGGTAATTGGCATTCACCTTCCTGCAGTTTGGCCTTTGTCTTAAGCCACATTGCTCCTCAGTTTTGCATTTTTTACTGTATTGGAGCATTTGTTTCCTGCAAGTGAAGAGAGAGAAGCAGGTTTTTTCCACTGTCAGATGGCTGACAGCTTCTGATGGATGTTAATCTCCTGCTCACTGCTTGGAAACCCCAAACAATAATGAGATGGCTAATAGGAAGAAACCAGAATGATGGATTATCTTCCAAAATTATCACTTACTAGTGTGTTCATGTGAAATAGGCTGTGTTTGACTATGACCTCAGAGCCATGGCATAAAGTCACCCTCTGCGTTCCTGCTGTATGGGGTCTGACTTGGCGAATAAATCCTTGCAGTGGGATTTGGCTTCAGACAAATGGATATAAAATAGAAAGTAATCTTTAAAAAGCCTGAAGAGAGAGTGATACAAAATAAGAGTGAGAAAATCTAAGAGCTCCAGCAGGCTGGGTGTAATACCTGTAAGTACATTCATTGCTGTGCTTCAGAGATGTTACTGAAGCATCACAGGAGTCATCCATATAATGTCTGCAGTCACATCTGATGCTTCTCAGCCCCAAAGCTTTCATCTTGCCCAAAAATAGTTTTCCAGATGTTTTCATTACTCATCGTGTGACTGGTATAAAATTTAATGGAATATTCAGTTTAAAAACTGAATTCATTATATGCTCTGAATGAGACAATATCTTATGACAAGTGTGGCCAGTGGAAGGAGTGTGAAAACCCTCGGTTATGAAGAGTTTGAAAAACTATCTTCAGTTAAAATAGCTTTTTTTTTTTTTTTTTCTCTGAGCATACTCAGAGACTGATTGTAATTATGAACATGAGGTGTTACCCTCTGTTGCCCTCAGTCACTGGGTAATTGGGATGTTTCTCTGAGCAGAGGATTCACAACAGCTTCATTCTCTTGTTACTTTGAGGTTTCCTGCCTGAGCATTCCTGACCCTATTCAGGAAGGAGCAGTTGTAGATACCTGTGCTTGTTTTTGTGGATCATGCTAGAAAAAATTTCCCTACAAATAAATAGCTGCAAGTGTTGACAATCTGGGGTTGAAAAAAACAACAGAAAGGAATACCCAAGTTGTTGTTGTTGTTGATTTTTTGTTTGTTTGCTTAAAATAATTTAAAAGCTAATTCAATTTTATTTTTTTTATTTATTTTAAAGATCAAGCTGCTTTTCCAGAAAGCATTATATAAAGTCAAATCAATTCTTTTTATTTTTGCTCTGCCCCTTCTACTTCTCTTAACAACACAGCAGGCTCTGGAGGCTGATCTTGCCTTGACAGGAGCCTGGTGACTGGGCAGGGTCAATAAAAAAACTCAGCTGCTCTTCAGTTTATGGAGTCTTCAGACAGAAGAATTTCCTTGTATGCATGCACAATAAGAAGCTGTAACAACCCATGCTCATTCTTACTGTTCTCTCTTGTTATTTTTAAGCCCCACTTAACTTTTATTGCAAGAAAAAGGACAGAACCTATAGCTTTACTCTAGTAATGTGTGAGATAAAGGAGAATTTCTTCTATGCCCTAAACCTGTGAAGTAGCTGAGTATATATTGCTGTTGAGAAGTGGGGAGTATGAACTAACACCTTCATGAAAATGGGACCTGATAGAATATTTTACATTCTACTTTTAAAAATTATTATTTTTTTATTATTTTTTTGTGGACAAGGTAGCTTTATGAATGCAGTTTTTCTCCTTTACATTAAAAAAAGCCAAACAACCAATAACAAAAATTTAAAAGGCAGCTCTTCTATAGATTTTACAATGTTTTCAGCTTAATATTTTGTTACACTTACCATTTCTTAGCTATTTTTCTTCCATATTATTGGAGAGCAAATGGCAGGGGAGGATGAAGCCAGAATTAGGGGGAAAGAAAAATCAGAAGAAAACCATTTTAAAATGGCATTTTTTATTTTGAATTTTACATTAGAAATGAGGCAAGCAAACAACATAAAAACACTGCTCCTTTTCAATTTTATGAAATCAAGTGAATTCTATTTTTTAATCAGGCAACACTGCAAGTTGCAAATGTAGATGAAGGCTTCCACCTCTGTTTGCACCATCCTTCATCCCTCTCCCCAGACAAGCCAGGGTGCAAGGATATTTGTGTGTTAAGTGTTTGGCTACTCCTCCTGTTCTTTCTGAACTAAAATGATGGTTTTATCAAAAGCACCTGCTGGCTCAGCCCTGACAACAGCAGGTGTTTGCTTCTGATTTAGGCCTGACTATTTTGCTCTAAGAATACAAGTAGTTGTTTCAAGAACTTATCCCTGACTTTTATTTTGTGGTTTACTCAGACATTTCAGGGAGAGAGATCTGGGGTGCTCCTGCTGGACTTTTGAGCCCACGTGCATGGGGGTGAGAAGGGCTGAACATCCAGCTCTTCCACTTGCAAACATCTCCCATGGGCTGAGGTCAGACCAGGGCATCTGCTTCTCAGGTCCAGGCCAGGCTTTGGCTGCATCAAAAAAAGTGTGGCCAGCAAGTCAAGGGAGGTGATTCTGTCCCCTGTACTCTACGCTGGTGAGACCCCTCCTGGAATACCGTGTACAGCTCTGGAGTCTTCAACATAAGAAGGACATGGACCTGCTGGAGCGAGTCCAGAGAAGGGCCACAAAGACGATCCAAGGGCTAGAGCAGCTCTGCTATGAAGACAGGCTGAGAGAGTTGGGGTTTTTCAGCCTGGAGAAGAGAAGGCTCTAGATGGACCCAGTTGCAGCCTTTCAGCACCTGAAGGGGTATTACAGGAAAGCTGGGGAAGGACTTCTTACAGTGGCATGTAGTGATTGGACAAGGGCTAATGGCTTTAAACTAAAAGAGGGTAGATTTAGAGTAGATATAAGGAAGTAATCTTTTACAATGTTGGTGGTGAAACACTGGATCGTGGAGAGATGGTAGATGCTTCATCCCTGGAAACATTCAAGATCAGGTTGTACGGGGCTCTGAGCAAACTTATCTAATTAAAGATGTCCCTGCTTATTGCAGGGGGTTGGATTAGATGACCTTTAATTGTCCCTTCCAACCCAAGCCATTCTTCTATTCTGTGATTCAAAGTCTGATGGAAATAAAGGTGGTGCCAAGTCACCACATTCTTTCCTTCTCCTTAATAGACTGTGTTCACTGAAAGATATTAACACATCAACTTGTGGACACACTGTACCAAAAATTCTTTGTAATGTAGGTAGTTAACAACCAGAACAGGGTGCTGTCACCAGACTTCAGGACACAGACAAGGCCAAACCTTCTGGAGCTTTCATTGGATTCCTTGCCCCAGTTAATGACATTTGGTTTTTGCACCTCTAGAACCCATGAGCTCTTCCCAGTTTGTGATCAACACTGCTTGTCAGACACCCTAACGCTCAGGTGAAGTGAGTTCAATTCAGAGAGAGGAGGTAAAAGGGTTTGGTAAAGGGACAATCTGGAATTAAAAGCTGAATGAAGGAATAAAAAAGGAGCATGTAGGACATACTATCTTAGAAAGATTCCTGAGCCTGAAGTCAATGGGGATCAAGCTGATGTTTTCTTTTAAACAAGTGATAAGGCTCCTGGGTTTTCTTTCTAACCAAGTCCTGTTGGAGGTGGCTCTTGTTTCAGTGGCTGTTCTGCAGCAAGTTGGTTCCCCTGTTCACGCAATAGTTGGTTCAGTGCCACGAACAATGGGGGATGACCAGTCTGATGCTGGACTCAAGCAGCAAGTCAAGTCTCACTTGAATATAAATTAAATTCAGCCACTCCTGGCTGTTTTCTCTTCTTGTGACTTTTTTTTTTTTTAAACAGAAATTATATCCTCAGTCCAGCTGTCTCCTGTGCTATCTGTGGGGTTATGGTACATCATTTAATGAACAAACCTCTTTTCCTACGGAATTCTTCAGTTTTTATTTCTACCTAAAGTCTTTGTCTTTCTGTACCATGGGAAGTGATCGTAATACTTAATTGTGTGTTGTTTTTCTGTTTGTTTGATTTGGTTTGTGTTTCTTTTTTAGTGCTTGGAAAATTTGAAAGAGTTCCTGGCTCCAGACTGATTTATGGATCAGAAGAAGCTCAAATTCTTCAGTCGCAGTCATATGGGGGAGACGTGCAAAGTCCAGCTTTTCAGTGCATTTCAGGTGAGGAAAACTCTCAGGAAATCTGTTGAGACAACACTAACCATCCTGGAAAATAATACTATTTTTATATTATAAGCTTATAGGTAGGTTCCTGGATTAACTATAAGATTTGCAGTTCAGCACCAATTCACTGCAACATATTTACAACTCTTGTTGACCTTGGTTCAGGGTAGAGATTGGTCTTCCTTTCAGAGAGTGGTCTTTTGACTTTACATACCACCTCAAACAAGTCATCTGTCTTTAAAATCAGTTGGTATAGTTTGAAATATGGATGAGAGCTGAGATTCAGACCAGGAAATATTCATCAGACTCTTCAGATCCACAGAGAAAAGAAGGATTTGGTGTTCAGGACATGTAAAAAACAAGCTTTTACCTCTTCACAGATTACCTGATTGGCATATAAAAGATGAATAATCTCCCTTACTTACATCAGAAGGATATTATAAGAAGTGCAGAGATATTTCTTCATCAAACCTTGCAGTGTATTTACTACATTATATCTGGATACATCATGTTTGCTGGTTTATCTTGGTTCAAAATCACTGCACTGCTTTCAGGGTGCTTTGAGTCAGTCTCACCTTCTGTCTCCTAATGCTCAGACTTGTGAAGAGAGGCAGAGAGTTTCCACTAAAAATAAAAAAAAACAACACCCTGGCAGTGATAACACAGGTGGCCTGTTTGGAGGAAGACTTCACCAAAGTGTGACAAAGTCAGTGGCTTCATATTACATACTGTGGTCTAGCTGGAGCAGTCATCTCATGCTAAGACATGAATCTGGGAAGCCTTCTGTGTGTTACTAGAACAATTTTTCTGCACTAGATGATTCCCTAGCTGTACACTGCAAGGTTTCTTGCACCTTCCTCTAAAACTGAAGACCTTCAAAATGCTGAACTGAACTGAAAGAACCATGGGAATTAAGAGGAAAAATGTCCCTTTGATAAGTGATTTGATTCAGTGTACATAGCCTCTATTTGCATTATAAGTTATATCCACTGTCAAATGGCAGCACTACTACAAAATATTACTGCTGGGGTTCTCACTGAAGGGTAGGGATTAATCTTTCCCACTCTGCTTAGCTACAAAACCAGACAGCTTAGCTAACATTTCTGATGTTGTTGTGATGATCTAAGGGGGTTGATTTTATAGTAAAGACATTTGGAAACAATTTTACATCCTGTTCAAAGAGCAGAGCTGTGGGAGTGAATTAGTGGTGAGCGTGCAAGGGCAGAAGGGTCTTCAGTCACTCTTAAGTCTGGAGGGGGATGGCTGCTCTCTCTTACACTGACCAGGTCATTGCTGTAGAGGTGACTGGTATTACTGAGGAATTTGGTATTTCCCTTCTTCCTATCACTCTGATATTTGTCCCAGCCTATTTGCCATGGAGTTACTGTACCAAGCAGCTGTCATTTGCTTACAGAGTGGTTCACAAGAGTCCTCCCTGCCTCCTTCAGGCAAAATTACCCAGCAGACATTAAATATTTGTGTGGGTGGTTAGGCACAACCTCACCTGTTTGTATCATCAGGTGATGAACAACTTTTTGCATGAATTTCAGTTAATTTTAAAACCTGACTGTCTACTGAAATAGTCAAATACTGAAGATCTTCTGGCTAATGAAATTCATGTATTTGCAGTCAGAAGCATGAAAAGCTAGGCAAAGGGCAGTGAACAGTGGAACCTATAGCAGAAATTTTGACTTGAAATGCTTGGAAACCTAAGGTTTCTTTCCTGTTTTTCAGCCTGTGAGAAGGAAGATAGATGTGGTTTTGTGACAGTAGCTCCTGCTGGTGCTGAAGTGCTTTGTGAATTGTACAGTGCTGCTGAAGTCAACTTCAACTGCACCACCTCTGGATTGGTAAACATTATTGTATTTAAAAATTTGGGTTTATCATAATGGTGTACATTCAATATAGGTAGATGGCACCACAGAAGAAAGGCAGGCTGTTACCTGACCCCTTGGACATTGCTCTTCACTATGGCAGCAATAAACTCCTGCAGGGTGGTGGAGAAACTATGCTCAGATGTTTCCAAAAGTGACACCTGAATGCTTCAGTGTTTGGATAAAATATAAAACAGAACTTTTGTTTTTAAACATGCTGAGCTCCTGCAGTCTAGAAATTGGGTTAGTTTAAAAGAATTATCTGGATAATCCAAATGAGAAGTAAATAGGTTAACAGTCAGGTAACCTGAAACAATAGTCATTCTTCTAGACCAGGGTTTGAGCTGTGTTCTCTTTAGCTCTGTAACACCTTCCTATTCACTTCTTTTAAGCACAGTCTGTGGCACTGAAAAGTCAAGATCTCAGTTTGATAGAACAAACAATAACCTCCCAGAGCTGTGGTGCTTACAAACCCTGCGTGTTAATTCCTCCCCATCAGTTTCTGAATAAGGAAAGTGTGTTTTAGGAGAGGAACTGTATTAGCTGGTATTGATTTTGCATGATTGTTTTCTCTCTCAGGTGCAAGGTGTTTTGGGGAATCCCACTGCCATTGGAGTTAGTCGCCTCAGCTGCCTGCTTCATGTCAGGACTCCAGAGGGAGATGCAGTGATGGTCTATTTGAAGAGAGGTACCAGATGGGAATCACTCATCTAATGTTTGACTGCTGGGCCAAAACTTGTTGTTCCTTCTGTACAGGTTCATGACTAAATGTGGGGGAAGGCACAATAGTTTTCAGAGTTTAACATTTAGTGATAGACAAGAAACCTCAGCAGATCTTCCCACTGTGTCTTGTTCCCTAGAAATTAGGAATACAGCTTTTGTAAGTCATTTTGGTGGCTTTATCTAACATAGTCCCACAAAAGCTTGAATTCTATCCAATATATTCTATTCTGTTTTGTTGTACTATGATTTTTGTTTATTAAACAATTTGTTATTTGCATATATAAGGCATTACTAATGACCAGCTTGTACATAATTTTACATTATTTTTTACTTTATTTTTATTGTGAATTGTCCTACTAATACACCACCCAAGAAATAACATGCTCTCCAGTGAAGCCCAAAGTGATTCAGTTGAACTAATGAATGTATAATATACTTTTAGATACCCTTTTTTTTGTTTGGCATAAGCATGACTGATATCACTCCATGTCCTATGCAATGTGTGTCCAACTTTAAGCTTCATGCCAAATTTGAATCAAGACAACCAAATAGAGAATGCTACAGGGTTTGAATCAAAACTTTCCACTGCCACTGTCCCCTGAGCTTATTGAAATTCAATACAATCTTATTGATATCAGATCTACTCTAGATTTCTGTTAATTTTGTTAATTAGAGTCAGGGTTATATGAATTGTATCCACTTACATATGTGTCTAGTCAGCAGAAGCCTTAATTGCAGATGCAGTTCTGAAATTACACATCTTTTTTAATGAGATAAGTTTGTTTCATTTATACCTGGGAGTTATTAATATAGAGCTTGAAAGTAAAACATTACCAACTTTAGAATGTGCATAAATTTAGGAGCCCCTTGCTGATGCAGTGGGCTCTTTTTCCTGACAGACAATACATTCTGACCAACTACCCAGGTGTAATTGTACCAAACAATTTGGTGATCGTATCTTGCATTTGAATCCTAAAGTCCAGAAAAGGACTTTTAAGGCTGAATTTTCATCATGCAGCTTTCAAACAGCTCCAGTCTGCAGCCAATTTGAAAACATTTCCCCTCCTCCCCTTCTGAACATTCATTTCCTGTTCTCTCTACCCAGAACAAGAATTCAGCTCTTCAGGACTGAAGACCTTTGAGAGAACCAGTTTTCAGAACGTGCTCTCAGGCGTGAGTGGCTCCCTGGTGCTCTCAGCAGCCAGCACATCTCTGGCTGATGCCCAGCTTTTCTGTCGACAGAGCTGCAGCAGGGACTCTTGCTGTGATGGCTTCATCTTGACTCAGACTGCACTTGATGGAGGTATTGGCTAACTGCAAAGTAAAAAAAGAAGTGAGGTAGCAAGCTGCTTTTGGAGAGTAATGGATGTATTGACAGGACAATTCTTTGCACCTGCTTTGACATCTGCATCCAGATGAAAGAAAACATTCTGATCAGCCCTTCTCCTTATGTAGTGCAGCTTGGTTGCCAGAAGTGTGTGACTTTCAGGTGATGGGGTAATTAAGACACTGCCTTCAGACAAAGCCCTTGTAGTGCAAATGTAAATGGGCTCCCTTTCTGGAGCAGGAAAAGAGGAAGCTAAGTAGGGAATTACCATAGAATTACAGAATGGTTGGTCCTGGAAGGGACCTTATAGACTCTCTACTTCCAACTCCTCTGCATGGGCAGGGACACCTCCCACTAGACCAGGTTGTTCCAAGCCCCATCTGACCTGGCCCTGAACACTTCTAGGGATGGGGAAACCTCAACTTCCCTGTGCAACATGTGCCAGTATGTCATTGC